ATAAAATAAGATGAATCGACTGTTTTTCCGGGCCTAATAATTCAAAATGAACAAGTCCATGATATTCCACCAGCAAGCCACACTTTGCGCCCATGATAATCCGGCTTTGGGTTGGATTGGCGCTTGACCTTTCTCAGCCATTGTCTTTCTCGAGAAGTATTATCAAAGGAATCCACTTCCACCACGTCAAGATATTCTCAAAAATGGCTCTTTTCGACTTATGGAGCAAGATATGGCTGACGAAAGCGTGCTCCCAGATTCTCAACACTCAATTGATGTGGAACCCATGTCCATTACGATTTGTCTTTCCAATTATTTCCAAATGGCGTACAATTGTTGAATTGGAGATGTTTGGCAAGTTCTCGGTTGTTTGCATTGGATCAGCTTCAATTAATTGTTCCACATTGTTGTCGATGGCTGTGGCACGATGTCCATGCGATTCGTCTTCAAGGGATTCATTACCATCTCGGAATTGGGCAAACCAGAGCTGGCATGATCTTTCGGGAAACCTGTTCAAAGGCGGAACAGAGATCACGAGTGATCAGCAGCGTTTTGCCCATTTTGAAGTCATAGAGAAGACACGTGCACAGAACATACTTTTGATCCACCATGATCTAAAGCAAAAATCAATTAAAAAGGAAAGCTCTGACTTTGAAAAATGCGAAAATAAAGTAAATATCCAAGAGTAATGCACAAAAGAACATCAAATAAGCTCTTCAGATTAAAAAAATTAGAACATTTTATATCGCCGAAATTTCTTTTGCACCAACCTAATATTCGATGGCTTTCAGTTTTTCGTTGGCTTCCAGTTTCTTTTCTGATATCAGTTGTTACAAGCTTGATCAAAAGAAAGCCCAATTTTGAAGTTCAAAGTTAAATCCTATTTCCGATCAATCTTTCTGAGATAACAGATCCATTTGCAATGGCTTCAAGTTTTTCCAATCCTTGAAATCTGGCTGTGATCTTGATGAATTAAGTGTCAAGTGTGAAAGGAAAAAATCAAGCAAATGGAAGAAATGAAAGGAAGAAATAATAAAGTTTACACAAGATTTAGAAATTCGGAAAAATCAGCTTTCCAAATCCTTTTTTAACAGCCTTTTAAACTGACACCCAATTCATCAACCTCAACTCAAATTTTCTTGAGCCAAGCATTCTTTGGAACTTGTTTTAGTTCTTAATTCATATATTTGATTTTTGCAAAATATTTTCCAAAAAAGAAGCTTTAAACTTTCCCCTTCAACTTCAATGAGCTAATTTCTGTTCCTAATTTCCTTGTCTTTTCCAGTTTTTCCCTAACCCAAGTAATTCTTTGACATCTTTGTTCTTTAAGCTAAAGGATTATCAACAAGAAAAAGCATGTGACTAAGCAATTCTTAAAAGAATCAAAAAAAGGAAATCATTTCGACGTCTTTTTGACTAAAGTAGAGATAGAGGTGCTAATCGAGAAAGGAAGATGAAAAGGAAAGGGGATTCAAAGGAAGATCTTTTTCTCTTTGTATGTAGAAATGGAAAAACCCATATTTATATGCGAAAAACCTATCCATAAAAGCCTATTTTGACCTATTTTTGAAAAAATAAGCATAGTATTTTTTGTTATACTACAAAAATTATTGTTCTGTTTCTGCACAGCAATGCTTTGACCATTCTTGAAATGATTTAGAGCTTTAGAATGAAAGCTTTAGAACAGCTTGAGTACACGAGTATAAGAGTACAAGCTTATTGCATAAACCTGGGGGAACCTGTTTTTGCAGTTAGAATTGTAAAACTTAGAAATGCTACCGTTTTCAAAGCCTTTGGGAAAATGTTTGGGCAAGATAGACAAAGCAAAAGTTAAAATCGGTAAAAGAAAGTTCAATGTCCTTGCTCAATGTCCTTGCTCAATGTCCTTGCTCAATGTCCTTGCTCAATGTCCTTGCTCAATGTTCTTGCTCAATATTCTTGCTCAATATTCTTGCTCGATGTCCTTCCGAAATCTACGATTTGACTTAAAGATTTATACCTAGTTAGAAGTATCTTTATGTACTAAAGCTTTGCCTGAAACTGATAGGTACATTTTTCCTGGAATTTCTGGAAGTGGAAGTTCTCAGAATAAAACAACAATTTTCAATTAGAGCCAAAAATCTTGCCCATTTTATAATTTTTTTTTGATCCTTTTAAGTTGACGTGATTTTCTTTTTATTTAAGGATCAGAAATCTCTGCCTCCTTTTGTGGAACAATGAAATTTTCATGATCTTTTTGTGTATGTGAAACAATGAATTGTTGATGTCAAAGAGGAATCAACCGGAAATCCATTAGACTCATTCTAAACGAATCTCGTTTTGGTTTAGAGAAACGATACGGAGATATTCCATTCAAGCTTCTTTCTATTTAGAATCTATTTAGATCTTTTCTGGATTCTATTGATAAATCCTGAGCTTAGAATCTGTTCCCTTCCGTTGTTGACGTTGATTGATCGGAAGGGAGACGTAATTAGGCGAGAAGTTTGTGGTCACCAAATGAATCACACCACAAAGCTAACTAGTAAAACACGAGACTACACGAGAACTTCCGTATAATCAGTATCCACAATACTATCCACGATTACCAAAATCCATCCTTTTTCATTATTTCAACACTAGCAATATCAAATCTCTGCAAAGAACGAATCTCTTTTTCTTTTGGGCAGAAAATTGTGATCTTCCGTCGCGTGAGATTCTGAAATACCTTTTTTTACTTCTTTACTTTATCAGTCTTTTGAAAAGCCGAAAATTTTATAAACAATGCCTTCTTTTGAAAAGGGATAAGCGCTCAAGGATCGAGAGTGCAGAAAATGCTCTTTTGACTACCTGGAGTCTTTTTTAAGGTTTCCAGGTCCCTTTCCTTCGTCAAATCAGTACTAGAACTTTTGGTTTATATACTAAAACTGGTCAATTTTTGTTCTACAAAGCAGTGTGTCTCAATCTCTACTATGTAGATTTAAGTACTAGTTTAAATTAGCCTGCCTTTAATCACTCTCAAATTCCACTACACTAATCACTCTGTTTCTACTCTCAAATTCCACTACCGGTTCCTTTTATTTATGGATGAAAAAACAGAAATTTGACTTGGAGATTTGTCGGTTTTCTCTTTTGATTCTTTTCCTTTCCTTTTCCAACCTATCTAGTGATCATCTCGTGCTTTTTGCTCCCCTCAACCACTCAGAAATGAGATTCGGGACGAGTCAAGGAAAAAAAAGAGAAAAGCTCTCTTTTTCTGCGTTTTTCTTTCATTTTCCTTTTCTTTTTATATCCGAATTTGAAGCTTTTCCCCTTCCTTTCTGCAGATATCCTAAGTAGGCATCTCACGCTACTCGTATTTGTTTTTATCTATTGGTTTAATTGAATTTCTTTTGACAATGGGATTATTGGCAATGTTGGAAAGAGTTCAAACTCTTTCCAACATTGCCAATATTCACATATCTCTATTCAAGTTCATGGATAGAGATTAGATTTTGAGATCAATTTTAGTTTAAATTAGGTTGCTTGAATAGATTCTTGAACTGTTTTTTTAATAGCAAATGTTACTGTTAAAAAATTGAAAGACATTCTTAGATCTCTGACAATTTTCTCACCTTAAATTGATCTAATTGTTTAATGGAGAATTGTATGTAGGCTTTAAATCTGAATCAAGTAAAATAAAAAAGTTTGAACTGTAAGGAGGAACGAATGAGATAGTTAGGGATAATCTGAATCGTACTGTGAAAGATGTCACTCTTAAAAATCCACAGAATGCGATCCCCTTCAACCATTCCTCTCTTTTCGCTTCATTCGCTACATCGTTGAGGTGTCAACTTTCTCCTCTCACCTTTCCATTCTTCAAATCTTTTCTTTTCTTTTCTTTTCTTTCAAAGAGTTCATCAATCATCCACTTCTTTCTTTTCAAAATCTTCCCATTAACACATGGCCCTTCAATGATCGCTTTTTGGTGTAGATAAGTTAAAAGAAACTTGCTCGACTCATCAACTGAGAGTTTGTCTTTTCAAACTGACGTGGTGATGGGAGCATTCAATCCAGCAAAAGCTGAGCTTTGTCTTTGAGAATGATGGCATAACTAAACACTTTTAAGATGGTTGCTTTAATGTTTGCGTTATGCTTTAATTGTTGCAGTCTTATGAACTCATTTCTTTGTCAAAACTTTCTCTAAAGCTTAACAAAACAAAGCTCACTTTGTCATTGATTTCCAGGTGTGAATGCTTGAAGAAAATCCTCGTAAACTCCAGCTCGAAACAAAAGAAGGCAGAGATTGGATGCTTTTTCCTTTTTTGGGTCGTTTGGATGCTCTCTTCTTCTTCTCTAAACACGTGTAAATGTGATTTGTTTGTCGTTTTCGTTTACCACACTTTTCACCGATTTTGTTTCTTTTTTGGGATTTTTCAGAAATCCACATGACCAAAGAAAGATACACCGAAAACTAAAAAAAAAAACAAAGAAAAAGATTTCAAAATTTGGTCTAAAACTGAGAATTTTCGTCTCCAACCAGTGAAACTCATTATATTCCATTCCACAAGAAAAAAAAAAGTCTTTTTCGACCAATTTTCCACTCGATTGCCCCAGTTTTCTTTTTTTTGGTTTTTTTTTGGTTTAGATGAAAGTATGGCCCATCAAAATGTTCGTTTTGCTTCGTTTTTGATGTCGATTTTCTCATATCGATCCATTCATCTCACTTTTCTCAACACTGAATTAGTCTAAAGGTGTCACTCCGACGAAACTTTGTTTACTTGAGGGAAATAACACCACTCCGGTGTCCCAAAAGCACTCCACTTCACGAGATTTCTTCTGAATTCGATTTGTGGTTCACAACTTTTTTTTCTTTTCAATTGAGTGCTCTACTGTCTATTTTTTGACTAAGTTTTAAAAGTTTTCAGGATTTTCTATCAATTTTTCATTCTTCAGAAACCTTCTGGTTTGTATGTGTTACTCATTGAATTGTATCTCCTTTGGTGGATCGAAATGAGTTGTTCTCTACCCATTCGACAACGGGAATGGCCTTCAACTTTATTCTCAGCTTCACCATTTCCCTCGTTTTGGCATTAGAAGAAGGTAAGAGACAGATCCAAGACAGATCATAATCCATCAAATTTTAAAGGAAAATCTTTAAACTTACTTACAGTAATTGAGTTTAATTATGAGGATTGAAAATGAATAAAAGAACAAAAACACTTCTGAATATTTTGATCTTAGAATAGGCGCTGTTCAACTTCAATTTTGGTCTTAGAAACAGTGGTGTTGTTAAGTGCTGTTAGACCAATTTCACTTTAGGTTAAAGCAACTTGTTTTTTCAGCAATAATAGCTCATTTCTAGCTTCAGATTGCGGGAAGTGTGATCTTCGTTCATCTTGGTGTCGAACGTGGACAAATGGGACGACGAGTTGCGAGTGTAGACAGGGATTTAAACTCGATGGAGAAGGGCACTGTTTATGTGAGTCGAAGAACATCCCAGACAGATCATAATCCATCAAATTGCAATTACAATTCATGAACCTAACCTAACTCTAAACTCTAAACTCTCAAATTGCAATTACAATTCATGAGCCTAGTGTCGAAAGAGTTGCAAGAAGGTGGAGGATTGGAAAGTCTCGGAAAAGAGTCCACTGAGGATTGTGAATTGGGACAAGCCGAGAAAATGGCTACCAGGTTGGTTTTTTTAAAATTATTAGATTAAAAACTCATCTCATTTTACGATTTTTAAGTTTTACTAAACAAAGACCTACAACCAGGATTGAGACAAGGTGAGAAAAGAGAGAACAATCACAGGTTTCAACAAAAAAATCGGAAGTGAGACAAATGCGACCTTTTTTTCCGCATCTTGCCCATTAGCGCACCTTTTTTCGCATTTTAAAAAAGAAAAGCTCTAAAAGCTTTAAAGCTCTAAAAAGCTAATATTAACCAATTTCTATTCCAAATGTTGTTTTTCTAGGTAATTTGAGGGTGTCGAATTCAAATTTTGACATATCAGAGCTTGTGGAACCAATTTGAAAGACAAAACAGGCTAGATCAAATTACAGAAAATTGTCGATTTTTCTCTTTGTATAACTCCGTCCGTTTGTTTCCACAAGCCCTGATATGTCAAAATTTCGATTCTACGCCCTAAAATTACCTAGAAAAAACAACATTTGGAATAGAAATTGGCTAATATTAGCTTTTTAGAGCTTTTTAAAACGCGAAAAAAGGTGCGCTAATGGGCAAGATGCGGAAAAAAAGGTGCGCAAATGTCCGGGTGCGCAAAAAAAAAGTCGCATTTGTCCCACTCCCAAAAAATCAGTTCAATTTCCATAACACCTCAAAAAAAAGCTTCAAACTATCACCCGCCTCAATGTTTTTGTTCACTAAAAGTTTGAATTTACAAATATAAGAAATCTTTTAGAATTCTTACTGATATCCTCGCGAAATACGATAAGAATATGGTGCCGAAGATGAGAGGAGTTGATGTGGATGTGGAGTTGCTGATACAAAGAGTTTCACAGATTGACGAGATTCAGGTGAAGATTGGGAAATGATGACAAATATAAGTTAAACAAGCAAAAAAATTATTTGAGTTTCGCAATCAGTCTAGTAACCAATTGATTTAAAATACAAAAAAAGTAAATTCGTTGTTCAGAGTTCTTCAACGATGCACATTCTCTTCTCACAGATTTGGCATGATCCGGCACTGTCGTTTGAGGTTTGAAGATTGCGTTTTATCATTTTAACTATATTTTATCTTTTAAAACTTTATCTTGATGGAACCAAATCTGTAGAGAAAAGAAAACAAATCTGTAGAGAAAAGGGACCAAATCTGTAAAAAAAAGGAAACAAATCTGTTGAGAAAAGGAAACAAATCTGTATCGAAAACGAACCAAATCTGTAGAGAAAAGGAAACAAACCTGTCGAGAAAAGGGAACAAATCTGTAAAGAAAAGGGACCAAATCTGTAGAGAAAAGGAAACAAATCTGTATCGAAAACGAGCCAAATCTGTACCGAAAACGAAACAAATCTGTAAAGAAAAGGAACTTTTATTTTAATCATAGATTTTAACAATTTTAACAAATCATGGTTTTATTTTAGCATGAAGAAGGAGCTCACTGCTTGACGAATCTCTCACTTTCACATCGAATGGTTGACAGTATTTGGCTTCCAAATGTCTGCATTGTCAATAGTAAAGGTTTGTACAGTTTGCTGATCGATTACTGTTCATCTTTAGATTCGAAAATTCACAATTCTCCGACTCCAAACATATTCTTAGCCATTTTCCCTAATGGAACCGTTTGGATGAACTATCGGATAGTTGTCGAATCTCCGTGTGAGATGGATTTTGCGTAAGTTCTTTTTCATTTAAAACTAACTACTAAAGATATTTCAATATAAGAAATTTCAGCACTTTTCCCATGGATCGAGTAATTTGCCAAACGATTTTCGAGAGCTATTCTTTCAATGTCGGCAAGGTAGAGTTTATTGAATAAGTTTTGGATGATAAATTGAAAGTTTATTGAATATTGAATAAGATCTTTTTACTTATCAAATTGTTTTCAGGTTCGTTTACATTGGAAACGTCATGGAGATCCGGTGGATTTTATCGAAAAAGTTCAATTGCCCGACTTTCACATGACGACTTTTATCCATGAGAAAGTCACCTATCAATATCCGGCTGGCGTTTGGGATCAGGTAAGATTTGAGAATGTTTCTTCAATGATCGCTTTTTGTGTGGATAATTTGAAAGAAACTTGTTCGACGCATCAAACGAGATTTTGTGTTTTCAAAGATTTAAGAATGAAATAGCGTCTAGAAAGTATATGGATGGGTACTGAATATAATAACCACTAACAGCCGATCTCACCGATGAATCCACTCAATTTTCAGCTAAACATCAAGATGATGTTCCGTCGTTCGTATGAATTCTATATCATCCAAGTCTATCTTCCCACATATTGTATGGTTCTCATCTCGTGGATCTCCTTTTGGCTGGATAGGAGGTTGAAGTAATTGCTTGCCGTGTTTTCTATTTTCATTTATTCTAACCGATTTCAAAGACTAATATAGCAAGAAATTTTGTCAGAAATTTTGTCAGAAGAATAAATAGTGTTCTGTTTAAAGCGTTAAGTGTGACAAATCGTAAAACAAATTCAATTCTGAAACAATTGGCTGTGTAGAGAGTTGTGCTTTCTCTATTTTTAACTAGAGTTTTGTGGGTTTTCGTGAATTAACCTTTTGAGGTAATGGAAAGTGACAAAAGTGGCAAACATTTTTGATTTGTTTTCTTGAGGGTCAAATACTTTGAGACTGTTTGTAAACATTAAACAATTCATCTCACAAAACTAATCTTTTCAATTCAGATCTTTACCGGCTCGGGTGACCCTTGGCGTCTCGTCGATGATGGCGTTGACTTTACAGTATGCAAATATCTCGAAGAGCTTGCCGAAAGTAAGCTAGTCTTCAATAAACTTTAACTAAAGTTCTTTTCAGATCTCCTACATTAAAGGCCTTGATTATTTCACTTTCGGGTGTATGGGTTTCATCTTTTTGTCTATCGTTGAGTTGGCTCTCGTTGGATGGTTGGAGAATCGAAGAGAGCAAATGGTTTGCTAAGATTTTCAAATTGAAACAAAAAAATAGATTTTGCTGATTCCTACTAAAACTATAGCTAAATCTACAGTAAGTTTAATGACAAATTGTTCAGAGCGAAGAGTTTCTCTCCGAGGAGGAGCTGAGGAAAAATGTCGCTCAACGAACTTTTTCCATCAAGTCGATGCGATCTGGATATGTGAGTTAACAAAATTCGCATATAGTAAAATAGATATGTTATAGCAAAGCTTTAAGAAACTATAATATCTAGGTATTCCCATTTTCAGGGTCGTTCGCTGCGACCAACATTCACCGAATCGAACTGCGCCTCGCCCGATGAGGGAGCCTGGCAAAAACAGGTGAGGCTATTTGAAGGAATAGCCAAATTGAGACAGATTATCAGAGAATCAAATTATCAATGGGTGTAATAACATTTTTTTGATGAGATTTTATGTAGAAATGATTATAGTAAATCTATTTTTTAATGATTGATCAGGTATCAATAGATCAGGGATTTTTTTGCTTTGTAGATCATATAAAACGCATCTCTCCTTTCCCAAAAGGGAGAGACCTTACCCCAGGACGGTTTGCCAGATCAAATGCGATTGTCCGCGTGCACAAAGAACACAACGCCATTCATTTACTGGATTTTTCTTTTACTTTGTAGATCGAAGATATTAAAGTGTGAATTTGTACCCGGGGTTTTCGAGGTTGCCGAATCGAGTGGAGCTATTCATTTTATTGATTTTATCAACTAGAATACGGAATTAATTAATCTAAACTTTTAGATAAATTCATTCGAAATTTCCTTTAACACCTACGTGCCCAAATTTGGTTTTAGTGAGAATCGGTCCTAATTCTCCTTTTAATCTCTTAAATAAAATTTCTACCCATAAACAGATGAGTATATATTTACAGATGATGAGATGAGTATATTTATACCCATCTCATCATCTGTAAATATATACTCATCATAGAAATTAATCATCAAAAAATGAGTATATATTTATACTCATGTTCTATGACTAATTTTTAGTCTAATATATGCTAATTATTTTTTTATTTTCTTTTTTAATACAATCTATCCACAATCTATTCAACTAGTGCTATCCAATCTATCCAACTAGTGCTTTTCCAGACGTATGTGGGTGGACAAGAGCCCCGACCACCCGAGAGCACAGCTGAGGCTGAGAAAGAATCAGAAAACAATCAGGTAAATTGTTTAAAAAGATGCAGATTGATTTGTAATTTTGCTAATCGATAACAATGATATTTTTCAGATGTTAGTCTTTGTGAGAAATGCGCGCGGGTCGAGGAAACGCCGGAAAAAGCTGGTCGCCGCGAAATTATTCACCAAGTGGACAGGAGAAGATATGGATAGGTGAGTGGAATTGGAAAAGGGGAAAACTGTACCCACTGTAATCCATAAATCAATACCGTTATTCAAGCTTAGCTCAGATGCCGTAATCGAATTCTAGATTCTGTCAAAAGCTCTTCCCGATCACGTTCACTTTCATGAATCTCATCTATTGGATGTACTATACAGCAAAAGCTAAAGATTAAGGATTTCATCAATTTTTTTCTTTTCTATACTTTCTATACTTCTTTTCTATACTTTCTATTCTATCAATACTCCATTTTCTTGTGTCATTCCGTTCGGGTTGTGTCTTTTCTCGAGTTTCTTTTTTTTAGCTTTACTTTAACTTCCCTCTCTTTTCAAATAATTTGTCTAATTTGTCACATATCCTGTCAAGAAATCTCTCCACAAATTGCAAACAAATTCCCATTGTTTTTTAAATCTTTCTTTCTTTCTTTTTGCCTCAAAAATGATGCCTTATTTCAGAAAAAAATTTTTTTTTTTTAAATTTTCTTTTCCAAAATTGTTAAATGTACTTTATATAAATTTTATGAGTGGAAATAAATATCAAGCAATGACAATCCTATTTTTGCATTCAAATTCAATCTTTCTTCTCGCAATTGATGAACACTTTGATCACATCGGCTTTTTGAGCACGTCTGAAATTGAATTCTCTTTAGTTTTAGAGATTTCTTTGCAATGAGACTTTAAGCATTAATTTGCATTTTTGATTTTGATTTAATACAATGTACTTACTGTACTTACTGTACTTTCAATACAATGTACTTACTGTACTTTCAATACAATGTACTTACTGTACTTTCAATACAATGCACTGACTATACTTTCAATACAATGATTCAATGTACTTACTTGAAAGCTTCCGGAGTCTCCTCCAAAGTGTAATGAGCACGAGTCAACTTGCTCAGATCGACCTTCTTCGATGCAACCAATTCGATAGCGGTTGGGTAACTAAATTAAAGTCAACTTTATAGCTGCACTGCTTAAGCCAATTAGCAATCCTATTTATTTGGATATAACATTACAACTGAAGTTAAGTTAAATACTTAAGTTAGATTAAGTTAAGTACTTAAGTTAACTTGCAACAATGAACTCTGTCTGACTTAACACTAGCTTTACGAGCAGTTCTATGATTTCACCATACATCAGTTTTAGTTTTATCCACTAGCTCCTAAATCAGCTTTGATTTTTTGAACATTTCTATAGTTTTCCCCACCAATTAGCATAACGGAAAACTCCACGAATATCGACTTCACGAATCGCCGCCTCAACCATCGGCAAATCCGCCCGATCTGCACCCAAACCAACCAAAACGATTGTTCCGCCGGAAAGTGTTGTCTAGATTTAAATGAAGAATAATAATAGTCTTGAGAAAATCGATTTCTTATTTCTACTTACCAAAATAGCCGTTTCTACACTCGTCGCCACCCCGGTGCATTCCATACTGACATGTGGTGGTTGACCGAGACAAGCCGTGATCTCGTCTTTCACTTGTTGAATCGATTTACCTCTGAATTTTCATGAAGATATTTATTTAATAACAATTTACAAACCTAACATTAATTGTATAATCAGCTCCGAGCTCTTTAGCCATCGCTAAACGTCCATCATCAATATCGGTGATCACCACTGCCGAGGCTCCGGCTGCTTTGGAAACGAGAAGAGTGAGAATACCGATTGGGCCTGCAAAGAACAATGCAATCGCTTTAATGACTAGGACTTTCACTGTTGTTGTTTGAAGTTATCAAATCCGACCTACCTGATCCAAGAATCAAAGCCTTTTGTCCGATTTTTACGCCCGCACGGCGAACGGTGTGAACACCGACAGAGAGCGGTTCAAGCAAAGCTCCCTCCTCGAAAGTCACATGATCAGGTAATCTGAAATGCCATAGCTTGATTTTTTTTGTCATTAAAATAAACTCCTGATAGACATGGACACTATAAACTACAAAATGACGAACTGTCACACTACAAACGCTTCTAACTTGCTTCAAACTCTGCCGAATTGACATGATCTATAGCTCAAGAAATAGAGAATCTCAAGAGCTTTCGAATGAACTAAAGCACACCGAGAAATATCAGCGCTAAAGAAAGTTACAGTTACTTGATCGCTTCGACTACGCGCGAGTACGATCCGTTTCGAGCCAGGCTACAAACCACTGTAACTTTCTTTATCGCTAATATTTTTGAGTGTGCTTTAGTTCATTCGAAAGCTCTTGAGATTCTCTATTTTTTGAGCTATAAATCATGTCAACTCGGCAGAGATTGAAGCAAGTTAGAAGAGTTTTTAGTGTGACAGTTCGTCATTTTTGTAGTTTATAGTGTCCATGTCTACTCAGGGATGAAAGATTTCTGCTTGTAAATCTACTTGAAGCAAAAATCGGCATCATGGACAACGAATCGCGTGAGACTTCCATCAAATGGCGGAGTGGCGAAGAAGCCCATATCCGGACACAAATTGTAAGTGCCAAGCTGAAAATAATCAGAAAATAATGGTAAACAAGAAATAAAATAACGAAAAATCTTAAAAAGCACTAGGGAAGTCCTGCAATTTTTTTATTTGTAGTCATTATCCAAACCAATCCCTCACCTTGCAGTGATAGCATCGTCGACAAGGTACGCCCGGCTCAAGCGCCACTCGATCGCCTAAAGTTTAACAAATTTGCTTAAGTATCTTAATTTTTAAATGTTTTTATTCAATAACTTTATTTCTTTATCATTTTTATGCAATACCAACCAACAGAGAAGCCCTTCACTTGATCTCCAACTTCTTCCACAACTCCCGCCGTCTCGTGACCCAAAACGAGCGGGGCTTTCACCTAAAAGTTTACTTTAGATTTGAAATCATTACCTTTTGACTTGAAGGTAGTTTTGGGAGTTTTCTAATTGAATTGATAGAGAAAACCCACAATAAAGCTTCCAATTGCACCATGAGTCAAATAGTGAACATCACTGCCACAAATGCCCACTGTGTGAATTCTATATCAAAATTATTTCCAATTTCTATGATTCTACCCACTTAACAAGCAATTGTTGTGGGCCAGGCGTTGGGATTGGCCGTTGTTCCATTCTCAGATCATCTTTCTTGTACAACACCGCCGACAAGTTGTCTACTTGATTGGGAGCCATTTTCTAGGAAATAGAATTCATTGTGAAGTCAAATGGTGAAAAGGAAAAACGTTGAATGAATTGGAAACTTAAAGTAATATTGATTTGAATCAATAAAAAGATAATGAAGCGCACAAGAAATCGATGATTGTCAATGCTCTCAAATGAATGTGGAAAAGCAGGAAAGGCCAGAGGCGATATTTGCAAATTTCCACCCGTTTCTCCATTTCTTTTCTTTCTCTTTTCTAGATGAAATCTTTGTGATCTCTTCATTGATGTTAATATTTCTGCGATTGGTGCAAAAGGGTGCATTCTTTCTCTCTACTCAAAAGAGATCCTGTTTATCGTTTGAGTGTAATGATCATTTGAGCAAAGATCAATGAAGAAATTGCTTTAGAAATTTAGAAATTGAAAAGCTGAAAAGCTTAGAAATTGAAAGGCTGAAAAAAACGACGATTTATAGAAGTCAAGGTTGGCTAGAGCCTGGCTGAGCTTTGCTGCAGACTACTTAGCCATGAGAACATAAGCCTAAGCCAGAAAGCAAACCTGCACCTCAATTGGTAGACTCTGGCTTGGCTTTTATTAGATTATAATGTATAATAAAAGCCTGTATTCACTTACTGTGTTCATTTTCTAAACGATCATTCTCTCTAAAACTATAATTGATTTATAAAAAGTTTAAAAATTTCATTTAAAAAGCTGAATGATCAAATCGAAATCAAAATGAGCAAAAAAAAATCAACAAAACTATTGAAACTATTGAAATTATTGAAAGTGAAGTGAGTTGAAAACTAAAATAAACTATTGAAAGCGACGTTAAAGGCGCCGATTTCCGATGAAATGTCGGAAAAACACAAATAAAACAATTTTTCGGCATCAAATTGCCCGATTTCCCGCTAAAACGAGCAAAAATCAATTTTTTTTGGCCTTTTTCCTGCATTTCTCCGGACTTGTGCGTGCTTTTTTGTGTCATTTTTTTTTGTTATTGACGAACGAACGGGCGAATGGAGAAATTTATTTGACAGCTCGAAATGTCAAGGGCACAAAAATTGATCTTTTTGACAGTCATTTTCACAATGATTTTCACAATTTTCACAATTTCACAAAATTTGACTATAAAGAACTCAATAGTGAACCAAAAGCAATTTTGAAAGGCAATAGATTAAGTAGATTTTAACGGTTGAGCAAGTAAGTAAGTTTTAAGTAGATTTTACGACTATCTACAAGAATGTCATGATGAATTACGATTTTTAAGATATGAGACTTCAAATTTCCTTCAATTTTACTTCTTCCTATCATCCAAAGAACACTTTCGAGAAGCCGATAATCGACGTTCGACAAGTCGGACATTTCTCCCACCATTCACTATCGAAACATCCCTGACATAAACACAAATGGAAACATGACATCAACAAGATCTCCGGCTGAAAAAAACGACCATTTATAGAAGTCAAGGTTGGGGCCTGGCTGAGCTTTGCTGCAGACTACTTAGCCATGAGAATCGCCAGAAAGCAAACCTGCATCTGACTTGGCTTTTATGATTTTTGGCCAATGATTCGCTGCTTCAATGGCCAACGATTCGCTGTTTTCACTTACTGTATTCTCCATGCAAACACAACATCGTGGTCTGTTGTTCTCACGTTCTTGCATCTTTTCTTCTAGTTCTTCTAATTTCTTTCCCATATTGAACACCTGTAACTCCATCTCTCTGGCCAATGATTCGCTGTTTCGATTCTATAAGTTGATTATAGTTTCCCCATTCTTCCAACAAACCTTCCCCATCAACTCTTCGATCTCTTTCTTCAATGTATCCTTTTGGCTTTGCGCGAGCAAATAATTATCGACGAGCTCAGATTTGAGATTCAATATTTGCTAAAACATTTCTAATTTCTAAAACAAAGCACAAATTCTCCAAACTTGTTGTTGCCTTTTCAATTGTTTCTCAAGTTCTTTGTTCTTCTTTTCGTAATCATCAACGGGATCTCTGTACTCATTGATCACTGCCTTCTAAAAATGTGTCATAACTTCAAAAGCCTTATCAAGCCAAAGTTTTAACAAGTTTTGATAGCCATCTTTATTTTCACTCACCAATTCCTTTGCTTTCATCCTCTCATGTTGTTCTCCATTTACACTTTTTTGTTCGTCATCATCGCTTTCAAAAAGAATGTGGGGCATGGTAAAAAATGGCTAAAAAGTTAAAATGAAAAAGAAATCTTTAATTTTATGGAAATTTCTTGTGTATAAATATGTGAAGAAGAGTTGAGTGCAAAGTTTTGCCATTTTTTTTTACCTCTTTCGTCTCTTTTCTTTTCTAACCATTCTTTTCTTTTCTCGATTGATGAACTGGATCGATTCTCTCGCTTTTTTTCTGGGATCTTTTTGACCCAAAAAACTATTCAATTCAATGAGAAAGATGACGAGGAATTTCCTGCAGAAAACTTATTATTAGCTGTCTGAAACAGAGACTTTTATTGAACTTCCACTGGTGTGCTTTACGCTCGCGAGCTTTGAATGTGATCAAAACGAAATTTTTGTCGATACATCGATCTTCTATTATTGATATTATAGCAATCAATTTTAGCACAAATGAAAAAACTATTGTCTATTATAGAATAATGGTAAGAAATAGGCAAACATTATGGTAGAAGATGATATTATAGCGAACAATAGCACAAATCGGAGACTCAACAAGGCGAAGCTTTGGGTACGGCGAAGAAAATGGGTACGGCGAAGCGAACAATAGCACACTACTGCTAGGGGAAATACGCTAATTAGAGTAATACTTTTTGAATGCCGTTTAAACAATAAAACTTCTATTAGAAGATCTTGGCTCGACTCACTGCTCCACTTCAATGGTACTCATCGGAAATGTTGACACATCTTTGTTCGCTGGTGTTGTAGCCGTTTAATGAAAAGGTTTGTGAAAGAAATTTTGATCATAAAATGCGTAAGTGTCACAAATTCTCTTTGAACTTTCAAAATCGCAAAAGATTAGAATTCAATTTTAGATCTAGTTGTAAAGAAATATTCTTTGCGTGCTTGGTACTCTTTACTCAAGACACGTTATTTCTTGTCTTGAGATATCTGATCTCACTAAGAACTAAAACAATTTCAATAGCAATATTCAATAGCCGACTGACTCGGAATTTTTGGGCTCTCACTTGAGCAATTTTCACACAAAATCGACAATTGAATCAATCAATTGAATTAAAAGCGACGATAAAAACAGAAAAAATTTCGTCCTAATTAGGACACAACTTCGATGAAAGGAAAGTAGCGCACCTGGACATTCGCGCACCTTTTTTTTTTGCTGGAAAAGGCCTTAGGAAGGTCGTAGAGCTTCAAAAATGTTTTCATATAAGGGAATCGTATGCGTAGATTCCGAATTTTGACAAATCCCCCAGGAAAGCAGAAAAAAGTAAAAAATAAAATCAAATGAACAACAGTTGCCTTATATAGGCTTTAACACAAGATATTCAGCTAACAAGCTACAAAACAATAAATGAAGCGCGAAATCGAATGAAAGCGCACGGATTTCCGCAATACTTTTCCAATTTTTTAGGCTGTCAGAGTTAGATAACTTTTTCGTGGCTATTCGCCACACCAATGATGCAAATTTTCATTGATTGCTCAGTCTTATGCGAGGAAAATGTGTGATTTTAGTGATTTTATGCATTTCCTTAATTTCAAAAAATCTTTCTTTATACAAAATTTCGGAAAATCAACGAAAACCACAAACGAAAGAATCTTTTCACTAAACATTCTTCATCACCGAAGAAAAGTGCCCATAAAGTGAATATTTCAATTCAAAACACTATGGATAAACGAATATAAAATTCTAAAATTGCTTGAAACAATTCGATCTTTTAAAGCAAAAAAAAATTTTTTTGTTCAAACGCGGTGAGGTCTTTGCAGTCTCATTTGGCAGTTAACAAATAAAGATTTCAAAGAAAGCAATGGGTAATTTCAAAGCCTATTAAATCATAAATTTGCATAAAGTAAGGATCAATTTTCAGCTTCCCAGGAAAACCTTCGAGCTGCCAACAAGACGAGCTCGACAAGTCGGACATTTCGACATGGGCTCTCGAGTGAAACAACCATCACAGACACAAACGTGAAGGCAAGGGAAAAAGACGATTTCCGGCTGAAATTTGATGGGTTTTGATATTTGTATAGCTTTAACTAACGGCTTTAACTAACGGCTTTAACTAACAGCTTTAACTAACGGCTTCAACTAACGGCTTCAACTAACGGCTTCAACTAAGGAACCCATATTCCTAGAGGTACCTTTTGGAAAGAGGAATTGTATGGAATGAAATGGATTCTTGTGAAATCTACAAATTCTAAATCTGAAATTTACCTTCTGCTCTAAACAGACACAACATTTAACGATTTGTTGCTCAGCGGAGTCGAATCGTCTTTGAAGGCGATCGCAAAGAGCGCTCGTCTCTGATAGCTCGTGGGTTAAAGCTGACGATGAGGCTTCGTGATTGTTCAGCTAAAAAATAAACATTATATTTAAGTTGGAATCTAATTAGCTAATTTTTTTTTTAATTTTTAATTTATTTTTGCATACCCTTTCATTCAGCTGTCGATTCTCTGTCTCCAATTCGGCGAGCCTTTGCTGAGAGACCGAGCTGGTAGCGAGGGTGGCTTGGAGTTGACTGATTTGCTGAAATTTTAAGAATTTTAAGAATTTAAAGAATAATTTAAATATTTGATAGAATAAATATAAATCCTTTATTTCAAATTTTCTTTACCAAATCTTTTTCTTTGATCTCTTCTTCGAACTTTTGCTTTCTGTGCGCTGAGAGCTCGCGTTGATCGGCCACCGCTTTTTGTAGATGCAATTTTTTGACTGTCTAAAGTTATGAAGATAAATTTGCATAAATTTACATTTAATTATTAAATTGATTAAATCCCTTTTGTAAACTCACCAAATTATCGGTTTCCAATTTGTTCTGACTCAACTCTCGTCGCAATTTTTTGTTCTCCTCTTGCTCGGAGCGCAGATTGTCTTCCTGAAAAATTTTGGTATTATTAAACCTTAAAAAAATTCTACAAATTATATTTAAATCTATTTTTCAAATATTTTCCTTAGGAAGACGCACAATAAGAAGACACACAATAGGAAGACGAGCTAATCAGGTAATCTGAACACAGACCACTGAACGAGCCCTGAGAACGACGCATCGAGCCCTTGAAAGGAACCTCCTCGGGTACAATAGGAAGACGCAGCTCGACCAAGACCTAAGAAGTACGGATATGCGCCAGCTCTCCGGACTCAGAGATCCAGTGGAAGTGATTGAGAGAAAAAGACTCAGATGGGCTGGCCACGTAGCCAGAAGAAGAGACGACAGATGAACGATACGGATCACAGAGTGGCTACCACGAAACCAGAAGAGGCCCATCGGAAGACCAGCAACGAGGTGGAGCACAAGAGTGGCAGAGACGGTCAGAGAAAGGATGGCTAGAGTGCAACCACCACCAGCACAAGCAAGTCGAAGACTCCGAACCAGGAACAATCAAGATAGGAAACACTGGATGACAATAGCAAGGGATAGAGAAATGTGGAAGCAGGTTGTGATCTCAAAGAGGAACACCTGAATGCGAAGACAGATAAAAAAAAAATATTTTTTCCTTTAAATACTCACCGCATCTTTCAATTGATTAACCATTTGCATCTCTTTCTCTTCATACTTTTCCCGTTCACTTTTCTCGTCTTGTAGCTGAGATTCCAAAGTTCGAATTCTTTCCTAAAATGACGCAGTTTAGTTTAGTTTAGTCATAATATATTTAAAATAAAGAATAAAGAAAGATTAGATTTAAAAGAAAGTTTCAAATAAAATCTTAAAGTTTAAAATTCAAAACAAACTTTCAATCTCGCAATATGGCTCTCGACTTCTTTCCGGGTCCTTTCCTGTTCTCGATCTAAAGTCGTGATCAAACGATTGATATCATGCGAATCGGAACGTGTCATTCTGAAATTTTATGAATTTTCTATTATCAAAATAGCTATACTATATCAAAATAATGTTTTAATTTCAATTTTTAACGATATTTTGTGATACCTTGCCCCAGCCGAGGTACCCAGATTGAGACTGGCTGCTCGAGAAACTGATGAACTTCGAGGGGATAGCAGTTTCGTTGAGGTGACTTCTCTAAAAAGCAAGGTTTGAAAAAGACATTTTGAAATACGGTATCTGTCTGTCTTTCTGTCTGTCTTTCTGTCTGCCTTACTGTACGGGCATCTTTCTTATCTTTCTTTCTTCTTTATTCTTTTTCAACTCACCCATTTTGCGCGGGTTCATTGTAGATTGAGAGTTTCGCAGTTGGCTGTTTCATTTCTCTTTGTACCCTCTGCAGACAATCCAACATCGTATTCGTATTCTCAAAGGCCACGTATGCCTGAAAAAATTTTGATATTTTAAAAAAATCAGCTCTACTTACAAAGGAAGAATTCGTTTTTATATAAATAATTTTAAAATCGTTTTTATATAAATATAAATGATTGATTACTTCGCAAATTGTTCGAAGACCCATTTCTCAGAGAAGTTTTTTTGAAAGATACAATCTTTTAGTATTGAAATTGTTTATAGTATAGATAATAAAATCTGAAAATTGAAAACTATCCAAATAGAGATACAGGAAAAGTTTGTCGAGATCCAGTTTTTTCGATCCACCAAACACAGGACACCCTTGAAATAGACCCCTCGAAGCCCAAAGGGGCAAAAAGTGAAAAGGAAAAGAAAGTGATCTCTCTCTTTTTTCTCTTTTTTCTCTTTTTTGATTGAATTCACTTCCCTAATGGTTCTTTTTTACGATTTACAAATATACAGGCCCACACGTGGGTTTTTTTTAAAACGAAGATTTCTTTTTGAAGACCCATTTCCTAAAGTTCGATCGGTTTAACGGCGTTCTAAGTGTTCGTTTAATGTGATACAAAGTAAACAATAAAAGATTTGAATTGATTTTAAAATTTTTATGAAAATATTTAATTTTTAACTCTAAAAGTTTTTTGGAATTCTTTTTTCAGAAATTTCTAGATGAATTGTTAAACAGAAAAGCTCTATAAAAGGTTTAAGATGAAGCTTTGAATCTATTAGTGAATTGAAAACTGCGTGCTATTGTCATATGTGACAATTTGAGCACTTTCTTCAAAAGAAACCCATTTTGGTGTCAATGGAAAAGTTGTAGAGAATCAAAAATCAAGCTTATATCCAAATTTTCAGCACGATTCAACAACTGGTTTTCAAGAAATGCCAAATTTACGAAATTTCACAAAACTTGCATTTTAAGCGAAACTACTAAGTGTATCTTTTTGGAAATTTGGCTATAAGCCTAATTTTTGATTCTCTACAACTTTTCTATTGACACCAAAATGGGTTTCTTTTGAAGAAAGTGCTCAAACTGGGACATCTCCAGTCCTCGATTTTTGAGTCTCACACTTGTCTTACACATAAACCAAAATCCTACTACGAAAGAGGAATCCGCAAATTATCTGTAAAATGGGCAGATGTCGTCAATAATAATGGAAATTATTTGGAATGAATTCATGGTTTTATGTTCAATAAATTTTAGTTCAAAATCCGGCAGTTTTCAATTCACCAACCCAATAGATATAACTTTGCAAAGCCGATCAGGCTTATTTTCATTTCCAATTGAATTCTTAGACGTAGAAATTGTCTCAGAGATCCTTTAAAGATTACAGCTTATAGATTAGTTCATTTTTAGAGGAAAGCTTTTCCACAGCTTAAGACTATTATCAAAAAGGGACCCGATTTCGTCGAAAGTTGGTTCGTTTTCGCGGATTATAAGGTAAAAGAACAAAAAAAAAGGCTTGGGAACGTTTTTTGTTAAATTTTCATTAACTTTAAGCCTAATTTAAGCATTCTTAAATTTAGCGTAGACAATTTTCTTCAATTTTCATTTCCGTTTTCATTTCACTTTCGGCATCACTCAAAATTTTAACGACCGAGAGTCTAACTTTTTATTGCTTTTTGAACTTTTTGTTATTCTTTTTCGATTAAATATTATGCGGTAATGAAGTTTTTAATTTCATTTTTGATTTCATCTTTTTGATCCCTTACTTCAATTCCCTTATTTAAGTTTAATAATTTTAAGCTTTAACCACTGATCAGTTCAATCAGTTCTCAAAACTCAGTTAACACCTTTGTCAGCATATTTTGCCAGACTGATTTGCGTTCTCAAAATGACTTCATTTATCACTATGAAAACTTTGATGAACTAGTTGAAACGATTAGAAAATCCAACACGAGAACAGGTCACGCAATACGATAGGGGGAACTCGTGGAATAGGCAAATTTGGGTGTGATCGAATGGGGATTTTTGAACTTTTTGTTATTCTTTTTCGATTAAATATTATGCGGTAATGAAGTTTTTAATTTCATTTTTTTGATCCCTTACTGATTTAAGTTTAAAAATTTTAAGCTTTAATCACTGAATGAGTTCTCAAAACTGATCAGTTCTGATCTTTAATCACTGATCAGTTCAATCAGTTCTCAAAACTCACATCAGGATCCTCGGAATTCGTGCTCAGCGCTTTCATGATGACATCATCACCGAAACCCATCTCTTTTGCCCATCGAAGTTGATCCTGATTTATAAAATTGCATAAAGTTATAAAAAAAACTGATGTTTTGAATGTGTTAGAAGATGGATATTTTCATGAAAAAGTTAAAATTTTCATGCTACTAACCTGTAACGACGTCTGTCCCTCTTCGGGCATTGAGGTGCTCCAGTGAAGAGATGGAACTAAAATGAGAATTTTAAACCTTGTCATCTCAATTAATTTTTACCATATTCTAATACTCTAGTCATTTAGTCAGACAAAAGAATATCAAATAGGCAACTCTTTGGCAATAAAATCGCGTTTTTGCTTGGTGCTTTTCGAGACCGAAACCGAGTGATTTCCATGTTTGCATTGGCGAAAAAAAACTCGCATTTTGATATGGGACAAGGAAAATGGTGAATTTCAGATGGGATTCAAGGGAAAGAACAGTTATATGGATCAGAATAGAAATTTGATCACTTAGAACGAATCCAGGTTCACTCCAACTTTCTCGATCTTCTCACTAGAGTTTAGATCTCCTCACTTGAGTTTAGATCCCCTCACTTTTTACCTTCAGTTAACACCTTTGTCAGCATATCTTCTTTGGGTGATTTGGGTTCTCAGAATGACTTCATTTATCACTATGAAAACTTTGATGAACTAATTGAAACGATTAGAAAAGCCAACACGAGGACAGGTCACGCAATACGATAGGGGGAACTCGTGGAATAGGCAAATTTGGGTGTGATCGAATGGGGATTTGGTGATAATGAAAGAAAAAGTGAACTTCCACAATGCGCTTATAAAAGTTGAGTCACTCGTTTGGCAAACAATCGAAATTCAAAGCGATAATTTTGAGGGAAAATTGATAGCTTTTTGGAAAGGTGTATGCCTTTATTTAAAGGGAAAGAAGTCAATTTTGATTATTAGGAAAGAAAATTGTGAAGAAACGATTGAAATGGAGAAAAATTCAAAGCTTTGGTTTTAGAGTGGCTCTTTTGTAACTAATAAACTTTCTGGAAAATAGTGATTATGAATTTTTTCACTTTGTCAGACTAAGAAGATTTGCTTTGATAGTAAGCTGATTTGATAGTAAGTTAAAGCAAAAAATAGCATATAGCAAGAGTTTTCAAATAGTAAGAGCAAGAATTATCAAAATAATTCCTAATAAAAAGCAAAACCAACCCCGAAAGTACTCACTGTAGAGCGGAGTGGTGATGATTTGTTCCTTGATAACTTTAAGCATTGGCATTTGGTAAATTAGAATATAAAGAATAAAGATTCGTAGCCCTTTTTTCCGGAGAGAAGCTTCGTCTGCAAGTCTTTCCTTGTCCGATTGAAGAGACGATTCATTGGCGCCGTATTATTAGTCGAAAAAGATAAGGAAAGCCGAGGGAGGAGTGGAAAAAAACGGGCATGATAGTAGCCCCCACACACTCAATCTTCATGGGTTTTCTCTTTAAAAATGAATCAACCAAATTTAGGGAAAAGTCTTCGCAGCTGTGTTATTAGGAATAGGTGTGAAATTGAGTCATCCAACATTTTTTAGCTTTTCCTATTTTGAGTCAATTGGGCAGCTACCGGAAATTAATGGGTTTTTGGTGATAAGCAATGCAAAAAAAAAAAAAAAAAAGATATTGGCAGATCGGGGAAAATTGGGATTTCGTCAAAAGTCGTGGCTTTGATTCGAAAGAAAAAGTTACGATCCGGTTCAATTTCAAGAAATCTTTGACAGTCGGCTTGCGTAGGAAACTTTTTTTACTTGCAAATTTTATCTGGGAATCTTTTGAATGGAGTTTGCTAATTTTGGCTTTGGTAAATCTCCTCCAAGATAGGCTAATAGCTCTCCAAATTTATCTAAAAGTTTAGACGAATTAAACCCAATTTCCAACTGGTAGACTTAATAAAATGAATAGCTCAAATCGATTCACCGACCCCGAAAATCCCCGGGTAAAAATTTACAGCTGAATATCTTCTTTTGAGTAAGATCTACAAAGCAAAAGAAGGACGCGTAAATGAGTGGCAAGGTGTTCCTTTGTGCGAGCACACAATCGCTCTTCACCTGGCAAACCGCCCTGGTACAGGATGCTTCCCATTTGGAACATGTAAAACAAAAGGACTGGTGAGCGACTGAACCTTTCCCTATTTCTGGGCGCTACTATTCCCGAGACTAATTTTTGCCCTAGAGTTGGCTGTATTTTTGTTCAAACTCTGGTTTAACAATGGTTTAACAGGATGTTAAAATGGTTTAACAGGTTTAACAATGGTTTAAGGTCCTGTTAAACCATTCTGTTACACGCAACAAGCAGTCAAACTGGGAGAATAGTGCGATGAAAAGCCGAAACTAACATTGTCTCTAGACAAACTGTGCCCCTCAAAACTTGACTATTCATCCAAAAGCTGTTTTTGCTAAGTTACAGTTAAAGCCAAAAATTATAATTATAATTTCAACTCATTATATTATTTGGCAAAGATCTACCTCTTCTGGGCGTTGATGTGACAGAATCGTTCGAATTCCTCGATTCTCGACTTGTCGATGACAAAAGCGATAGGGAGTCCAGCGATTTGGTGCGGTCTTTCATCAACTAAAGGTTTTTTTTTTAAATCTATAGGATTTTTAAGATATTATTACCAAATATTGTTATGCATCGACTCGTTAAATCAAGTGAAAGGCTATTTAAAACAGTTCAAAAAGGGTATCATCAATCTATCAATGAACTCTGATCAATCCTCTAAACTAATCAATTTCGATTCAATTACCTAAAAGGAAGAAAAACTAAAAATCAAACTCAAACCAAGCCATCAAGCAGAATTTCCCGATTTCAGCGAAAAATTTACATTTTTTCGGACAATTCTAGCTGTGCGTTGTCGCGTTTGGAAGCCGATTAGACTTTGTATGAAAAAGATTTAAAAAACGGTTCGATACAAAAAGAAAAGTGAAACTAATCAATCAAAATATTGTTAATAGAAATTTTGTTCATCTAAAAATAGAAAATCGATAGATGAAATTTCGGCTTTCGAGTGCCTAACGGGTCAAAAATGGGTCAACAGCGTTCGGTCGTCAGCTGCCTAGGGGATTATGCTCATTTTTGGTCTCTCTTCTTGAAAATTTCATATGATTTATATTACTTGAATTGAATTGGTCAATTTTTCAACAAGTTCATTTTCCCCTTTTCTTACCATTGTCTTCTTACCATTATCTTCTTACCATTATCTTCTTACCATTATCTTCTTCCCATTGTCTTCTTACCATTATCTTCTTACCATTATCTTCTTACCATTATCCATTTCTTACCATTGTCTTTTTGTCCGTCCTTCCCCGTCGTTTCTCGTATCGTTGTGGCACCGTTTGTGGGGTGGCTGAGCTTGCTGTGCTGGCTAAAATGCAAATTTCAGTTTCGATAAATATTTCATAGATTTTAAATAGCTTTTAAATAGCTTTTCTAAGTTTTCCACCTTCTTTACCCAGAAACTTGTGCGGGAAAGCGAAAATTCGCAATACGTTGAACTTCTTGAAACGAGGAAGTGACTCGGGGGATGGCTCGAGGATTGTTGTAGACATTTTTATCCAAAATAATTTTCACAATTGAAAAGTTTGAACAAATAGATAAATAAAGAATAAAATTTGGCTTAATGGGTAAATTGAAAACTAATAAAAGTTCATTGAGTGTTCAGGGGGAAATTTGAGGAAGTGCATTCTGAAATTTCTAAAGAAAACAGTGCATCGTGTTCTTTGAATCACTTTATTGTATCAGAGCAAAAAGGAACCAATTCTTCCCCTACGAAACCTGAATTGAATAAATATAGAAAAAGAAATTGGTTACGAAAACGAGACAACATTTGATGCCTCTTTTTTTCTCAAGAGAAATCGAAGCCAAAAACATTTCTGTATGAGAAGAGAAAAATGCAAATGCCCGTCCGTCAATGTTTACAGGAATATCGGTATGTACAAGAAGTGAAGTTGACAAAACTTATAGCTATAATTTCAATTTTTTGGGCAAAAAGTTTTGACACGTTAACCGTGATCATCTGGTTCATTTGATCACCACAGTTAGACATTCGTTTAACTCTTTTGATATCATTGTATCTTTTGGTCAAATATTTACAAGTCTTTTTTTTTCTTTAAACTTCTTTCCTTTGGATGAATAGGCTATTTGCATAAGATAATCAAGGGGAGATCTTCCCTTTTAAATGGAAAAGTGAACAAACAAGGAATTGGGAAAAGGGAGATATCAGTTGACCGGGAAAAAGTAACAGACAGTTGGGGAGCTGTGAAAAGTAAAAACTAGAGCGAAACTGGTTTTAAGCTAAACATTGGCAACATTTTGGAAATTGAGCCTTCAACGATTGAAAACAAGATGGAGACTGTATAATTATGAATTGAAATGAAAGAATGACTATGTTTACATTGATCAGGATAAGTTGGAAAGCTGAAAATCAAAAACGAGAGAATTTAGAGGAGAGGCTAGAGGATGTGCATTAGGCAAAAATCGAGGTTTCGACCTCGAATCATTCACTCTATTTTCCTTTCCTTCTATTCCCTTTTCACTAGGATTTTCTGTAGGGATTAGCCTCGAATCCTCGATCGAACATTCTCTAACCAAAACCCCGTCCATTCTCTAACCAAAAATCCCGCCGATAACCTCAAAAAGCCTATGGAGAATCTTGTGTAAGCTCATTTCAGCGTTTACGAGGATTTTATGGTTTTAAATTTTGAAGTGGGAATAGCATTTCGACACTTTTACACGGTACTTTGAAATTGAGTATTGATTTTAAATTTGCATAGCTTTTGCATAGCCCTTAAAACTCACCAATAGAGTTCAATGAAAGTGCCGAGATTGAGGAAGTCGCCGAAAAATCCGATGAAGTTGACGGGATAGCGCTTGAGGTGGACATTTTCAGACGAGGCTGAGAAAAGATCGAGATAAAAAAAACGACAACCACAGAGATAGGTAATCAAAAAGGCAAGAAAATTTAAAAATAAGCTCACCAACAGTGGCAACAAATCGATTCGATAAAAGTGTCTCAGCTGTGCGCATCCTTTTTGTAGGCAATCGCCTTGTAGATAGACTAGAAAATGCGCGAATTGAAGGAATTCTGTGGAAATTTCTGTAGACTTTAGTTTTTTTTTCAATATTTATCTCTTTTTTTTGTAACTCACTTGTATCATTTCCCCCTGCAGAGATGCAAACTTTTCCCCGCGGAAAATGACTCGACAGTTGCAGATTTAAAAGGCGAAATGTGAAAGAACTGGAAATTAAAACTAATAGAATTTGAATTGAATATTAGCTTAGATTAATTTATTAGAATTTTTTAACAGTCTTACGTTAAATCAAGCTCATAGAGAAGCGGTTGATTTTTTGCTGAAGTTGGATCCGAGAAGACGTACACCAAAACAAAAGCATCAAAGGGCTAAAAAAACAAATTTTAGATAATTTTTAGATAATATACTTACCTTAAATACTGTAATAGTACCCCATCCCCCTCGTACAGTCGCGTAGTCGCTGTTTTTAGGATTTCATTTTTTCAAAGCGCCCATACTTTCAAAAAATGCGTCTTTGGTATCAAAAAATAGCTGAAATTCAGGGTTATTTTTTGATACCTAAGCGCGCATTGTAGCATAAACCAGTGTCGAGAAAAACTCGTTCAACGCTAGACTACGCAACACTCCGCACCGTCATTATGGGGGTGCGGTACTATTACAGTATTTACGGTAAGTGTTTATATGCGCATGTTCTTATCATATAAAAATCTAAATAATTCAAACGATTGCAGGCAACGCCATGTGATCTTTCTAGATCCAATACGGTTCTAATACGGTTCCAATACGGTTCCAATACGGTTCCAATACCGTTCCAATATGGTTCTTTTTAGATCCAATACGGTTCCAATACGGTTCTTTTCAGATCCAATACGGTTCCAATACGGTCTTAGCAACTCGCCGTCTAGACGATCTTGTCAAAAAGTACAGTCATCATGAAGCAACAGGTTGATAAAATGGGTGAGGTACTATTACAGTATTTACGGTATATATTATTATATATAACACTTAAATACTTTTAAGTATAAGATTTTACTTGTAGAACACTGTTGAGAAAGTAGCGAGCTGTGGGTTGATCGCCTTTCGTGATGAGGATGTTCGCCTAGAAATTTGCACTTGTGAACTTTTAGTTTTAAGTTAATTTTTAATCTTAAATGTACTATAGCTATAGTATTCTATTTTTTACAAGATAAGATTTGTCTTTTCCACAAACTTTCCCAGCTTGAGCTCCAGACACGGGCATTGCTATACATTTTGTTGAATCCAAGGTGTCAAAGAGATAGAGAAAATTCCGAGAAATCACCGCATTATGAAGAAGCACTGAATGGATAAGAAAGATGAAAAGTTCAAATCAAAATTGGAATACTTGGTGTATTGTTATTCAGCTGAACGGGAATTCGCAACTTTCCACCGCTTTTATCCATGAGAAACCTTGTACAGTGAAACAACTCGATCGAGAAGTTTTGGCCCTAAAAGTTCGATAGTTAGATAGTTAGATTTCGATAAATATCAAATTTTCTCATATCTGATATTGTTTTTTTTTTCAAATCACCAAACCTTTTCGATATTTATGGGAAATGAGACCAAAACGAGCCCCTCATCATCCTCTATTGCAACCAATCTTTTGTGAGCTCTGAAAAGAACTAATCTTTTTAAATGAAAGAGTAAACTTCGGGAAAACTTCTTTAAACTTCTTTAAACTTCTTTAAACCCACTCAATTCTCATTCTTGTCTCTAAAATTTCTCCAATAATTTGTGTCTTTTGGTGTTCGAGATCTAAGCCCAACTCGCATAACATCAAATCGTTATTTTTGGGGCTTTGCAAAACGGCAACGACATTCCCGTTTGGAAGAAAAGAAAGTTGAAAAATCTGAAATTTTGCTGATCATCTTGTAGTTTTGCCGTCTTACCTCATAGTCACTGTACAAGAACTCGGGCCGCGTAAATTTCAGTTCTTGTTCTTGCAGATTTTGAAGATCAGAGAAAAAGAGGGAATCGTTTGATTTTCTGAAAGAGAAAACTGCACTTAGTGTAAGGAGAATCGAGTAATTTCTATATACAGTCGAACCTCTCTATAACGAACCTCGATATAACGTAAACCTCTCTATAACGTAAGGCGTGACCGGTCCCGGCCAAATATAATACAAAATGTCTATAAAAAAACCTCGATATAACGTAACTCTGTATAACGTAAAACTCTATACAACGGAAAATTTTGCCTGAAAATATGCAATTTTTTGTTCCATATAACGGATTTTATGCTAAAACGTGGATATTTCTTCCAACTACCATGCTCTTTGGATGGACTATTCTAATCTGTGGCCTTTTTGCCACAATTTAAAAGAAGAAAAAAAATCACTTACATAGATTCTTAATAAGTTTTTTGCGTTCATATATCGTTCATTTATTCTTTTTACGTGCTTATTTTCTGTATTAAATGATATTTATCATTTTTCAGGCGATGGAGCGAAAGAAGGCGACCCGGAAAAGGATCGATCTAGCTGAAAAAAAAGCGAATTCTTGATGCTTCAACTTCGAAAGGAGTAACGGATTTAGCAAGGGAATTCAAGCGGCCAATTTCGACCATTTCTTCGATTTTGGGCCAAAAGCAAACGATTTCTAATGCGATCAATGACGGTTCTAAGGGCAAGCGAGCACAAGTGAAGAATAGCAAACACGAGGACCTGGAAGGTGCGGTTATTTCTTGGTTGAAAGAGATTCGAAGCAACAATGAATGTGTGGACGGAAATTTGCTTCGAACAAAAGCTTGCAAAGTTGATGGGTATTACCGATTTCCGAGCTAGCAATGGATGGCTAGAAAAGCTGAAGCATAGGCATGGCATTGTTTTTCGTTCCCTACAAGGAGAAGCAGCCGAAATCGACCTGAACAATGTTGAGCAGTGGAAAGATGAAGTATTGAAGGGACTCTTGAAAGAATTTGAGCTAAAAGAATGTTTTTAACTTGGATGAAACAGCTCTTTTTTACAAGTTAACGCCGAATAAAACGTTGTCTTTCAAAGGCGATAGATGCACAAGTGGAAAGAAGAGCAAGGATAGAGTCACTGTTCTCGTCGGATCAAATATGGATGGAAGCGAAAGATGCCCTTTATTCGTGATTGGTAAATCGAAGCATCCGCGTTGCTTTAAGGATGTCAAAAAACTTTCTGTTTTGTACGAAGCAAATTCAAGAGCGTGGATGACCAGCGAATGATTTGAGAGCTATCTCAAGAAATGGAATTCAAATTTGATCAAATTTAATCGGGAAATTTTGTTGTTTATTGATAACTGTCCAGCACATCCGAAGCTCAATTTATCAAAGATTCAGATTAAATTCTTTTTGCCGAATGCAACTGGGGCAATCCAACCAATGGATATGGGAATAATTAAAAATCTGAAGGTCAGATACCGAACAGGATTGTTGAAACAAAGAATTGCAGCTGTCGATGCAAAGGCCAAATTCGAATTTAATCTTTTGGATGCACTATACTTACTCGAAGAATCCTGGAATGACGTTAAAGTGGAGACGCTTTCAAATTGTTTTCGTAAGGCCGGATTCAAGAGATGTATGCAAGATGAGCCGCCATTTATCGAAAACAATAACGACGACGATAACTCGCTACAATCATTGCAGGCTATCTGGAATCAACTTATTGATAGTGAAGACGTTGATCGATCAATCAATCCTTTGGAATTTGCTTGCGCCGACGAAAATGTTGTGACTACAGGGTTAAGATCGCTAGAGGAAATTGCACTAGCTGCTAAAGGTACAGATTATATCGTTTAAAAGTAATGCTAATTTAAGGAAAAGATCAATTATGTTTCCTTAGGTTCGCAACTACAGTCGATTTCTTCTGATAGCGAGGATGATGAGCCAATCGTTGAAGACGTGGAAGAGCCGATAGTGACACGATCCGAGGCATATCTACATCTTCAAAAGCTCAAGATATTTGTGAGGAATAACCCTAATTCCGAAATTGTTAAGGCTTTAGCAACTTTTGATAATTTTTTCTTTGATCAGGCTTTTTTTTCTCCTAAACAATCCCGTTTGACTAACTTTTTTGTTAAACTTTGATGCTTTTTGATAATTTTTTTTTACCTTTTTTGTTGAGTTTTTGCAATAAATATGTTCCAATACCTCTACATAACGTAATGGTTGCAATAAACCCTGCGTTTTTGGTTCTATATAACAAAACCTCGATATAACGTAAACCTCTATATAACGTAAACTATAGCCGGTCCCGTGAGTTACGTTGTAGAGAGGTTCGACTGTAATTCTAATTTCTGTAGATTTACTTGAATATTAAACGTCCATTATGCGTGGCAGCCATGATTTTCGACGGACTGTCCACTCCACGACAACCCAAACTGTCCTTTAGAATGGGTTGGCTCGACATTTTACTGCCGGAAACCATCTAAATGTTAAATATAACCATCTAAATATGAAAATTTTATTATAAAATGGACACTTCGAATTAACGTTACTATAAAAAAACAACTTTACCGGAGAAATTACAGAAATTACAAGACTTAAGGTAAGGTTTAAAATTTAAAAATTGATACAATAACTTCAGTATTCTAAAAAAGTGAAACTTGTAAGAGAAATTTATTTGTCAATATTTCAAAAAACATCACTCGTAAGAGAAATTTATTTGGAAATTAACTCCTCAAAAGTCATATGTCAAAGATCTTATCTTAAAGGGTTTTTGAAGAGAAAATTTAAAGAGAAAGCCAAGAAAATGAAAGGAAAAAAAATCTGGGTAATAATAAAAGAATTTTGACACGTTTTTTTGACAATAAAAATGTTTACAAGCCAGGTAAACAAAGCTCTTGATCAATAATTATTGAAAATCAAAAACAGATGAGAAAATGTAATTTTTGACATTTGAATTGACTCTTGCAAATGAGTAATACAAAATTTTGCTGAACTCCGGGATGATTATCGAATTTCCCCGCTGTAAGTCAGCTTTTTCAAGAAAGGGAAAAGAAAAAAAGGAATGATAAGGGAGAATCTTCGATGGATGGGGGTGTTCATGCAAAGGAAAGAACAGACACACTGAGTCATCTTCTTCCCCTCTCTTATCCAAACCTCTCCGCCTCGGGTCCCCGTCTTGATCGCCTTTGCCTGTAAGGCTAAAGTGCATTTCGTTTAGATTTAGTTATTAATCAAAAGCTTTATGGAAAAGCAGGTTGAAACAAAAAAAAACTCTTACAATTAGACAAGTCTTTTATTGTGAGGATTGACAAGTTTACCGCATTTTATTATTTCAGCGCCTCTTTCGCATATTTCAGCTCTAGCTTTCTGATCCATTTTTCTTCTCGTTTTATTGCAAAATCAAAGTCGCACAGCAATTGTCCCATTGACTCATTCGAAATAAAACTTGTTGAGTCATAGATTGATTGTTGATTCCCTTAGATTCCCTCTAGATCTTGAAACAACGCCTTTCAAAACTTTAGCAATAAAACCTTTTTTAAAACTTCATCCTTTATTACTTGCTGGAAATAATTTGATTCGAGTCAATGGGACAATTGCTTTCTCATCTCATGAATACAGCCCCATAAATTCAAATAATAAAAGAAAATCACTGATTTTCGGAGGGCGTGATTGTTGTTCCTCGACGAATTGTACCCCAACCGATCAATCGCCAATGCTTTTCGATACGCCGCGATAGGGCAATCTTCTCGTCAATCTCTGTGGATATCGGATCGGTGAGTGTTATTTTGGCTTTCTCATCCTTGACGGCAAGTTTTTTGTCAAATTACTCACCCTCTTATCACTCGCTCTACCAATTTTTCCTCGTTGGCAGAACAAAATTTCGTGAACGCCGGGACTCGAATCCACGACCTTTCCGGGCAAATGTGCTAACCATTACACAACATTACACTGATCGCCCTTACTCTAGATCTCCCTTACTCTAGAGGGAGTTAAGTTTCCAGTTAAACCAAAAAAACTCTGGTAGTGGTAACTCTGGAAAATCAAAAAACAAAAATTGAAAATATTAGAATTATTCCACAATTTTTCCCACAAAAGATACGGGAATCGTAAAATTTTTGCAAGAAAATTTTCAAAAGCTGTTTTTCTTTCTTCAAACATTAGTCATCTTTAGGACAGCGAAAACTAAAACTAACAAAAATAAAATGTAAGCGAAATCTGGGTAAAATAAAAAAAGGGACAGTTTCTACTGTAAGCAACATATGATAGTTTTTTAAAACTGTGGTGTTGTCAGCTTTTTTTCTATCAATCTGCAAAGTTTTCACGTAGAATTCATTTATTATCTCATCATCTAATAGAAATCTCAACAATATCCACATGTTTTTCTACAAACTCTTCTCATTAAATTTTGATAGTTTCGATGATCACAGAGGCCCGCTTTTGCCTGGCAATCGATCGCTCGATCTCGACATGGAAGCTGAAAATATGCAAATTTATTTTACTACGATGCCAGATGGAAGTGTATATGATGAATACCGTATTCTCTCTAATAATAGTGCGCACTACTATTTTTTTCAACCTCCTTCTGAACCGCAATACTATTAAAGAGTTTTATCATTTACCAAAGTAAGACAGATATAAACTTTATTCCAAAAATTCTTGCAATTCTTTCACGTACTCCTTTGGCTCCTTTTGACATACAGTTGTGGGCCGGCGAGTTGACAATTTGTATCTTGACAAACAACAAAAAGATGTTTTTGCACTTTGCACAACAATTTTAGATTTTTTGCTAACTTTTTCATGTGAAGAATAATTAATAAATGAATAAAAAAAGCCTCACTTTTACTTGCTTGAATAGCTTTAGAATGTCACATAAACATAAAGTCAAAAAGGTTTAGATGAAAAAGAAGCACCAGAAATTCAAATTTTCGAGGGTGCACTACTATTTTTTCAACCCCCTCCTGGACCGCAATACTATTAGAGAGTGCACTGCTATGAAAGAGTGCACTACTATTAGAGAGAATACGGTATTCAAAACAGACTCTAACCAAGCCTTGATACTGAATCTAAATCTCACCGTTGTTACCGTGGTTGTGGTTGTTGTTGAAGTGCTTGTAGATGTTGTTGTGCCTTCAGTCGTTTCATGTCCTCGAATCAATTTCATCACATCAATGATTGAAATCTCTGAAATATTGCATTTCTTTTTCCTGACTGTTAACTATATTCTTAATGCTTTTTAGTAATTGCAAATCGACGAACCATCTTCTTTCTCCTCCTCCTCCTCTTCATCTTCTTCTTTCACTCGTCTCGATTTTGACTTTCCTCGTTTCTTCGTCGCAATTTTTGGCTTTTTCGTGGTTGGTTGATAACGACCACTGCAGAAACCACAGGAATAAGCACATCTGAAAAGATTTCTATTGAGAACAAAATAAAAAAACTTACTGTTTTCTCATCAAATTTCTGAACATGAGATTATCACATAATTCGAGACTCTCCTCACAATCTGACGCCTCGTCCTCACATTTTCGTCTCGGCGCAAATTGAGTGAGTGCTATAAAATAGGCGTTAGATGGTTTGTTTCAATTTTATTAACAAAAAGAAACTTCGTTATTGAATCAATGAAAGATTTTCCTGATTAGAAGCGTTAGAACTTACAAGGAAACGTATCGTTGCAGAGGTTACAGGTCCTTGGGCAAGCTTGGTGCATGGTTGAACTAAATCTGGGTTTGTTTATATAAATTATTTGAAACTAAAGAAACAGCATATGCAAGAGAATATCGGGTGTACTTTGTGTGCTTAAAAATGAGATCCGTGTTTGTTTCCAGCATTTATTGCTGGAATTTATTTATTTCCAGCAACATAAATTGGATCGTTTACAACTGAATAGGCAGTCGGATGTCATTTCGATATTTCTATTATATTTACAGCCTTTAAGCTGAATAGGCAGATCTTTAAGCCAATCTTTTAAGAATGAAATTTATTTGCAAATTTGAGCTGTACCTGTGCTCTTCCAGTGCGCATAAATCTTTCCTCCTCTCACAATCTCTTGACAAATCAACGCACAGTGTTGCTTGAGTAAATGAACCGGGAATCACCAATACGAGGAAATAGAGATAAATAAAGATCATTAACATTCCATTGGATTGAAGATCTTGCAATGAAATCCGAATGGGAAGGTCCACCAAAAGTGAAATCCAATAGATCCTCGTGAATCTCGAGGGATATTCACAAAAGGAAAACACCAAATGTTTGTTTATTTTCTTCTTTTCACCATTACAACACCTTTAAAGAGATCTTTTCGTCTATATCGGCAAAAGAAATTTGTCGGGCGAACGCTGTGAATCAATTGGTGCTATCGAATGACTCGTTTCGAGGATGCCTCACGCAAAAACTGGCTCTGCCAAAACAAGGATTGGTCCTGCGAATGAATCGCAACTTTAGTTCATGAACCAAATTGAATAGTTTGAGAATACTAAAGAATTTATATGCTTACCGTTTAAACTTTTCGGTTCAACAGGCAAGAATTGAACCTATGAAAACAAGTGCAATTTCTTATTGCTTACAGCATTTCTTGCAGTTCAAAGGTGAGGTTTTGGTTAAACTTTGTGCAATGGGAGTAAAAAAGACTTTCAAAGTCCACAATTCGCAAGCTAACTCTTTAAGCTTACTATTTTGATCTTACTGTTATGTTGAGGACTCGGTTTGTTTGCTTTCTTCATTCTACGGTGATTTACTTTTACTGAAATAAAACTGGAATAAGACATTGATCTCATTGATAGTCTTGTCCTAAAGTATAGTCTTGAGCTTAATCAATCATCGTCTCAAGGCCAAAAGAAATCAAAGCAACTATATGGTTGAACTGTATCAAACTTTGTTGATTGCTTAGTTGGTTTTCAATGTTGGTTGCTTAGTTGATATGCTGTTAGCTGCCTTTTTTTCAAAAGAATAAAACACTAAGTAGTTTACTTATCAAAATAAGTAAATTATCTATCTATTGTACATAACTAGATTGATGGACCATCATGGGGTCAATGTATCTTCCCAATCATTCACCCATTTCCCTTTCTCAATCATTCCTCATCGTCTGTCTCTTTTCCCCCTTTTCCCTCTTTTGAAGCATCATCGATTGATCCAACCACAGAGGAAGAGACAAAAAGACTCATTGACTCTCTGTTCTTTACCCTTTTCTCTCTTCTCGTTGTTGTGGTTGTTCTCTTTTTCTCTCTTTCTTCAATATCTCATCCATCCTCATATCTCTATGGCTTTTCGATTCCTATCTATGGCTTTATGAGCTTTTTCTGTATCAAACTTTTACTCCTTTTTTATATCTATGATTTATAATCGTAATACACACTTGTGTCAACAATCTAGAACAGAATGAGCTTTTCATGCCTCAAAAATGTTCCAAAGCTGATGTTTCCCAACCTGGCTTGGCTAAAAAATACCAGGAAGATTCAAACCAAGGATTTGACCTGGCCATCTTGGCCTGACTTATTGAACCAGGTACATACCTAAACCAACCTACATGCAGATATTCCCTCCTCTTCTCAAACATCTTTGCTCTACTCCATCTTTCACCCTCCATACCCTTCTTTTCCCTCTTTTTCTCATCCATCCGCAATCCAATCTCCAATCGTTTTCCGTTCCCCTGTTTGCTCGACCCGACCGATTTTTTTTTGGTTAACCCTGTCCCGTTTTTTCCGAGAAAGATCTTTCTTTACTTTTCAAACGGTTTCCCATGTGCTTGTTATGATTTTTACGTTTGTAATCGTTTCCATTAATATTTGGGAGCTTATGCTCTGTTACTCTAGAGCTCTGTTACTAGAATTATTTAGAAATTTCGCCAATTAGAAAATTTCGAAATCTTTTCAAAATAAATAACCAAAAATAAATTTTATTTAGGGAATAAAGTTTTGTTTTTCCGTTATTTTCCATCTCAGAAAAATAGGGCGTTTTTTCTGACCATGAGTTTTTAGATTTGATCTCATTTTAATCCCCATCTCACACAGAGCTATTTTTGTGTGCACTTTCAAATAACTACTGGTGTACTTGTAAAAAGAGCAAAAATAAAATAGGACCGAACTTTGTCAAACTTTCATTTTTCAACTTTTATCAAAAATCGTGTTTTTCAGTTCTCGCTTTGTTCCGGGCCTACCCCAAAGCCGGTAGATAACACTTTTTGGAAGTTTTTATTTTTTCCATCAAAACAAAGCTGAATCACTTTGCAAGAATGGGGACAACTTGCATCATTTTCTTCCTCGGTCACAATTGATTCGTTCAAAAACTTTTTTTTTTGTTGTTTTTGAGAAAAGGTTTTCGCTGTTGTTTGGGTTTCGGTGGTTTTCTAATTCGTTCATCAGTTATATTTGTAAAATTTCTTTTCAGGAAGATAATTTCAGGAAGATTCTTTTAATATGATTTTATTTCACGAATCAAATCAAAAGTAAACGTGTTTGGCTGTACTTTGTGTCTAAAAACGAGAAACACACTCTCTCTGACGGACTAATTCCTCAAAATTAGCTTTGCACCACATGATTTGAGTGTGCCAGAAAAAGTGTTTCCATATTTAGGCACAATTTCCACTCAAAGAAAACATAGTCAAAGAGCAGAATAGTGATGTTTTTTTTGCATATTCACAGAATAAGTGAGGGTTGCCATTCACACCGATTCCACGTGCCACTCTTTGTGTGTATGTGCTTCTTTCTACTCTGTCTATCCGTCCCTTTCCCTTGCTTTTTCCCTTTCCTCGCCGTGACACAGTCACAGTCTTCACTTACACCAATTGTCCCATTGCTTTTCCTCTTTTTTTCATTTTTTCTCTGCTTTTTGTTCGGTGAAAATCGAGGAAAAGTGGGAAATGGGAGAATCCCGAATCCCTTTTTGTGTGAAGAAAGACCGCTCTCTGTCCTTTCTCAATCGCTTTTTTCACCTACAACAATAAACATTTGGAATTTAAACATGTGCAGAATATTACTATTCACTACTAGCTATAATAACTAATCTTCGATGGGTTTTGCTCGGCTTGGAGCAGTTAGGAAACTTCATAGAAATTTTTCTACACATTTGGACTTTTGAAGTGAATATGAAATTAGTTTTCAAAGTAAAAGTGATCGTTTCCCCGGCCTCTCACTTTCTCTCTTCAAAAATCATCCTCCAAATTCAAAGATCACTTTTTAAGCCGATGTTTCCACATGAACAACGAACTTCTCACTGAAAATATTATTGTTTGTCATTTGTATAATGTTCAAACTTCAAAATTTCGTTTTAAACTTCTATTACGAAGAGTACCAAAGTATCATTCGAAGAATTCACAAATTTTTTCTTATCCATTGATTCTAATCTCTTGTTCTGTTTTTGAAGCATTCGAGAGAGCTTTCGCTCAATCAAAAAAGACAGACCAAACAACGAAAAAGCGGAAAGAAAAAATGTGTGGAAAGTTTTGACCAAAAAAGTTTCATCATGTAGATTCTTTCCCGTCTTTTCCCCCAAACATCTATCGATCATCCAGCGAGTTTTCCCCCGATTTCCCCTTTTTGACGATAATTGTGACTCTTTTTTTTAAAGTTTTTCATCTTTCTTTTCGTTGAGTATCGATATCGATAATGATTAGTTTGTGGCGATTAAAATGATGAATACTTTGTAAGTAATCTTTTTGTTTACCCACTTTTTTTTTGACAATTGAATCCATTCTGAATGTAGGAAAAATAAATTGACGAAGGCTTCCTCGTATGAAAACTATTTGTTTTGCTCTGTTTTTAAAAAACGACTGAGAAATTCCTATAAATATTTAGCTGTTTGAAAAAGTTTTCATTCCGCGTTCATTTCCTGAGACTTTTCTCGCTTTTTCATTTTTTCCCATTTGACGAGCTCAAACACTACAATTTTTATCCTTTTTTTCGAAAAAAAACAAAGCTTCCCATTTTTACGGCGTCATTTATGTTTTTCGAACAAATCCCTTTTTCATTTCGAAGCGTTTTTCCTGTAATTTTTTTTTCACATACTACCGCCCTTTGAAACTTGTATTTTCTGTTCTTAGTTACTCTAATTTTCGACTTTAGTTGCAAAAGATGGGTGAACCACCAACGGTGTCCAAAGCGAGCGGATGGGGACAACGACTACGCGGTTGGCTGTTCGGCATTTTCATTATGGGATCGACGCTTTTTGGTGAGTGATCGGGTTTTGATAAAGATGCATGTTGATATCGATTCGATTTAATTCATGAACCGAAGTTGATTCAATCAGGCTTGTCTAGTACTCTGATCTTGTCCCCCTGTTTTTAAAAAGCGACTGAGAAATTTATGGCAATGTGAAACCTTTAGGCAATGCGTTAAATTAGTTAAGTAATATACTAATTAGTCAATAGTAGACGTCATGCTGCATTAATATATTTTCAATTTTAGGCACACTCTACCTGTTCATCCCTTTCACTCCACTCATTTTCTTCGCCCCTCGTGCATGGAGACGATATGCCGACTACATGAATGGTCTTTGGCACTCAATGGCTGCAGTAAGTGCCCTTATCAAATGGCATTTAATATATCTTCAGTATAATATAATTTCTTCTACTTTAGGGCACCGTGCGTTTGTTATTCGGTGTGAAAGCGCGAGTGATTGGTGACAGGATTGATCCAAATGAAATGGCCATCTATATCATGAATCATCGAACAAGGTGTGTTCATTTCCTATGCTTATTAATTTAAATCAATAAATAGTGTGTTATTAAAGTTATTATTATGTTTAGCTTGGATTGGTTCTTCTTCTGGAATGCTTTGTATCAACAGGATCCACTACTCAATCAAACCGAGAAGATCGCCTTGAAAGGAATTGGAAAACATTGTCCTGGAGCTGGTAAAGATTTAAAATAAAATTCTCTTGCCATAGGAAAGTTATTGTGTCTATTGAGTAAGCTTGTTTTTTCAGGCTGGGCCATGCAGTGTAACAGTTTCATCTTTTTGGATCGAAACTTTGAAAAGGACAAAGAGAAAATTCGGCGTCTTATCGACTACTACGTTGGCATCGGGAACAACTATCAGGTGAATTGGTCATTAAAAGTATAACTTTTTTTTCTGAGTTTAGCTTCTACTTTTCCCTGAAGGTACCGATCGATGCCCGATCTCTGTGGAAAGTAACGAACGATATGCGGCAAAAGTGGTGAGTGTTAACTGAAAGATATTCTTGTAATATTTCTTAATTTTAGGGTCTCAAACCTTACTCTTATGTGCTCCATCCACGAACCACCGGATTCACCCACATCGTTCAGCAAATGCGAAAATGTGCGTAAAGTTTAATAGCTTGATAGCGATTTATAATAATACGTTTATCTTTTGGATTTAGCTGGAAAACTGAAGGCTATCTACGATGTGTCGGTTGGTTACAAGGATAAAATCGTGCAAACTGAGACGGACATCATTTTTGAGGGAGTCGCTCCAAAAGAAGTGCATTTCCAGGTAAAGTAGTTTACCAGGCAGATTCGTTAATACTTTTTGTCCAATAGCTAAAACAGTTTTTAATCTTTACGTTAGAAGAAATCATTAAGATTTTTTGCTTTTTAGATTGTCCGAGTACCGATTGATCAACTGCCACATCAAGATGAGGAAGTCGCTGAATGGATTACAAAAAGGTGATTTATATTTTCTCTTTATTAAACAAACTAAATTCTCTTTAGGTGGGCTGATAAGGAAGAGAAGTTGCGACGGTTTTACGACACTCCCCGCGATCAAACATTTGACAATACACCACATGGAAAGGAGTATGAAGTACGTTTTTTAGGAGTTTTGTTTATTTTAACTTGTAATCAATTAAAATATTCGTTGGTTCTAGTTATAAAAGTATAGAATGAGTTAAATAATGAAATTTTATAAATACTGTTGATTATTTAGTTGAAACCAAACGCTGAACGATGGAACAACATTGCCGTGGCCACTTGGGCCATTGCAACCTTCTCGTGGATGTTCGGAGTTCTTCCTTTCCCGATGCTTTCTTGGTTCTCGTAAGTTTATCAAGTTTCACAAAGTAAAAAAGAATATTCTTCGTAGATGAAATAAGAAAGTCAATAATTGCTAATTGTTATGTGCTAAAGTTCCTCAAGTTTAGATTCTACGGTGTATTGTTCTACCTCATTGTGACTGCGGTTTATGGAGGCGTTGAATTCCTTGTCATTGAAAGGTTGGGTCTCAGATAGGTTTAAAGTATCGATTAATTTTTTGAATTATTCCATTGTTGCTAAATATTTTTTAGGTTCCGTGCTTGGAAAGCGTCCGGTGATCAAAAATGGGATTGGGATGTGGTGCCAAGGATTTTCCATCGAATCTCCGAAAAATTGCCCCTTGGCTTGTTTTGAGCACATCTTGTTTTTTCTGGGTATTTCACGGTTGTTTAATACTTTTGTCTGTTTGGTTGTCATGTACATTTTTCGTTTTGCTATCAATCGCATTTTTTGTTCGTGTGTGCTGAACAATTCTCATGTACTATTTGACGGGTCACTTTTGAGATTTTCATCTCGCCCCAATAGTAATCAAAATTATTATGTCATTTCTATAGACTGTTTTTTTCTGTGGTTGTACTGTGTACCTACCGTATTTATTCTAATAGAAGCGCATGCGCTTTTATTTCTCAATCATTCCACAAAATTGCTTCTATTGGAGGCTGCGCTTCTATTAGAATAAATGCGGTATATATATTTGAGACTCTATTTTCTCATTGATCGATTTTGTGTCTATTGATTATCTTCCTCTTTTCATTTGTCTTTTCTTGTACTGCAGGTTCTTGTCTTACTCTGGTCACACTTATGCGGTCGATACAAAATATGATGAATAGTTTGAATAAAAAGTTATGAGGCTCTAGGGAAAGGTGAAAAAAAATTGATAAAATCGCAAACCAGATTTCGAACACACCGTAACACTTGCAATACAATTTACAATGTGTCTCATATTTCGAGACACCCCAAAATTTTCTGTTTGAAGCGTTTTCAGTTTGTTGACAATCGAAATGTTGTTTTTCGAGATCAGCGTATTCGAAAATCTAAATTGATATTGTTTATTCCAAAAAATAACAGAAATAGCTTTGAAAATAAAGAATTAAGAAATTTAGGTGTCCCAAATTTCGAGATACCTTAACAATAAATGATCATTAACATAGCGAAAGCAATATCAAAAATTTGAGTAAGCGTTTTAAACTCATCTAATAATCAATTTGTTGTTCTTTTCTTTGAATCAAGTCGTGAATTCGTGAATTCACCGAAGAAGCGAGTTTTTTCAAGGAGTCTGAGTGGCAATTGGTTCCATTCAACCTCAATCGACTTTTTAAGATCATCAACCTTATCATACTGCTTTCCACCACCATAAACCCGTTTGCTAAGATTTCCCACAAGTTTTCGATGGGATTGACATCAGGTGAGCACACCGGCTAATCGATTAGAGGAATTTTCTGCTTAGCCAGGTAAGCTTTTATCGAATTGCTCACGTGAATGCTTGCATTATCTTGTAAAAATGCATATCCTGGGTTCAGATTCGATGTAAAAAAGGCGTGAGATCTTTGTTCAAAAGGTTCTGGTAGTCCTGGCTGTTCATTTTGCTTGTTGTAAACTGAATTGGAAATGAGCTCCCTACATGAAAAGCGCCCCATGTCATAACTGAGCCTCCACCAAAATTACGCTTTGAAAAAACCAAAGGACTCTTTCGGGAGTCATGCCAGTAATATCGAAAACCATCACAGCCATCAAGATTTCATTTTTTTTTCATCCGAGAAAACAACCTTGTCCCAATTTCTAGTCATCTCGTTTTTGGCAAACTCGCGTCTCTTCCGTCTGTGCTCTTCCGATAATCGAGGAGCCTTGTCCATCTTTTCGTATTTTGGTATTTGAGATTTAGAGAAGCGGATAGAAATCGATGTGCTGTTGACTTTGAAATGTTCAATCCCCATTCCTGAGCGAGCTTTTGACATGATTTCTGGCTATTTGATGTCTCGTTGACTAACTTTGGGCTTTGGTCCCGGTTTCTGTGTTTTCCTTTTTGGATTTTTAGTCCTTTTAATAACATTTCGAACTTCAGCCTTCGACAACTTCAGTGTTTTTGCGATGAATCCGTATCTGTGCTCGGCTTTGTGAGAGCTTTTGTGAGCATCGATCTATCCGAGTTGTACGCCACTGAACCGCTTGTAACCCGTCATTCTAAAGGAACAAATTTTTAAAAAAACAGTAAATATACACAAAATACAAAGTAAAATAAAAAAACACATATCGCAAATCGCAAAAACTTTCAAAGGTGTCTCGAAATTTGGGACACCTAAACTTCTTAATTCTTTATTTTCAAAGCTATCTCTGTTATTTTTTTGGAATAAACAATATCAATTTAGATTTTCGAATACGCTGATCTCGAAAAACAACATTTCGATTGTGAAACTATCAAATAAACTGTGAAAACGCTTCAAACAGAAAATTTGGGGGGGGGGTGTCTCGAAATATTAGACGCACTGTAGAAGTGATTTTGGGTAAATTTATCGTTAAATTTTAAAGCTGCTATTGATAATCACAATTTCCCCTTTTTCGAACATTTGATCGTCTAACAGATCTCAGCAAACTGCTTCAAAATATTTTGCTTTCACTCTCGCTTTCCCAAGGTCAATGCGTGCGTTTTTTTGATAAAAATATTGTATGTTGAGCGAAATCTCAGCTAGTTTTATCTAATTGCGAAAGCGTTTGGCGAAAAATGGGATAAAATAGAGTATCACATCATTTTGGTGCTACTAAATCTTACCTGATAAAGATGGAATGAATCTACTCCTCCTGACACTAACCAAAATGGACTTTGAATTGGAATGATATCGTTAAACTTGCTCAAATTTGCCCAATCAAAATGTACATTTAAACGATGATTCGAACATTTACAGACACACAAAAACCTTCTCTGTGTCGATAATGGAAACTCAGTTCAAAGGGGAGATTTCCAAATTTCCCCAAATCCAAGAGTTCCCGTTCCAGTTCTTCGCCCAAAGTCAACCCCTCTTCTCTTTTGCACATTACTAAAACCCGTTTATAACCTTGAAAATTGACCCGCCGAAAGACCCAGGCAAAGATAGGCAAAATTTGAGAAACACGTGGATGAAAAAAAGATATCGGAGATTTGGGAGAGAATGTTTTTCAGTGAATGAATCGGCAATCACCGCCCCTTACGGTGTTCCTATATTTTGGGAAAGAAAACTCGGCAAATCGCTGGAGATTCGCACTTTCAATCGCAGTATAAAAGTCTACTCAGGCTCTCCGTTTTCAGCGCAAAGTCATTTTTGTAAACGAGAGGAACTCTTTCATTTTTTTTGTACAATCCTGTATCTCTCAAATCTATCGACTCAATTAAATCACATCTTTACATTACTGCCTTATGCAGTTCAGGCTTTGATTCATCAACTTTGCTATCAAACTCGACCTTACCCTTATAAAAACTCTATCAATCTCTATCAAAGTTTTCAATTTATTAAATCTACCCGAAAACCCGTGTCCTTTTTATCTCTTTTGCTATCTGCTGCTTGAAAAATTTGATAACTGCTCAGTTTGCAGATTCTGAGATTCTGTTGAGTTCATTTGTTTTTTTTTTTTAAACATCAGTCAATCGATTTCCAGGATGCTCCGATACATTCTCCTCATAGCTTTCGCCATCGTGATGGTCATTGCCCGACCGGGAGGATGTGAGTATTGTTAACAAAATCTATTACTGTAGGATGAAACACATGAACAATTTCAAGCTAGAATATTCAATCCAATCTTTTTCCAGACAACCCATACGGTGGTGGCGGCGGCTATCAACCCGGTGGCTACGTCCCAGGTACTGTGGTTAAATGAGAACGTCTTTTATATGTGTAAGAGCTGTGAAACTTTCGGTTTTTAGCTTTATACAAAGAAGTACTAGATCTCAAGCAAGTTTACAAGATAATTTCAGGAGGCGGCGGTCAGTTCGGAGGCGGCGGTCAGTTTGGTGGAGGCGGAATAGGACAATTTGGTGGAGGAGGCGACATGGGAATGGGAATGGGATCTCCTGGAAAATAAATCGACATCGCATTTTTAAGCTAAAGAATACTTTTACGATAAAATTTTTGCTAAATTTTTTGCATCTTACCGTTTACACCTATCTCTGCCAATTAAGGAATTGGTCAAATATTCCCCGAAAGCAAAAGCATGTTATCTGTTGGATATTGCATGGTTAATTTGTGGAGAACTTTTGAATGTATTCAAAGCACATTTACATTCATTCTCAATTCAACTTCAACTTCTACAAATTCAAACATCATGAAAATCTTCCAATTTTTGAACTGAGCCTATAAAATAGATGCAAATTCGAAACAATACGCGTTTCATTCACTGGAACGAGATGCCAAAAGTGTCTTCTTCCAACGGGAAGTGTCCCATAAAATAAACGAGATCGATTCCGCGTCTCACAATCAACTACTCGCATTCTCAATGATGAAGCCTTGATGAAGAGCGAAGATGGGAAATGACACATTCTTGCCAAACCATTTCCCACTCCTGAATGCTCAATTGGTCAAGAGGAGTACTCGATCTCTCGCCGACTACAATGCCCATTTCTTCCCTGTTAACATACTTCCCTGTTAACATATGACTTGCGGGTACTATCCGGTTATATCCCCAAAAATTTGCATTTTAAAAACTAAACAAAAGACCCATGCATGAATCCGGTTAAACTCCCGTAAATGTTGCCAGTTGCCACTTATGAATCGCTTTTTTCAATTCACCATCGAGAATTCAAAGAAAAGGTGATTATTTTGAAGGATTGTTATATTTACATGTTTTTGTAATAGAAATCGTAATCAATCAATTCTTTTATTCAAAACACCGGCATTTTGCACTCTTTACAAGTCAAAGAAAGAATACTGAAGGTTTTGTAGGATTTTTGATAAAAATTTACGTACAATAAGCAATGAAAAAGCTGAAAATGATATCACTTTTATCATAAAAGAGATGAATCGTTTAAGTTTCACGAAAGATTTCTGTATGAGGCAATGAGTTTTTATCAAGAAATTTGGTGAGCAAAAATATTTTGGCTAACAGAGTACATAGAATTTATAAAGATAAAATTTACATAGAATTTTATATAATGAAATTTGACACGGGTTTTCCTTACAGGGAAAACTGTACAAGCAGTCACTTTTGAAGGGGTAAATGCGAGAGATGAGAAAAGCAACGATTTGAAATTTAATGGAAAAGTATTACAACTCTAAATGTTGAAAAGTTTTGATCAAGAACTGAGAAACGAAAAGTTTGCTAAGATTGTTAAGAAAATATAAGTCGAATCCAAAGATCCAACTCAATGTTGTCCCTCCAATTGTCGAACCATCTCTCTCACCACTCCCAATTGTGAGTCACCCATCAGAAATGGCGGTTCATCGATCATTTGTGTTGTCCCACCCATTTGTCTGATCTGTTCAACGGTTAATGGAGTTCGTTGACGAGCCGATGTCGTTGAGGAAATCAAACGACCGTTTCGACGAAGCTCCAACGAAGGTGTTTTGCTGAAATCGTCGTTCTAACAACTGTTTTACTTTTATTTGCTTTATTGGATTGGTGAATTGAAAACTGCCGGCTATTGTCATATGTGACAGGTTGAGCACTTTCTTCAAAAGAAACCCATTTTGGTGTCAATGGAAAAGTTGTAGAGAATCAAAAATAAAGCTTATATCCAAATTTTCAGAACGATTCAAAAACTGGTTTTCAAGAAGTGCGAAATTTACGAATTTCCACAAAACTTGCATTTTAAGCGAAACTACTGAGTGTATCTTTTTGGAAATTTGGCTATAAGCCTAATTTTTGATTCTCTACAACATTTCTATTGACACCAAAATGGGTTTCTTTTGAAGAAAGTGCTCAAACTGGGACATCTCCAGTCCTCGATTTTTGAGTCTCACACTTGTCTCACACACAAACCAAAATCCTACTACGAAAGAGGAATCCGCAAATTGCCTGTAAAATGGGCAGAAGTCGTCAATAATAATGGAAATTATTTGGAATGAATTCATCGTTTTATGTTTAATAGATTTTAGTTCAAAGTCCGGCAGTTTTCAATTCACCAACCCAATACTTACTAACTACCGTAGTATCTTTAGAACTTCTTCTTACCGATCAGGAATCGGTGGTGCTGGTCCCATTTGCATTAATCTTTTCAATTGCCATCTTTCAAGTGGTCCTGCATCAGGGGAAAGCAGACGGGGATCAACGGCTGTGGAGGGACGGATTAGTTGAGGGCGAGAGGGAGGAGAGTGACAACGGGAAAGCTAAAAGAATCCTATTCAACACTCATAAACATAAAGTCTAACCACCAACAGAGTTACAATTGAAGTCTAGCTTATCCTAATAAGTCCTTTTATCCTAGTCATAGTCCTAGTATTGTTACCTGTGGCGAAATGGCTCTTTCAAGGTATCCTTGGTGTGTCATAGCCTTGGGAGAATTTGCCCTAAAAATTTGAGGGTTGAGAAGCGAGTTTGAGACCACTGAATGGCAAGCCATAATCTGCATGCAAACAAGTTAACAAAAGTGAAAGAAATGAAAAAAAAAACAAACAAGCGGTTTATTCTTGGCTTAACCTATTTCAATCAGGCATACTTGCTTTAAAATCTTTAAAATCATGGAAATCTCAATTCACAGCTGATGTACCTCAAAGTTCCCGATCTCGACGTATCCTCATCATCGCTTCCCATTGTTCTCACCAATTGATCCAAACGAGTCAACGATTTCGATCGCATTTTCACTGCTGGTTCTTCAACGCAAAAAAAAACAACAACATAACTCTCACGAAATCTCACGAAATCACCACAACTTTTAAGATGGCTTTTAGCTTAAGCAAACTTAGGGTTTAGATAGATAGTTTAGAAAAGAAGTATTGAAGAATCGATAGTATTGGGCGTCACAACACAAATCGGGTATTGGATGAGTGGTTTTTGAAGTTTATTCATTGATTTTTGAGATAAAGGTATTTTTACCATAAGCAAATTACCTATTTACCTTCAAAAACCAAGCACCCATTAATTCTATTGATATTATTTCTTTAGCTACTGAGAGAAAGCGATTAGTGAGACAGTTTCATTCATTTTATCAACCTGTTGCTTCATGATGACTGTACTTTTTGACAAGATCGTCTAGACGGCGAGTTGCTGCCGCTGTATCACATGGCGTTGCCTGCAATCGTTTAAATCATTTAGATTTTTATATGATCAGAACATGCGCATATAAACACTTACCGTAAATACTGTAATAGTACCGCACCCCCATAATGACGGTGCGGAGTGTTGCGTAGTCTAGCTTTGAACGAGTTTTTCTCGACACTGGTTTACGCAACAATGCGCGCTTAGGTATCAAAAAATAGCCCTGAATTTCAGCTATTTTTTGATACCTAAGCGAGCATTGTAGCATAAACCAGTGTCGAGAAAAACTCGTTCAAAGCTAGAATACCCAACACTCCGCACCGTCATTATGGGGGTGAGGTACTATTACAGTATTTACGGTAATTGCTGTATCCGAATAAAAATTAGATTCTTTTTTAATATTTTATGAAAAGAAACGGACAGAAAGTGTAAAAAATGAAGTGCAATTCTAGGTGACACTCACAGTGAGACACACTCGACGATGCCGTACAACGGGGATGATTGGTGGGTGAAGAGGTGAGAATTGATGGGAATCACTCCAGTCATTTCGCCCATTCGTGTCATTTTTTCGTTTCTTCTCTTCACTCACATTCTCCACACCCAACATTGTCAATGATTTGTAGAGATCGGCAAAAGTAGCCTCGATGTCAGCCGAGGAAGTGTTTGAAGGGGAACACTCACGGAAACCAAGTGGACGAGGCTAAAAAAAGATTTTGAATAAATGAAAATTTGTATTTGATCTCTAATTTGATAAGTTTACCTTTTTTGAACAAGTACACAACTGCTCGTCACAACAAGAATCAATCACTGAATCAGGCAGAGATTTGACGGCTTGTCGATCGTGTCTCGGCAATCCAATTGTTGATCCATGATGGCGACTCTTCTTTGTTTCGAATAATCGCTGTCGTGGAGTCACAGGTTCAGAGCTCTAAATGTTTAATTTAGTATATCTGGAATTGCTGCTAACGATAAAATCTGTGATTGTGAGTTTTTTCGAATAAGATCTTACAGGAATCGATACTTTTGGTACTTTTACATGCAAAGAAGTCCGAGCGAGCGAAAAATTATTTTGTTGTTAACAAATGTTTCTCAAAGTTTTCATTATATTTATCTAGACTCAAAACTAGACTTCGGAAAACAAAACTTAACCAAAACCAAAACCACCAAAACCAAAACAGACCAAAACCAAAACCAAAACCAAAACTAACCAAAACTCGCCAATATCTCGCGATTGGGAGGAGCTAGCGAAAATCTGTTTGCAGATTTGAAATCAGCGTCCAAAAATCTATCCCATAGGCTACTTTTTGTTTCGAAATTTCGAGGTCGTGTTTTGGTCCTTTTTTCGGCCGCGAGATTTTGGGGAGTGAGAAAAAGTGAAAGGCAAATTTGCATTTTACAATTTTAAATTTACATGTTAATTTATATGCAAATTGAGTTTTGGTTTTGGTTTTGGTTTTGTTTGCCGAACTCTACTCAAAACTTCAATCAGAAAAGAAAGTTCAAACGGTTTAGCTTTAAACGAACCAATCTAGCTGAGCTTGTGCTTGCTTGATGGGGACACGTGCATCCCTCAACTTTGCCGGCGATTCGATCTGTTGGACAGGGTGGTAAAGTCTGAATTGAGTTGTACATTGTCAGCCTTAAAAGCGTTTCAAATGTCAGCAAGTAACCTCAATCATCAATCGACTCGCCGACAAACTCCTCCTCCTTCTATTGGCATTCGCCGGACTTTCCTCTCTTTGTCTTTCCTCTTTTTCCTTTCTCTCCACACTTTTTCGCCGTTTCTCCAGATATTTTGGAAATTTTCGGTGATTTTTAGCGGAAACTAAAATTTTCTCGTTTAGAATTAGTTTTTGCCACAAACCTTCAGCAAACTCCGGGCGCCCAAAGGTAACTTTTGGTTGGGTGTGATCCATGCTGAGCATTAAGCGTTTTGTTTCTTCTGGGATTGCTACCTAAAGTCAAAGATTAGTAGGCTCTAAAGTTAAATCCCTCTAGAGTCAGGGATAACGAGTGCGTTGTGGTGTAATGGTTAGGAAAGTTGCCGGGTAGGTCTTACAATTTCTCACTTTCCTTCGCTGAATCCTTATACTGAATTTAAAAAAAAAGATCCTTTGACTTTTGCCTTTAGATCTGAATATCGAAGTACTAAACTAAAACCTAAGTTAGAACTGGATATCCTAAGTAAAAAAGCTAGACTGTTAGCTTCGAAGGTCGCGGGTTCGAGTCCCGGCGGTGCACAAGTTTGATTTTTTTGATTTTTGATCTACCCTAGTTCCAACTCTAAAGCTTATCTAAAAGTAAAATATCTATGATAAATATCCACAAAGTTTTTACTTCATAATGATCGAGAACCATTCTTTTCAACTCTTGCATCCATTGACGCTTTTGATCGGTGCTGTTTGCCTAAAAAGAGATCATAATAATGCTTAATAATAAAAAAATGATGATAATAATGATTTAATAAATGAAAAACAATATCAAATTTAAAAATTACAGCAAAAATATATTGTGATCGAGGATTGTCGAAGGAGAGAACTTGAAAAGCGAGCGGATCCTCGGAAACCACCTCATTTAACATCAAGTTTGAGCACTAAATTCCATTAGGAAAGCTGTGCAATCTCTTTTACTCACCATAATATAATCCTTGCAAACGTATTGAGTTCCTTTCTGTTTGACGATCAACAACATTTCCTCGAAAAGGAATAAAAGTCTTGTTGCTTTCGAGCCAGAGACACGAAATGAAGCCTCGAGGAGAAGCTCACCATAAGCAGCCAAATCACTTGTCTAGAATTTAGGAATGGTAAAATAGTTCTCTATTCTCTAATTCTCTATTATAAAATCCACACCGGTTCATTGCTTTTCCATCGACCGATTTGTGCATGCAATTGATGAACCCTTTCCTGGTGTTCAACGCGTTTCTTTTCCTCGTTGATTCGACTAGCCTAAAGTTAAGTTAATTAACTGCAAAATATGTTAAATTTTGTTGTACCTGTGTAGTCATCACTTCCAATGCTTTCTTCACCACCTTCAACTCTTCATTTGGCACACCAATCGCCGTCAATTCTTTGAGAATATGCTGAGAATGAGTTTTCGTTGAATCTCAAGATCTCAAGATCAATTGCAAACCTCAATGAAAAGATGATATTTGAGAATGCGTTGCACGGGTTTAAGCAAATAACTGGAAAGTGGAAGGGAATGACCGAGCTGTTGTTGGCGTCTTTGAAGAGCTTCAGTCACAATGGGACGAGTCGAGATTGATGAGAGAGTCGATAACATTCTCAAAGAGAAAGTTTACATTTTGAAAGTTTCAAATTATTATCTTAACCTAAAGCTAAACTAAAGCTTTTTTTAATTTCCAATTGTTTCTAAAGATCTTTATCAAGAACTGACTTTTGATAATTCGTGCAATAGGTCACATAGTCATCAAAAGAGCCGGCAAAGTCAATAAAGCATTTGCTTATTCGGAGACAATCAAGCTCTGCTTCATCCAGTCTCACATACAAACGACGATTCAACTAAAATTCAGTTTAAAGGTTTTTGTAACCAAAGATTACCTGAAAGATTTTCTCGATACATCCAAATGTGTGCGAGACTTCGTCTACGGTCAAATCAAGAGAATCTCGCGTGTCCACAAGATAGTTCAAATAACCCTAAGGTTTAAAATTGAATCAAGATCATATCAAGAGCTTATCAAGATCTTATCAAGATTTGTTACCTGTATGACTTGCCATAGATCATTCACATAAGTTCTTTCAGTTTCGATCAATTCTGAGGCGATCATTTGGAGTCGATTAAGGCCACCATTTGATTGAAGTGCTCGTCTTCTCACCTCGCTCATTGAGCTAGCCGGACTAAAGTTTTCATTTGGAACTCAGAAAATATCTTATCAATTTTTATTTATTTACCTAAACAAAAGATCATGATGATCTTCATCTGTTCCTTCAGTTGATCGAAGCGATGAACGAGCCGATGAATAGCCGGTCGACGAGGAGGCGAATGAAAGACGAGAATCCGACTGAAAGAAAGATTTTACTCAATTCAGTTCTTAAAAATTGAACTTAAACCATTTCCTTTAGAGAGTTATTCTTTAAAAAATTCTCTTGTTACCTGTGAAACAGTTGAATTGTTGTTGTTTACATTGTTGTGATTGCTTGTCGCGTGATGATGAACAATTCCATTACTATTGTTGTTATTATTTGTCATCGATTCATTCATCACGTCGACTTGCTGTGGAAAAGGCGGTGGACGAGGGGATGGACTGAAGAAATGAACAAATATACTTGAATTGTTGAAGATCTTTTTGGTTTAGATGAGAAATCATTCAGAGGGGGAACACCCCGTGAGAACCGTGACGTTCGGTGGGAAGGAAAATCGTTTTCACACTTTCTTTTGTTTTAAGCAGTAAAAGTTTAGCTAAGAGTCCAGCTAAGAGTCTAGCTTTTTTTTGCTTAGGATATCCAGTTCTAACTTAGGTTTTAGTTCAGTACTTAGACACTTAGATATTCAGATCCAAAGTCAAAAGTCAAAGGATCTTTTTTTTTAAATTCAGTATGAGGATTCAGCGAAGGAAAGTGAGAAATTGTAAGATTTTGAACTTGATAGACCAATAACTTACAATCCGGCTAGATAAAGAACAACCATATCAATTGAGATTGTCCAGAAACTAGTAGATATTGAATGATATGCAGAACTGAATGAGTGAAGTGACCACAGTTCTCGCAGACAGTCAAGATGATCACTATCTCGCAAAGATAGGCAAAGATAGGCAAAGAGAGAAAATGGGAAGGTCGAGTAGCGTTTAGCGGTCAGCTGGGGTGAAGAATAGGGAAAAGGGATTGTAAATGGAAGGAGATGAAAGAATGGATTGGTAAGGAGACACTTCTGGAGGACTGGATGAGAATGGTAGGTACAGATCAACGGCAGCAATGTGGGTAATGAATGGGTTCAAGTAGGTGATTCTTAGGTACAGTAAGACAGTGTTCACCGCTAGGTGAGTGAACAGAACTGGATAAAGTTGATCGATTTGTAGATCGATTTCAGAACTTCAGAATGAGGCTTGGAGATTGTGAAATCAAATAATCATACAGTAATCACATCAGAAATTGCTGTTGCTGTAGCTGTAGCTGTTCAATTGATGTTGTGTATCCAAATTAATATTCAGAAATATAGTGAAGCTCTTTATGAAATCTTCAGCCGAGATTCCGACCACTTCACCTCAATCAATAACCCAGCACTTTGAGCGATGTCGTAAAACTGAAACTAATGTCCGTACATTTCGTTGTATGTCACAGCTCTTTCTCCCCCCAAAAAAATGCTACTTTTTATTGGGGCGTGATTTTTTTTCATTCACAAACTCATAGGTGGCTGTCCTGTGCTGTTGGTGTCTTGCTGTCCTTTTTGTCTCATCTCTTCTCATCATTCCCCATCTCCTCATTCGTTTGTTGTGCCATTCGTCTTCCGTATAGCCTTTTCATTGGGTACTTTCCCCCCTCTTGTGAAATCCTTTTCCCCAATTTTTGAGATAATCGCCGTTCTCGAATCTTTATAGCAACAACTGTTCTCTTTTGAGTCGATTAGTTGCGATCTCAAACATTGATATAAAATTTACCAAAAAAACCCTTAGCTCTTGTGGCTGTAACACGATTTTTTTGTCGACATCAATTTTACGTGAAAACTTTTGTTGCGGTCGGATAGAGCAAAACAGAAAAAAAAGAAAGATTGGAGATGAGGGAAAGTGCAACTTTTTTGGCAAAGCTAGATCGAAAGAAAAAGTTGAACTCAACTAATTTGTTTTTGGGATTTTAGCAAGAGGGTGAAGCCAAGGAGGGTGAAGCCAAGGAGGGTGAAGCCAAGGAGGGTGAAGCCAAGGAGGGTGAAGCCAAGGAGGGTGAAGCCAAGGAGGGTGAAGCCAAGGAGGGTGAAGCCAAGGAGGGTGAAGCCAAGGAGGGTGAAGCCAAGTTAAAACGATAACTTACAGTCCAGCAAGCTTTAGAATTTCAAATGGATATTATAAGACGAGAAATTAAGGGGAAAACTTTTAGAAGAGATCTCAGATTTGTCACCAAAATATACCAAAAGAGTTATGCAAATTGAGGCAAAAGAATCTGAAGAAACGAAGCAATACAATCGGATGCTTTTCATCGAATTGTTTGCATGTTTTCACTCAAAGTTTGACCATTTTGTTGACGCGAGATTTCAAAGCAAAAATCGAGACGAATCAAACGAGAGAAAGGGGGGAAAGCTTTCAACACAATCATATTGAATATTGAATAAAGATTTTTGGATCAATAGAGAAAGAGAAAGAGAAAGAGAAATGAAAGAGAAAGCTTTCAATGTGAATAAATGTGTTTTTCGATAGCAAACAAGAGATGAGAAATAAGAAGAAGTGAAAATGTTGAAAGTATGAAAATCTTTATTCAATATTCGACTGCCAAAATTGTTTGGGAATGGACGAGGAAGAGCTTTCGTAGAAATGATATTTTTGGTACTTTAGATCCTGTTTTGTTTTATTGAGGTTTCAAACAAAAATGATTGCAACCGGATCCGAATCAGCTATTGAAAAAGTGAGAGCCGAGCGCACTACCAGTACACCACACGTTACATCTTCATGCCCTCCAACCGCCCGTTTTAAGCTAGAGTGCGGTAGTTTTTTGTAATCTTTCTGCATAAAATCAAATGCGTTTTTACGGCTTCAGAGGCGTTACGAGGTAGATTTGACTGCAGATTCAGGCAGATTCGGAATCAGAGTGAAAGACTGGTTTAGATGAGCTAAATCTCGTTTTGAAATCTGGTGGCAGCTTGGTGAATCTCCCTTGTCAGTGTCCTTTTATCCTACTGCCTACAGTGCAAGCATTCAGGCTAAATATCTTTAATTTAAACAAAAAATGTAGTCCAATCCTTTCAACAATACATAGACAAATTTTTTACAAAAGAGGAAAAATAAATGTGCTAGAAAGTGGGGTTTGTGAGGATACAAAAGCAGTACAAAAGTAGAATGATGCAAGAATTGACGTAAAGATCGATGAGGATTAAAGTGAACATTCCCCTACAAGCAGTCAGTAGTTAGCCCAGAAAAACAATAGAGCTTACTCTTGCTTTGTCGTTCCCCTTCACCATACAGACACACAAATCGTGGGTAATGCCTCTTCTCCTCTTTTTTTTTGCACTCACCTCACACTGGCAACGTTTTGCCCTTCAGTCTTCATCTTCCCCTTTTTTCCCTTTCCATCTCTTCTTCCGTTTTCCCCGATGAAATCCCCATAATGCGACCAGTTTTGTTGAAACATTCCCATCTCTCTTTGCTCTTTCATTTGTTGTTGTCGTGCCTCGTTTATCGGTGTTCCCCAAGAATTGCCACCTTTCGAGAAAGCATTCAGAATCTCGATAGATCGCGAATGAACACGCGACATCAGATCTGACAATGACAAGACAATTTGATCAAATGGAAATTGATTTGAAGAGAAAGATTCTAAAATTATGCCTAAATAGATTGCTAGATAGATTGCTAGATTCCTCGAAACATCTCAATGAATCAATCACCGTGCAGCGTGTCGTCCAATGATCGTCTCCTCCCCATCAGCACTTGAAAATTCAACGGATTTGCCGAGTCCCTCCTTGTCCATTTCCTGTTCCGTCTTATATCGACCGTCTTCATCGGATCAAAGCAAAAGCAACTCAGCCGTTTCTCCATGATTTAATAGTCAAAGATTGAATCCTTCGCAAAATAAGTGAAAAATTTTTGTGCTGTCCCAACTTCCCAGTGAACATTCCCAACATTCATTTCTCTCTTCGTAGGTATTTTTCGAGTTTTTCTCACAAAGTTCCCTTGATCTTGAGTTGGGGGAGAAGTTTTTGTGATAAGACTCGGTGACAGGGGTTCTTCCCGACGATTGAGGCCAAAACAGAAGAGAAAATTTTTGGGCCTAAGAAAGGATGAGAGAAAAGTGATTCTCTGGGAAAAGGTGTGTAAAATAGAGAACATTTGGGCCACTTCACAATAACAATGAGGTGAGATTAAGGAAATGGGAATGGAGATGGGAATGGAGATGGGAATCGGGATGGGAATGGAGGTGGGAAGGAGAAAGTAGGGAAAGATGTGTTTTGGTATTGAATGGGTTTGTTGGATCCAGCTCGTACTTTGAGCTCTAGCTAACGCACCTTCTAGCACAAACAAAATTTAAATCGAAAAAATGAAGAAAGCTTGCTGATGAACAAAAGTAAAGTGGATTTTGATCCAGAAATACAAAAGAAAACAAGTTCGGTGAATTCTGCTGGAAAATGAAAATCAAAAGGATAAAGCTAAAGCCCTACCAATTGCAAGGTCATTGCAAAATGCTATAAATCTCTGGAAATCGTTTCTCTATCGCCTCACCGATATTTGAGCAATTCCGACAGATCATACGATCGTCGTAGGCCTCGTTTTCTCCAAAATTCCTCATTTCGTGGCGCGTTTCGGCGCAAAATTTGTTGACCGTAATTCCATTCAGGCATTGAAGAAAATAGGCAGACAAGTCTTGAGGGGAATTTATTGGAATTTCGCTTTTCAATGCAAAAGGATGAAAAAGGGAATCAGTGAGGTTGAGTGTTTGGATGGAGGGGGGAAAGGGGAGAAAGTCCTCTCTTTGTGCCGCGTTAATGCGGCAAATTTGTCGCTTTTTTGGGTTTTTTTGCCCCCTTCTGCGGTTTTTTTCCCTCTCCCCACCTTTCCACCTTCATATAATTAGGGGTTTCCTTTTTTTTTCATCATTCAGCTTCAAGTACTATACATTTAAGAAAATGTCTAAAGAATTGACAATGGAATTTGTACTCTTTTCTTTTCATTTTCCAAGAAGCAAGGTCATTCTCACCTTTTTTTTTAAAGGGAAAAATGAGAAGAATGGACAAAACGATTATCTGCGGGGAATTTTTGGAGTTGTTGAGGGGAAATATTGAAAAAATTGAACTTTGAGCATTCAATGAAGGACAATTGATGGATAATTTAACTCTGGAATAGTTCAATTCGGATTTGGGCACTTTTGAGATGAAATGAAATATGGTAAAACAACTACAATACGTCGAAAAAGCTAGATAGGTTTTATATCTAATAGCAAAATCAAATAAATACAGTCGAACTTCTCTATAACGACCTTCTCTTCTACATAACGATTTTGGAATTCTAAAAGATGTTTCTAATTGCTGCGTAGCTGCCCAATTAGGTGCAATCGTTGCCCACAAAGGGCAGCACAAAATATGGGCAGAAAATCAGCAGAAATATTTTAGAATCGTTATCTAAAAATTTTCGGTTCCTTTGATATCCTTATAGCGAAGTTCAACTGTATACAGTACGATTAGATATTCAAATCTGATCGCGAGGCTTCATCTAGTCACCGCTCTGCACATCAAAAATGAGAACTTTGAGACTTTGAGAAACAACTACAATAGTACAAAGTTTCTCCGGTCTCAATCATTTAAACCTTCTCAAACAAGCTTTGTCACAAATTGACTCATCGTCAGACTATTTTGTATAGAAACCATTCACTAGCTCATTCAAAACTTATTGACAAACTGGAAACGATAAAAAGAAATAATTACGCTGTCAAAATGAACGATTTACATGCTTTATTAGCGTGAATTGACTGGGAATCGAGAAGAGTTTGAAATAGAAGCTAAAAAGCTTCAAAATGGCATAGCAATTTTGAGAAATGAATGCTTAAGTTAAATCATCTAGATCTTTCAAAATAGCTTCAAACTCAAGTCAAGAAGTCTTCCCAATGAGCCATGGGACAATTCAAGATGAGTTTCCAATGGTTCGAACTCTCACTTACTCTTTTCCAAAGGAGATTCCCTAAATCGGATACAATAGCTGACCCACTCGAGACTCAAAAGGGAACACCATCCTCTCATTCCTTTCATCCCATTCACTCACACAAAACACATTCATTTCATCTCACTTTCTTCTCCCTTTCACTTACATAATTTCACTTACATGAATGGTTGCTGGAACATAAATCTAGTGGGTTTTAATGTGAATTCATAGTGGAGTAAGGATGGTTATATTCTGCAAAAAGTCGGGTTCAGTTCAACAATTTCCGCAGCTACAAAATACTTCTTGAATTATTAAAATTGATTATTCAATACTTTTTGCTTCTTGCTAAGCCTTTCCAGTATTTTAATGGGTTGGTGAATTGAAAACTGCCGGACTTTGAACTAAAATTTATTCAACATAAAACGATGAATTCATTCCAAATAATTTCCATTATTATTGACGACTTCTGCTCATTTTAAAGGCAATTTCCGGATTCCTCTTTCGTAGTAGGATTTTGGTTTGTGTGTGAGACAAGTGTGAGACTCAAAAATCGAGGACTGGAGATGTCCCAGTTTGAGCACTTTCTTCAAAAGAAACCCATTTTGGTGTCAATAGAAATGTTGTAGAGAATCAAAAATTAGGCTTATAGCCAAATTTCCAAAAAGATACACTCAGTAGTTTCGCTTAAAATGCAAGTTTTGTGAAAATTCGTACATTTCGCATTTCTTGAAAACCAGTTTTTGAATCGTTCTGAAAATTTGGATATAAGCTTGATTTTTGATTCTCTACAACTTTTCCATTGACACCAAAATGGGTTTCTTTTGATGGAATAGCTCAAACTGTCACATATGACAATAGCCCGCAGTTTTCAATTCACCAATCCAATAGATTGAGATTAGCCTTGATCTGGAGAAGATAATGTCCAATTTGAGAGTTCGGAGCCGGCCGGGTTAGTTTGGTAAAGAGAGAGGGAAGGGGGTTATGTAAAAGCCTTGCACCAGACGACGAGCGACTACGCTGCCGCATAAAGAACACACAGAACACACAAATTTTATTAAGTGTATCTTTTTGGAAATTTGGCTATGAGCCTAATTTTTGATTCTCTACAACTTTTCCATTGATACCAAAATGGGTTTCTTTTGAAGAAAGTGCTCAAACTGTCACATATGACAATAGCCGGCAGTTTTCAATTCACCAACCCAATAATACAAACCTCCTCGAGCCGATAAGCAATTTCCGAGTGTACATTGTGAGAAAACTTGGTTGAAAGAATATTTAAATCCAATCCTTTACTCGAGTCAAAGAGTACAGTTAGATCTTTTAAATCCAGAAAAAAAGGATCCTAGTGTGAATGGCAAAAAAGGGAGAAGAAGAAGAAGAAGAAGAAAGGAATTCCCAGTCAACAAAAGCCAGTTGTGGCGACTTTTCGAAAGCTTAGCGCTCACCTTTCCTCCATTGAATATCTCAAATTACCGCCTTTCTTTTTTACTTTTTAAAAAAGTATTTCGAAAAAGTGATCTCTATTTGAAAAAGTGAGAGATTATCACGAAAAAAGAACGAAATGAAGATGACTAAATGATCTCTGACGAAGAATGAATGACAAAAACGACCAAAGTTTTAGCAGTTAGCTGTAAAGAGAAAGAATTTGTCTAGTATTTTCTGAACTTTGTCCAAACGACGAGATGACTTTGAAAGTTTAGATTAAAAAGCTGTAACTCAATGTAACTGAATGCTGGCTCGAGTTTGAAATCAAGCAAGTATCAAGCACCAATGAAATTTCACAAATAAACACTAGGCAAGCTCTTCTATCCAAAAACATAATATTTAGAAATAAGGCTAGCTAAAGAACGAAAAATCTTCACATTTGCAAGTCTAATGTCAAGTCAAGTCAGAGTTTTCCAAGTCGAAAACTTTTGCAATCCGATTTGTCCTTGAATGGATAGGCGTTTACGGGCCATCATTTCAAGGGATTTCTTTCAGGAAAAGACCCAAAAGTGAACAAAAAGACAAGAAAAAGATACAGAAAACCCACCAGAACACTGACCATTTACAAAAAGAAATGCATATAAAAAAATCTCTAGTGAACACTTAGCAAAAAAAGAGTTTGATTCAACGGGCGCACCCATCCGAAATGACCCTTTTCTAAAGGAAGAGAGTGGGAAAATTAGCATTTCAAAGAAGCGCCACTTCGAGAATTTTCTTGTTTTTATCGTTTTCTTCTTGAAAAAAATCGAAATTTTCCGTTTTTTTCGATGGGTTTTTGCCTCATTTTGTCGCTTTTTAACGGCTGATTGACGGGAAATGGAGGAGAATCTTTGACTCACTTTGAAAGAGTTCAATTTTTGAATGCGAATGTTTGGCGCACTTTGAAAGAGTTCAATTTTTGGATGAGAATGCTTGGCTTACTTTGAAAGAGTGCAATTTTTGAATGCGAATGTTTGGCTCACTTTGAAAGAGTTCAATTTTTGAAAGGAAGCTAGGAAAGTTTTATTTGAAATCGAGAAAAATCAAGACTCTAACTGGATATCGATATCGATATATAACAGGATATCGATAAAGTAAACTTGGAAATATTTTGAGAATCATTTATGATCATAAAACTTCAACATTTCCTTGATCAAAAGACTCTTCTTTAAAAATTGGCCTAATTTCGGGAGAAACTTAGGGAAAACCTTTCTAAGACTTTTGTTTTGAGACAAGAAAAAAAGAGAATTTTGTTAGAAGATTGGATGAGAAAAGAAAAGGGACATTTTACCCATCTTCAGCCCACCAAAAAAAGTTGGGAAACAATTTCCTCAAACGGTTTTTTAGGAAAAAGAGTAAGGGAACTCGTTCTTTGGAAAGATTCCCTCCTTCTTTCCAATCAAACAAATGTTGGCAGATATAATATGGTCAAGAATTTTGAGGAAAAAGTTGTAAAACTTTATTGGTTTAAAGATTTGTTAGCTCTTTTCTTGAACGATTTATTGTTAAGACTATTATTTTTCAAAATTAAACAGTTTTAATATGCTAAGACAAGGGTTTCAAAAGGATTTTCAATATGTTTTTTCAAAAATTTCAATTTTCTAACCTGATCGTCAACTCCTTTTTGTCCCTCGTGCTCCATCGGCGCAACAAACGAGAGTTCGTGGGTGGCTGAATTGATTGAATATCTTTTCTGAAAGCTTTTTCTGAAAGCTTTATCTTCAGATAACTATTTGAATATCTGATAACAATTTTCAAATATCTCTTCTAAAATACTATAGAATCAGATCGATCAGAATTTCCAGAGGACTTTCAACTGAGAGACTGAATATCCTAATCTAGACTGAATCTCCTAATGTAGACTGAATACCGTAATCCAGTTAATCTTAACTGAATACCTTAATCTTAACTGAATACCTTAATCTAGACTAAATACCGTAATCAACTGAGAGACTGAATATCCTAATCTCTCCAAAATCTCTCCAAAATCTCTCCAAAAACTGACCTGCTGCAAACAAACCACAAGATCTTTCGCTAAGCAAATCGGAATCTCTAACAAGATTCCCATTTTAATATTTTAATATTATAATATAAAAAAACTTCTCAAGCAAAGTACTAACAAAGTACTAATAGGTTTTCTGTACTTTTTAGGGAAATGATCGTTATTTTGAAATCGGATACCTTGTTATTTTTCATCTCGCTCGCCGCATGCATTTGTAGCCAATACTGAGACTCATTTGGATCACAAATCCTGTAAATGAACAAGTATTTCAGAAATTCTAACAAGACAAAAAGATAATAACATTTTTAAGTTTTAAAAACGTATCAAAGTTCATTAGCTGACCTGTATGGCCTTTTCGGTTGAAACGAGCGCCGTCGTCGAAGTGTTGACGGTGCGCCTAATGTGGAACTTGAATCAATAGTTGCTGCTTCTAAATATTCGATAGAATTTATATTTCTAATCAAACCTAAAAGCAAATTAGGAAAAAGAATGATCTCACCGGTGACATCATCGGTCATCGTTACCGTGGACCCTTCACTCAACGTCAGACTCACATCCATTCTGAAAAATTATCCTTTTTGAATCTAGTCTAAGTATTAACATGCTGCGGCTTAAAATTTGAAATTCAAAATTGGATATGAAAACTCGGATAGAATTGGCAGAATTGCACTATTGCTCACTGTTGAGTGAGCAATAGTGCAATTCTGCCAGTTATCCATTGTCATTCGATTTGGCTATGATTTTTCATCTAAAAATCTTTAATCTATAAATCACCTGCTACAAGTACTCGACGATATTTGACTCATTTCCGAGAAATCTTCATCAATCGTTTTTCTCTCGTCTTCTCGATCGTTTTCATAATCTGAATCGTTCGAATTTCGTCGCGAAAGTGACGAGAGTGAAGAGGAGAAATCACTTCGAAGATGGCGAACTCCTGGAAAAGTTGATGGAAATTATGTGAAAGTGAAATTGGTAAGAGACATCTGTACGATTTGCTGATGATATGAATAAAAAGTTCATAAAACAGTGGGATTATTAAGGGATTAATCAAAATACCGTATTCTCTCTAATAGAGGTGCACTCTTCAATAGTAGTGCACTCTCTAATAGTATTGCGGTCCAGGAGGGCATTCAAAAAAATAGTAGTGCGCACTACTATTAGAGAGAATACGGTAAGCTACCAGCACAAATTTCAATTTCGTTTTTCTAAAAGTTATCAAATTACAAGTGCTGAAATCTCGACATCAACCAGCTTTGGTTCTTTGTTTCGTTTTGAATTGAAGCTTTCTCAGAAAAAAAAGCTTAACGAATTAGGCAATAAAAAAAGGGGGGAAAGCAATGGGAAAGTGACTCTCAGCTGGCAATTTGACCCCCAAAAAGGCTTTTTGAATAGGGGAAAAGATCATTTAGATTTGAAGAGAAAATGAAGGACTAAAAGGTAACCGACTGGCTGTAAAATGGAAACCAAAAAGAGTGCAAAACTTTCTCAAATATATTGTTGAGGTCGACGTGAGGCAGGCAATAAAACGATTGAGAAGTGAAATTGGAGAAAAAAAGGGGAGGATGAGGATTGGAATTTGCTTAAAGAGTTATGGCTTTAATTGTCAATTCTTTGTTTTTTAAACTGTAAATTGATTGAGAATTGATTGAGAAATTCTTTTTTGAAACTAAGAATGTTAAGTAAAGTAAAGCTGAAATGGTTTGACTTTTCTAGAAAAGACAAGACTTTGAAAGGAATTCGTATAGAAGCAAAAAAGTGCTTAAAAAATGGAAAAAGACAAGTACAATGGCTAAAAGGCTAACAAGGCTACAAACTTTACAAACTTTACAAACTACAAACTTGATCTTCAAGTCAATGTTCCATAGAACATAGTATCAATGAGAGTGGATTGTGTCTGTAGGTGTGTCTTTTCTGTTTTGATTCAAAAGAGATCCGATCCGCAAGATTTCGAGTGTGGTTTAGCTTGTGGTTCTCTTAGAAAAGATGATTTGGATTTTGGAAAAGAGATCAAAAAGAGATTCTTGTGATTGAAATGAAATGAAAGAGATCCCCTCACTCACTCACTCTTTTCTCTCTTCTTTTCTCTCTTTTTTTGAGAGCTCTTCAAATATTGCCACGCGTTCTGAATTCAAAAGATTCACAAATTGAAATTGTGGATCGACAGTGGATCGACACCAGAGTTTTTTTTTCAGTTTGAACTGCTCAGAGAACAGCTTTCTTTGTTTCTGTTGACTCTTATGCATTAAAGATTTTGAATGAAAACTCTTCAAAGTTTGCTTAACTCTAAAAGTAAACAAGTGTTAACTTAACAAGTAAACTTAACAAGTGTTAACTTAACAAGTAAACTTAGCAAGTAAACTTAACAAGTAAACTTAACAAGTAAACTTAACAAGTTAACTTAACAAGTGTTAACTTAGCAAGTGTTAACTTAACAAGTGTTAACTTAACAAGGGAAACTTAACAAGTAACTCACCCAGTAAAATCCATCTAACAACAGCCAATCGAATCAAAAAACTCATAAATAGAAAATAGTCAGTATCAGTGTAATATTCAAATTCTAGTTTGAACTCATTTTGGAATTGGGGTGTTCGGGGTGGAGATTCGAGTGGATGTAACCAAATCACTCTCTCCCCACTCACTCACAGCTTTCAGTATTGCCGTATATGGGAAAGACAGACAACAGTGGGTAAATGAACCAAAAGACAAAAGAAAGAAAAGAACACCAATTCTCCGTTTGAAACTCTTTTGAAATGTGATCTGCAATCGGATCGACGAGCGGAAGGCAAACCAATTCCCACAACAATATATTTCACGTTAGAATTGAACTTGTTGTGGTGCATAGGTGAGTAAATGCTAAAGTAAATGCTAAAGTAAAGTTAATGACAATGAAATGATAAAGTAAATGACAATGCTAAAGTGATAACTGATTTGACTAAAGATGTGCCGAATTTGTTGACGATAAAGATTTTGGTCGATAAAGAAGGTCAATGATTACGGCAAAGGAGTTAGATTGGTCTTGAGGGGTGATTCCGGTCGAGCAATAATTGGAAATTAGAGAGGATCCCGGCAGCCGCCAATCAACCAATCAAATAAAAGAAATTGGAAAGAGTAACCAGTTAGATCATTCAAAAATTTGTTTTCTTAAACTTGTCATAGTCAAATTGATTGATCTCATTGATCAATCTCATTGATTGGTCTCATTGATTGGTCTCATTGATCAATCTCATTGATTGGTCTCATTGATCAATCTCATTGATCAATCTCATTGATTGATCTCATTGATCAATCTCATTGATCAATCTCATTGATTGGTCTCATTGATCAATTTCATTGATCAATCTCATTGATCTCAAGCCAAATCAGACTTGATCTCAATTTTCCTTGTCATACAAATGATTTTAAGAAGTGATAAGGACTTTTTAAAGTTCAAAGTTCAAAAAGATCTTTAAAGATCACTAGTTTTTGAAAGAAAATGAGTCAAAGTTGATTGACAATCAGTAGACCCAATTGCACAATACCAAAACTATTCCCAAACATAGCCTCAATTAGGGGAATGTGATGGGTAAAGGGGCCTTGTCTTTGTGCATAGGTGAGAAGAAATGGATGGAGGAGATCTGCAAGGTCAACCTTATCCTCTTTATTCCAATTTTCTCTTTTCCAAATCCCATCTCATCAAATCATCAGAAAGAGTGTCAAATGCGGGGAAATCTTCTCGAATTGGGATTCTCTATTCTTTTCCCCTCTTTCCCTTCTTTCCCTTCTTTCCCTTCTTTCCCTTCTTTCCCTTCTTTCCCCTCTTTCCATTCATTTTCCCATTCCGATTCATCGAATCTTTTATCCATTAATCGGCTGGTAATATGCAACAAATTTGGATTGATGCACCCCCCTTTTTTGGTTCAAGGATAAAGGATTCAAGGAGATTGTTCACTTTTGGTGAAAACATTCATAAATCAAGGATATTTGGCTGATCATGGAAATCAAAGTTGACTAACAAAACAAAATGGAAATCAAAGTTGACTAAGAAATTTACTAAATGAAAAACTCATTGATTTCCGATCTTTTTCTTCAAAATTTTTGATGTCCAATGAAAGTTTTTGAGACAAAATAAAGAGGGGAAAGCATTGTTTTTATCAATTGAATGGCATTAAGGTACGGGAAGAGAAAAATCTCAAGCCTTTTTTAAAACAAAGTTGCTTTTCAATTCAGAAAAACGTTTCTAAATGGCAATTAGATTTTGGTGAGCAAAAAATGGACAGGAAAAAGATCAAGCGAAGTTTAATTTGATGTTGTATTCCATTTTTGAACTAATTTATGATTTTCAAAAAAAATCAAATCAGATTAGATAGGCTTTTGACAAAGAAAAGTGAACGAGATGAGATTCCAAAAGAGAAATGCAAATTTTAAAGAAGCGGGAAGAAAAGCAATTGGCAAATCGGACATTTGAAAAGCTATCAAATATCCACTAGTCTAAAGAAAAGAGGAAGAGATTACACAAGAAAGAGAAAAGGGATTTGTGGACATGAGGACACTCTTTTGAATCATTTTGAGATCGGAAAAGACTTGGAAAGAGTTAAAGAGCTAAACGAGATGGATCATATCACTTGGTTAGAGTAGTCTAAAGCATCTTTTCCTCTCTTTTCCCCCAGTGAGATCTGTGTGCCATTCGATGAGAGTGATTGAATGAAATGGGGGACACAACCATGAGATCACAACCATGAGATTGCGGGAAAGAGGATTGCATAACGATTGAAAGACAAGAGAGCGTGACATCAGAGATCGAAATCAAAGTATAAGCTTTAATATTCTGAAATGAGTTTATCAGGTCTGCAAGTCAAGGGATCATGCCTGGTCCTGAGCAATCAAAAGCCTTGTCCTGATCAATCAAATCTTACTTTCCTTTTCCCTGATTTCATTAAAAGCCTGATCAAGGTTTTGTGGGTTAAAAATTCCCAAAAAATTTGTTAACTCAAAAGTCAGAAGACAATAGATCGGTGTCAATGTGAAGAATCTGATTTGTTTGTTGGAAACAAGTATGCAGAAGTGATTTAAAATGAAAATGAAAATGAAAATGAAAAGAGAATTCAAAAGTACAAAGAAAAGGTGTGTAGACCATCCCTTTCACAAATCAGAAAAAGAGACAATACAAAAAATTGTCTTTTCTTCTTCATTTTTTTCTTCTTCTTCTTCTCAACTAACAAACATTTGAATAGCAAATTGAATGAGAAAGGGATGATAGGGGAAAAGTTGAGGAAAAGTTCTGAATGACAATAATTCTGAAGATTATCGTCATTCAGAAGTCAAGCCAATTATTTTCATTATCAGATGCTTTAATCTCAAGATTCATTTTATTACAATATTAAATATTCAACGAGCTGGAGTCTTTGGAAGTCATTTCCCTATCTGCACCCGTCTTACTTCTTCATTGATTTTACTGAAGGTGATTTTACAATCACCCCTTTTTTACACCGTTCCCTCCAATCTGCAAAACTTGATCTTAAAAGCTTTAACCTTTTTTTCATAAATCTCCACTTGAAATGGGGCACTTGTGCCCGGTCGTAATATCATTTTTTTTTTGTTTTTTCTTGTGTTAGTTACCCCTCTGAAAGAAAACTCAATCTAGAACGGCCATAAATCACATGTGATATCACTTGATTCACTTGGAAAAAGGACCAAGAGTTCTCCAAAGCTTAAGCTTTTTACACTCAACTTTCTTGAACATTTTCTTGAATGAATGTTGCGAAACAATCTTGATTGAATGATTTTCTTTGGGGATGAGTCGATAAATCATAACGGAAATTGTACAACTTGCATGAAAAAGATAGAAAGAACAAGTAAAGAGATGATAAAAAAAATGCGAAACTTTATTGGTTTGCATTACAGCAGTACTTAAAATTCTACTTCCACTTAAAAGTCTACTCAACGATGATGATGACAGCATTTAGATTGAAAGCTTGATAATCCACAACCAAATCCAACTTCTCAAAGCTTTCTACTTACCGTAATTCTCAATGTAAAGCACTCGGCGAATATCATAATGAAGATAATAACAACAGCGATGCATTGAATCGAATTTTTTTTTGAAAGAAAATAAGCTCAAGCGACAAAATGGGTTCTCGAAATGAAATGGTGCAGAAAGGAAAAAGAAAAGGCTCCGATTAAGAATTTCCCGAATCAGAATGAATGGGAAAGGGTGGCTGGGGGTTTTTGATTTCTTTTCCCTTTCACACCTCACTTTTCTTTTCTTGATTTGCCTTGAGACGATCTCGAAGGAAAACAATGAATTCTTGCCCAATCACATTAAAGCCCCGAGTTGGGTAAGTGAACCGGAAGAGTGGAATCAATGCAAGTTCTCTTTGTTGTTTTAGAATATTTTGAGGTTTTAATGTAAACGATGAATCTTGGATTCTTCGGCTATTTTCTGATTGACAAAAATGAATTATCTATTGTATGAAAACTACTCTAAAAGGCTTTAAATTAAAATTGTAATGTTTGAAAGTAAGAGTTTTTAAACAATGGCTTTGAAGTAGCCTGATGAAATGTGAGCTCGGGTTAACGAAATCGGAGAACTCAAAAATACCCAGAATGCCCATTTCTTCCTTGTTGTTCAACTTGATCTTATAGCTATGAACTTTACCCAAAAATCTTTTAACAATCCGGTTCTTTTACCAGTTTCTATGAAAATTTAAACCAGGATTATTACAAAATGATTAGCTTGATGACTAGAGAATCATCCTCAGAGAATGACTTAGAGACGTTCTCCTGTTAAATTTTAATTTCTGTCACAAATGTCGCATTTTAAATGCCAATTTTCGCGCGACTTCGCATTCCAATTGACGTCGCCGCCATTTGGAGGTAGTCGATGGGAGCACCGCGTCGTCGTTTCTTTTTCTTTTTCAAATCATTTTGTTTTTGTCAGATTAATTGAAATTATTGTTTTACGCTATAAATTTTGTGTTTCTTTTTGAAATGAGAAAGAAATCTATTTCCATTTTGGAGCTGAGTGGAGAATCCGAAATTTTTCGTAACCGGATCACAATGGAGGCCAAAACTAATTGTAAGATGGTTTGCGGAGTTGAATGGAAAAAACGAAAGCAACTCTGGACCAAAACATTGCCTGGACCGTTACAAAACTGATGATTACGAAATGAAAGATAGCTTTTTGCAAGAAATGAATCCTCATAAAATGCTCAGTTCAAATTTGTCTCCTCACAACACAAACAATGGGTAATTGAACCGGATTGAGAATATTTCGATGGGGGCAAAAAGAAAAGGATTTGCGCCAACTATTTGCTCAATTCATAAGTGTCAATCTTCAAGAAAGCTTGAACAAATTTGCATTTCAAAGAAATCAGGAGCAAAGGATAAAAACAGAAAAAGGATTTGGAAATTGAATGGGGGAAAAGCTATAGGGATTCAGTTGAGTTTAAAGCAAAATTAGTATGAACAAGTTCTGGCACTCATGGGTAATTGAACCTGTTAACAGGTTCAATTACCCATGACCTGTTAACAACATGAATCTACCTGTTAACAACACGAATCCCCTTCTCGGCAATGTCCCCGCCACTTCTAAAATAAGAAAAGTCAACATTTTTTGAAGGATGAACTTGCTAGAAATGTGTAAAATCTTTGCAACCGTTTTTTTTTGAGGATTTTTGCGTTTTCATAACGCATCGATGAGCTTTACGCACTCACACCACTTTATAGAAATTTCTCTTTCCTAGAAACCCACTAGAAAAGGGTAATTGCTGAAAAAAAACTCATATTTTGTGTTTTATTTTTTTAAATTGAGGTAGCTGGGTGCTTGGTTTTTGAACTAAATTTGTTTTAGGAAAAGTTGCCGAACTGATTTCTCTTGTCCCTTGTCCAGAATTAGAATGACATGCTGACCTCTATGATGTGTTCCAATGTCTCCACCACCTCTCCCCAACAGCCAATCCATTCTCTGGAGTCTGAAAAGTTTAGCTTTGAAAATAGACATTGAACATATCAAAAGTGAATTTTTCGAACTTTCTGGAGGAATTTTACAACTACAAAATCCGGGAAATCGGCTCGATTTGCCCAGCTTATCCTCAAGTTTTCTACCCAAATAAAATCAAGGTCAAACCGATGATTTTCGATTGTAAAGAAGAACTTCTAGGTTTTGCATCGAAAACATGTGAATATTGGTTTTGTTTTTTATAAAAGAACAAACTTTTCACAATCCAAACGAATTCGATGAAGCTGGGCGCGAAAATCGTCGAAATTAGCGACGTAATCGTCAAGAAATTGCGATTCAGGAAAATGGGAACAACCTGAAAAATAGATTTGATTTGAAAAGTAAAAATTGATATGACTAAATAACATATAAAATATCTTTTTTTGTCAGTGCTTTGTATCGTAAAGCAAATCAAAAACGAAAGCTCGGGACAGGGGTGTATAATTTGGTGGAAATGAGTCATGAATGGAGAAAAGAAGGAAAAGAAAAGAAAAGAGGAAATATTCAAACGATCTGGATGACTGAAATCAATTCAAATTCCTCAACGGATCTAGTTTTGATCGATAAAACAAAGAAAAAACAAAAAAACAAGCCTCAATTTTGTTAAAGAATAGAAGAAAGTTGAGAGAAATGTAAATAAACTTTTACTTTTCACTTTAACTTTAACTTTGAAAGCTAGACAATCAGTCTTGAGTCACAAGCTTCAATCTTAAACTAAGTCATTCTCAGTCATTCTGCTTAGAGCATCGACTAGATGTAAGCCAATCCTTATGTCACAAAAGCCAGTCTATACCAGACTCTCAAAATAGATTAGCCGATGGACGACAAAAAAAATCCCCCAACCTATTTGGCATGTCAAAAGAAGTCCGATAGAAAGAAAAGAAAGAAATGGATGCATCGTTTGGTCACTCACTTTCTATCTCATATGGAAAGGCAAAAAAAGAAAAGAAAACGAGGAGACGGGTGTGTAAACATGAAATGTCTTCTCTTCTCTCGGATCGTCTTGTCCACCAGAAGTCCCCAACCAAAGAAGGGAATGGTGGAAAGGAAAGAAAATATGGAAAGCCCTTGCTGAGGAAGGAATCTCTGACCATTTATGAACAAATATTTGATCTGAAAAGAAAAAGATATGCTAATTTTTGGATACTTTTCTTTTTTGAGACAGTTTTATCTCAACAAGAGATCCTTTGTGCTCAAACCTTTGTGCTTAAACATACCCTTTCTGGCGCACTCGGGCTCTTTATGGTTACTGAAATATAAAGAACTGAGTGTACTAGAAACTGTGTTTTCACGTTTGACCACAAAGTACAAAGGCCTGTAACAGTCAATTGCTTGTAACAGTCACTCTGCCTGTAACAGTCAATTTCATGAAAATATCGATACTCCAAAAATGGTTCTATAGAATTCCCGATATGGACAAAGAGACCCTCTCCACAACAAATAGATACACAACAGTGTATGCAAATTTTAGAGGAGTTGAGCCTCTTCCTCTTTCCTTTTCTCTGATCTCAGTGACTCTTGAGAAGTGACTCTCGATCCCCAAAATGGGCACATCTGGCACCAAACATTTGAACATTTTGCGATTGGTGAAACAAAGGAAATCAGGAGAATCCCCTCGAGAGATTTGCTTTGATTTGTGGAAAGATTTTCTTTTACTTTAGGGAGAGTTTATTTTAGAATCGATTATCTGAGCTGAGCTTGAGTCTGATAGTCACTTCTCAAGAGTCACTGAGATCCGAGAAAAGGAAAGAGGAAGAGGCTCAACTCCTCTAAAATTTGCATACACTGTTGTGTATCTATGTCTGATAGTCTGATAGTGAATTGTGTGTGTAATCGGTAAACTTTCTACCAACTAATGAACTGATTTCTGCGGTTTTTCATTATGCCATCTTCTAAGAGTCTCGAGAAATTCTTTTATTCCATTTCTGGAATAAGTAAGCCGCATTCAACTTTGATAATGTCTTTACTGTCTCTTTACTGTCTTTTTTGATTCCCCTTTGTCACTTTTTCCTCATCCCGCTCAATCTTGACTGCTAATTTCCCCCCGACAACAACAAATAAATAATTCACATAGACAGGTAGGCTATGGGCCATATAAAAGAATTTCCGCGAATGATGGGGACAGGTGTCGTCCTTTAGAGAAAAGATAATGAGACAAATTGGATCTAGACTTAAGACAAGGCTTTCACTCAGCCACAGGTAAATTCTTGACTCCAAGTGAATACGAGTAAACAGAAATGTGAGGAACAGTTGTCGATCTCTTTTGTTTAAAGGACAGCCAGCTGTCTTTTTTGGTTAAATAGAGCCCGGGTTATTATTTGACAATTTTGCTTATTCTTTGACTTTGTTTATGTGGAGGAAACAATTTGGGGTTTTGTGAAGTTGTGAATCAATTGGAAATCAATTGGAATCAATCAATCAATTGGAATCAATCAATCAATTGGAAATCAATTGGAAATCAATTGGAATCAATCAATCAATCAATTAAAGTGATCAATTGGGTAATTCATCCGGCTAAATAATCAAATCTTAATTTCCTTTTCCCTGATTTCATTAAAATTTCAACATTCACTTGCAACATTCACTAAAATCATAAATTGAGTAAATAGAGCATGAACCCTGAGAGAGATGGATGGACCAGTTGGATGGAATTGTATGGATTCGACTAATAGGTTGCTTTCCCTTCCTCTTCCCTTCCTCTTCCTCTTCCATTCCCACCAATTTAGGCTACACCAATTGTCCGTCAAAAGGCAACATTCAACTCTCTTTTCTTTCCATTTTACAGGTCAACTCTTCATAGTCAAGAGAAAGAAGGCTATAATTTGGTCTTGAGAAACAATACGAAGATTTGAACAATGGTAAGTTGTAGAGTTTAAATAAATAAAGACCCAGCTTTCAACTAATTTTGCTAGGCTTGGTTTTACGCCCAAAACTCTCAATAGAATGGAGTTGAAACGAGAAAAACGAGCAATTTATCAAAGATATGAAGCTTTTTAAGTGAGTAAAGAAGAATAAGAAAGATTTTGATCCATTGGACTCATACGAAAAGAACTATGGTTCTTTTCGTTGACAATTTTTAGAGAACGGTCAAAGGATTTCCCTTTCCTCGAGAGGCTGACTATCGAAAAGATCAAAAAAAGAAAGATCTCAAGAAGATTTCTGCAAAAAATAGGTCCCAAGACCCTTTGAGAGCGCGAAATTCGCTTGAGATGATCGAGCAATTTTCGGGGTTGCAAAATGAAGAAGAGAACTTCTCTTCTTTATTTTGCAGATGAGCAATACACAAATGGGTTTTGGAATTGACTAACCAGATCGAAAAAGGAGTCTTTTTACAATAGCTACAAGAATAAACAGCTCACAATTTGGATGTCCTGAAAATTTAGAAAGAATGACAAACAATTTGTTTAAGAAGCTCACTACATCAACGCTTCAATAACTGTATAGGTTATTGTATAGTTCCTATTTAGTTCCTATTTAGTTCCTATTTAGTTCCTATTTGGTTACTTTATAGTTCCTATTTAGTTCCTTTATAGTTTCTATTTGGTTACTTGATAGTTCCTTTATAGTTCCTATTTAGTTCCTATTTAGTTCCTACTTAGTTCCTACATAGTTCCTTTATAGTTCCTATTTAGTTCCTTTATGGTTCCTATTTAGTTCCTACTTAGTTCCTACATAGTTCCTTTATAGTTCCTATTTGGTTACTTTAAAGTTCCTATTTAGTTCCTTTATAGTTTTGGCAAGGCTAAAATCGCTAAACTAAATTGTAAATTGAAAAAAAGAATTGAGAATTGAATCGTCATCCAAAAATGGAATTTGTTCTGATTTGAGCACACACTTTGATGGGAATGGAAAGAGGGGAAAACGGTGGAGATTTCCGTTTTCTCGCCTTTTCTCAGATACTCGAAATCTCGATTTGAGAGTCGATTTAGGGAAAAGGAAAACAAAAAACCTTTCAAACTGGGCACATCTCATTGTTGCCTTTGTTCAGACATTGATCTATTGAAATGATTGGGCCATTTTAAAATCATTAAGAAATCCTAGATCATTAAGAAATCGTTTATTAGGCTAATTTCAGTAAATCAAAGAGTTTTCGAATGAGTAAAGTTGCTAAAAAGTTTAACATAGATAAGCGATCACTTTTTTTCAAACAAATGATGTACAATCCAGGAATCCGGTTTATCTAGAGATCACCCACTTGAGGATTCTCGTTTTTTTCTTGGTTCAAGACAATTGACGACAAGACTTTAGCAATTATTTAGCTGTTCTTATTATCTAGATTTTGACACAGCAAAAGGTTGACTTCTAAAAAAAATCAAGCATTTTAAATTCCGGGAAAATCGTAAAATCTTTAAGAGAGCTTGAAAGCCATTAGCCTGAATCAACAGGTGAATGGCTCATGAAAAGATAAAGAAAAAGGAGATGAGGCTCAAGTTGTGAATGATGAGAAAAGAGAAAAGAGAGTGAATTCCCGTGAAACATACACAAGATTGAGAAGTTGTGGTGAGTGGAGGGGAGAGTCAGGTGTTTGTGAGATGAAAAGGGGCAAGGAGGATGCGGATTAGTGAAAAGAATCGCACGTAATGTTGAGGAAATATTCAAGTGAGGTATCGCTTTGCTGAAAGTTCGAAGAAAAATCCATTTTTAAAGCTTAAGCTGGCTTTACCCTATCACCCTGAATTTGTCAGCTGCTTAAAATTAGGCTACGATTACGTTAGCTTTTAAGACGCACTTTATTTTAAAAAAGTTTATGCAATACAGCTAAATGAGCTGTCAAAAAACCAAGAAGTAACACTTCGATGATCTTGATAAATTTAGAATAACAACACTTCAATAATCTTGGTAAAACGAGTAAAACGAGTACAGAATGAAACCAAATTCTAGTAGAATATTGAGCTTTGAAGCATCTGGCACAAAAGTTTTTTTCTTCAATTAGCACGTTGTTTTACGGGAAGCGGGAATGGGGTGAGGGAGGGCCAGCCGCTAGAGTTGGCTCTCAGTCAGAGATACACAAAGACAAAGAAGATGAGAATGGTCAGAGATCCATCCAAAAAGAAATCTCTCTCTTTTATCTTTTTTTTCTTTTTGCAAATGAATGAGTGACAAGTGGTGAAAGGGATGAGATCAATCCAAAGACATCGGCTAGCTTTCTAGAAGTGAAGATTGATCAAAAAGCACACGAACAAACAACTAGATAAAGATATAAGGCAGAACTTGGATCTTGGAATGGATTCGAAGGATTCCACGAGTTTTATGAAGCTCATAGTCAATCACAGTTAGATAAATCACAAACCTGCCATAGAAACTGTTGAGTTCCATTGTCGTTTTGTTAATGGATGTCTTCTCATGATTTAGCTTCTAAATTTGTTTCTATTTCAGTCAAATAAGGAAAAAAACTACTTGACAAGTCGAAAATTGAGGAATTACCGAGGAAAAACGATCTTAGCTAGTGATCATGATCTAAGGATGATCGTGATCATTTCAATGACAAAAGTTGAGCCAATAAAGCATAAGCATCATCAAAACAGCAATGACTCTAGTGGATAAAAGATTTAGCCTAACCTAGTTAAAGTTTAAACCTTGTCTTGAGATCTTCTTGAGTCTTGAGATCTTAAAAACATCCGAGAACGCCAGAACTTTGAAAATTCAACAAAATGCAACAAATTGTGCTAACTAAAGAAACTGGAATCGAAATCCCGTTATTCTAGTCATTCTAGTCATTCTAGTAGCGATTCTGGTTGACTTTTCCTCTCTCACCTCCAAAATTCTCTCCTACTCTGTGTCTCTTCCATATGCAAATCATGCAAAGGGCATATCCTTTCAGTTTCCCCACACTTTCTCTCTTTTCTTCATTCTCTGATCTGCGCAACATTTCACCCCGAACGATCAGCGAAATGAAAGATTTGGAAAGAAATCTTTTCACTCTATTGTATTAGTATCAGAGAAGAAAAACGGCTGTCAACAGGCTGTCAACAGATTGGAAGTAAACTTGTTCAAGAGAAAATTCAATTTCTTTTAATAATCCGATTCTCCTTTACAAGATCTAATAATAATTTTAAATGCTATCTTATTTTAGAACTTTTAGAACTCTTTCGGTGTTACCTGGTGGGCCAATGAAAGGGCTTTACACCGCCAAAATCAGCCTAAAACACACCGCTTCGAAAAGTCAAATTAGAAATATATTGCAATCAAAAATATTCTTAAAGATATCAATCGCAAAGTCAAAGAAGCTTTTAGAATTTTCGTTGTACATCGAGTCGATTTTTTTCTGTTTTGTAAAAGCATTCATAATCAGCCTGTGGCTTTTCTTATACCGGCGAAAATCCTGCAAAAAGTCTAAATTTCTGATAAGAGACTAATGTTTTTGCTTAAAATTTTGTACAAAACAATTCTCTTTTTCCAGGCGCCCTCACAGAGCAAGACGTAAAAGAATATTTATTCTGATTGGACAACAACTAGTGAGGATTATGGCCAATTGGAAAGTCACCAAAATGCTTGGAACTCTCTGTAACAGTCTTAATAAGCTCGAATCTCAATAAGCGGTGTATGCTAAAAGCTAAGAGTTAGATATTTAAGTTTTCTCGCGAGAAAAAGTTAGTTTTATTCAATATTTTTCTCTCGGTCTCTTTCCGATTTTTGTTCAGCCTTGTGCCATGAGATTTCCTAGCCTAAACAACAAAAAGAGCATGAAGAAAGAGAAAATCAAAAAATTAACTATTTCAGGTCAATCGTCCTCGTCCAATCGCTTTAAGCATGATAAAATTTTTCAACTTTTTGATATTTTTCTCTTTCATTCTCTTTGGGCAGTGTCGAGAGAAAGATGAAAAGAAAAACAATTACAAAGAGATCATTGTGGTGAATCGCAAAGTTTTTAGAATCACTTTCATTGAGAACTCGTTTGATTTTTTTAATAAACCAAGACTTTCAGGGATATGCCGGTTATCAGGAAATGGGTGAAGGGGCAAATATTGCAAATATTGCAAGCGCCACAAACAATGATTGAAAAATTATGTTTTTTTATTGAAAAGAGATTACAATAAGAAAGAGCCAACAAAAGAAATCAAAAGGATTTCAGTTGAGCAAAGAACTAGGCGATGACCTCAAAACACTGAACACCGCCGCCGTTTATGTGGCTTATGGAGTGGCCGTCTATCAAATAATTGATGGAGTCAATGTCTGTTTTGAAAAGAAATTAGCATTTATATATTCTCAATTTTATTCATAAGTATTTTCATTTCAGAAGGATAGCGGCAAAAATGATAACTATCATACCGTTAAAGCCGTGACTCGTGTCGGTGAAATGCACTAGGGAGGATCGATTAGTGAGTCTACAAATAGGAAATGAAAATGCTAAGTCTCAAAATGAGATCGGTGCAGCTTCCCAAGACATTTTGTCTTGTCTCTGTGACTTGCCTCTTCTAACAATAAGCAATTGCAAGGAAATGAATTCATTGCTGCTTTAGTACTGCTTGAGTATCTTAATCGTCAGTATTTTGTCTATACTGAAAGATTACGGTAGTTACAATGTCTATTAAAATAAACTAGACAAAAGCAAGATACAAGAAAGAATTGGAGAAATCTCAGGTAATGGTTGGCTCGATTTTGCCGGTGGTTGGGTCATTTGTTGGTGGATTGGTGGGCGGATATTTTGGATCGATCTGCGGAAGCTCCATTTCTACAAGCGTTGTTGTTAATGTTATCTACAATGGGAGACGTTCATAAATTGAAACTTTACAATGCTTTAGTTGTGTTTGTATTTTATAAATTTGCAACTTTAGAAGAGATTTATGACACTTCAAACGATACAGTTTTACGCTAAGAAAAAAATAACAAAGAAAAGAAACTGTTCCCAAGCAGACAAAAAGGCATATTTCAAAATAAGTTTTGTAAATACAGATTGAAAAATGAATACTCATTCGTTTTATCAATTGTAGCTATTAGAATCATGAAGTTTTTTGTGGTGTTCTTAAAAAATTTTAGGCTTTTATCTCTTCCAAATGGATATTTGTATCCTCAATTCAGTGATTTTTATTGTCTTCTCAATGTTTCCTCGTTTCCTTCCCGTTTTTCAATTAACCCTTTAAATGAGACACGATTCTCAGGAATTGAATAATTCACGCTAATCTTGTAATCATACGATTTCTCAGAAAGAGCAATCTCGGCTTGATCTGCCAAAACTCTACAAAAATATCGTTGAAACGTTTTTGATAAAATGGTCCGAACGTTGAAATGTTTTTTTTTCCGTAGAGATTTGGTGACTTGCAGAAGTTTCATGGTGTTTTCGACATCGAGCCGGATAATTGCAAGATTCTGGAGTTCTTGCTGGAGATGAGTCAAGTGGAATTTCATCGAAAATTGGGAAATTGACAACTCTAGGAATTATTTTAAATCATGATTTAGAGCAGTTTCAGCAACTTGAGTTTTGTATTTCGTTGCGTTTCAAGTGCATTTTCCCGCCAAAAATAAGCGATCCGACTACGGGCTACAGAAATTTCCACGAAATAGCGAGCAGAGGATAGAGTTTTGAAGGAAATCGCATCGAGTTTTGTTGAAAATGCACAGCGTTTTTGATTCTAGTAAACATTGGTGAGGGAAATTAAGACAAATTTGTTTGAAATCTTTGCCATTAACAGGTAAATTGTTGACCAGTTTGAATTCCCGCAGTTCGAGTACGAGTTGGCAAGATTTTCAACCATAAATTCTAAAATACACTTAATTTACCGTACTCGAGACGGCGTCTCCCTTTTCCCCTTCAAAATTCAAAGAATCGTTCCCCGATCCGGCGCTTCGACGTGTCTCTTGTTCCCTTTTATCTAGTCCCTTATAAAGTTCTGGTTATTGTTAAAATTTCTCTCCTCATTATTGTTTCCACCCCTCCTTCCCTGTTTCTTTTAAAATTGTTAAAGTTTTAGAGTTTCTGTACTTTTCCCGGACTTTCCACTTTGTTGGCCTTTGGACCCGTGTCTTTCATATTTCCATATTACCGATAAAGTTATTAAAAATCTAAATATCATTTCCCGATAAACGCCAGCAATCCAATCCAACCGCGAATCGTCTTGTTATCCCTCTCTTTTCTGCAAATCATTTGGAATTAGTGTTTCTGGATTAAAAGATTTAGCATTTTGGATAAGATTTCGACCCAGAATTTAGAATTTGGATGTTTGAAACGCTAATACGTTACTGGCGATTAAATACTGCTTTTTGAAAAAATCGTTTATCAAAAGTTTTCCTTTTATAATTGGACTAGTTTTTTTTGAAGATTTCTACCTTTATCTTGCCTAATATGCTTCAAAGTTCTCTCAGCGCACACATTTTGAAAATTTAAGATTCCTTTCGTCACATTTTGTCCGTTCATCGATGTGAAAACCTGCTTCAACTCCTCAAATTTGTACATGTAAGTCATTTTTATATTCTTAACTTGAAATTTAAAACCCTTTTTGTTTAGAGTTGTTTTTGTTTGAGCTTTTTGTGAACATGCGCAATCTCCGGCCGATCTATTGCTGGACGAGAAGTTGTCGACGGATATCAAAGGTCGAAAAGTTCTATTTGAAGTATACTATGTAAATTTTTTTATCTAATATTACCATTCAAGACTATTCCATTTACAGACAATCCCCATCTACAAGAAACTGCCGGAGAATGGAAAATATCAAGGAAGTCTGGGCAATCAGGGAAAGAATACTGTACAGGTAAAAGATTGAAATACAAATCTAACTCTGGAATATTTGAAAAATATTATACCGTATTTACTCTATTAGTGGGGTCCCCCACTATTTTTTCAATCCCCTTCCAGACGACCCCACTATTAGAGAAATTTAAAAGAACATAAAACCAAAGTTTTAAATTGAAAAGATATCAATTTTTCTCCGAAATTCTTGACAAAACAAGTTTGGCTTCATATTTTATTTAGCTTTAACCGTAACAAAACATTAACAAACAGTAAAAGAACTAATCCAAGAGATCAACAATTGATGTATCACTTTCGTTACCAATATCTTCTTCCAATTCGATTGATGAAAGGTGATTGTTGATTCCGGAGATGGCGCGTTCAATTCGAGCATCGGCGAGTTGTTTGGCTCCTTCGGGGATTCCTTCAACTTGCGACCACCTCCTTGAATCCTCTTCATCGTCTTTCCGTTCTCTTTCTGTTGCTTCTCCAGTTGTTCCTTGTGGTTGCACCATTTTCGAATCACGCTTTGCTTGACGCCATATTTTTTTGCAGTTCCCCGTTTGTTCATCGTCTTCTCTGCTTACGCAATCGCCCTGAGCTTTGTCGAAACGTCGAAGACTCTTCTCTTTTTTGAAATCGGTTCTTCAGAATCGCTCGAAGAAGACATCGCGCCTAAAAAATCAAAATTAACTAAGAAACGTAACTAAGTAACAAAACATAAAAATACGACAAATAAAGTTTCTTTAAGCAACAATCGATTTTTAAATTATGCTTGAAAAACATTTTTTCCAAAGACAACAATGGCCTAAGTAGGTATACGGTAGCGTTTTATGGAGCGCGCACTTTAGAAAACTGATTTTCACTAATCGATTCCACTGTTTTTTTCAACCCCCCTCCAGACGACCCCACTATTAGAGAGGACCCCACTAATAGAGTAAATACGGTATTTAATATTAAGATTTATCTAGAGATTTCAAAAACAATAATTTTTTAGAAGAAAGGTTTCTTCGATGACTACGTGAAGCAAATGGGCGACCTTTCAAAGGTTGGTCTTTTTAGTTTAATTTTAGTTTAATGGTAATGGAATACCATCACTCTAGCATTAATTATCCTGATAAATATTCAAATTTAGGGGCTAGTCGATTCGACATCGGATTTCACAACAAAATCCTACGAGAAAATCTCGGCAAGTGCCGGAGAAATGGGCAAAATGATTGATCAGGTTTGGGAATGGTTTGAAAACTTAAAAACGAAAACTATAGCAATAAAATATGTTAGTAAACAATAAATATTAGTATTTACATATTATAACAAGTGCAGACAGTGACGAAATCGAAAGAAATGGCCGAATCGACTCTCGATCTCACGAAGAAAGGATTGGAACAGCTTGGGGAAAGTGCTTCAGAGGCAGCTCAAATGGTAAGATTATAATATAATTTATATTTTACCTATGTCTATATAAAGATTATCAAAGCTACTGTTTCTAGACTCTCGACAAATCAAAAGAGTTGGCCGAAAAATCTCGAGAAATCGCCGAATCAACTGCCGATTTGACGTCGAAATCTTTCGAGAAGCTCTCCGAATCGGTTTCTTCGGCTGCACAAACGGTAAATTTTTTTATTTTAGTTAAATATTTGCATTTAGTTATAAGTAAATGTGTAAAATTTAGTCTTTTGACAAGTCAAAGGAGATTTTGGAGTCAACAAGCGATTACACAATGAAAAGCTTCGAGAAACTCGGGGAAACGACTGCCTCGGCGATGGAAACGGTAACAGATTAGTTGTCAAATAAAAGAAACAGATAAATTGTTGTTATTTTTATTGTTTATTCAACTCAATTTTCTAGACGATGAACAAAACCAAAGAGCTCGCTGAGTCAACCACGAAAACGATTGGGGAAATGAGCACTGGGGCAAGCTAATTTTATAAAAAAATTCTGAATATTCAGTCTAGATTTGAACAATCAAGTAATTATACTAAATATTTTAAATACGTAAAATTTAGGCTTTCGAGAAAACAAAAGAATTCGCCGAGGAGTCGTCGAAAACGGCTGGAAAGATTTATGATGGAATGACAACAATCGCACAAACGGTAACCTATTTAAATAACACAAATTTAACATTAAAATGATACTAAATTTTAGATCTTACATTATTCATTACATTGGATTTCAGAGTTTCAACAAAACGAAAGAAATTGCGAGCTCGGCCGCCGACTCATCAATGAAATCACTGGAGAAGTTCGGCGAAGCCGCCGCCTCAACCACGCAATCGGTTATTGAATTGAAGATGAAAGATTACTATAATTTCCCCATTTACTCATACGTAAAACTGTTCATCATTTAGACTCTTGAAAAATCCCAAGAAATCGTTGAATCGGCCTCGAAAACACTCTCAAAAACCTATGATCAGACGACATCGATGGCTCAATCGGTTTGATAAAGCTTTATCCCTTTTGAAATCTCCATTTAGACTTTTCAAAGTGTGAACTCGCAAATCGGACCCACTCTGCAGAGTTTACATGTAAATTTTTTGTTGACCAACTGTTGCTCTTTCGTTTTAGAAGACTTCGAAAGCAGTGTTAGCTTCAAAAAGCGTACAAGAGTCGATGAAACAAGTGAACAATCTGTACAAGGTTTGAAATTATTTTAATTCTTAACCGAGATTAACAAAGGCTTAAGTTTTCTAAAGAATGAATTTTAGTCAATGCCAAGTATTTCGATCAAGATCGAGGTGAAAAAGCCAACCGTAGAAACACCGACGAGTGGAGTGACTGAATTGGAGAAGAAACCCGAGAGTCGTCTCGTTCCTTCATACAAAAGAGTTCAAAGTTTGTTCAAGGTTGGTTAAAAGTTTGCAAATTATACTAAAAAGGTTTATAGATTAATATTCAAATAATATATTTGAGACCTATAGTTAGTTCTTCAAACGTTTAACAAAAAATCAAACTTCCAGGAGACAACCTCTACCCAATTAACCCGAATTCGCGAAGCCGCCTTGACGAAGGTTGAAAATGTGAGTTTACAACAAAAACAACTTTACCCAGATGCTTCTATGATTAAATTTTTCAAATTTAGAAATTCCAAAGTTTCTCCTTGATCTCGAAAGTGTGGAAGGGTTTCTTGTATCTTCCCTCATCGATCAGCCCACTTAAATCATTGCGCGAGAAACTCACCGAGAAGATACACAAATTTGGGAACTTGACACGGGTTTGTACAGCGGATTTTGTGTCTAATCTTTTAAAGCTATGCAATTAAACATAAATATTTAGGGACTCACCGGGTATTATGTTGGTGACGGATGGAAACACGACATCGATCATAGCCAAGCCGCCAGCTCGGCCATTGAACATTTTGTTGACATGGTGAGTTGATTTAGAAGAAGGCTGCAATTAAACAGCCAAGTGTAAACTATTCAAACTTTTAAAATTCCAATTTATCACGAATTCAGACAGTCATCCAGTTATCCCATCATCTCCACCATGTCACTGTCATCGCTGTCTTTGCTGCCGCTCTATCGACCAGCTTTGAGATTAAAAGAGGATTCAAAGTGAGTTAAAGGTGTAGATAGGTTTATTATTCTACTTAAATCTAGTTGGATCGAAAGAATGAGACGAATCGACATAAACTGGAGACAACAGGACATGTGATCAGCTCGTTTGGTGGCAGTTATTTGGGTGAGTAAACTTTAACTGATAACTTCAATTAACTGATAGTAAGTACCTTTTTTACTCTGAACTACAAAAACAAAACCCACTATTCATAGAAAATAAACTATTCATACTTTGAACTAAGCTTATTCTTCGATTCAGGCTCAAAAGTCGGATCGTTGATCGGAGAGGCGTTGATGCCCGGCTTGGGCACTCTCTTCTTTGGAATTCTTGGCGCATTTCATTGCTCAACCGCCTCAATCTTCACCACAAAGCTTCTCGTGGAGAAATTTTTGAAGAAGTAGAGCACTGTGCTTAAAATTTGAGACATTTTATAGATTCTATCCCTTTTACCTAGTCATGTGCCTTTTCCTAGTGTTCTTTTACGCTGGTTCTCAACATTTTGTGCTTATTATTTTACGAAGTAGTCATCAATTTTGTCTTGTCAAATTTTAAAAATAAAATTTCAATTTGACTCAATAAACTAAAATATAGCTGAAGTTTTGAAAAAGTTTAAAAAAAATAATTTCTCTAAAAAACAATGTCTCTCATTTTACTCACACAACAAATTCTCTTTGATTTTTCAAAGAAAATTGAAAATAATAAACACAGTCTGCAATAAGAGAAACAAAACTTTAAAAAACTTCAAAATTAGTATCTTGTGAAGATGTTGTTGAAAAGTTTGTAAATTGTTCTATTGGGTTGATCGAAAAGTCCTTTCCGATTTTTTGGGAGAGTACCTTAAATTTGTCCAACTTTAACGTTTTATGGCTCATCCTAAAGCTGAATTCAAGACGGATCGATTGGTAAAAGCCGTTTTGAGATATCTCTTTTCTAAAAGTTTTTACAGCTATTTTAGTAAAGGGCGGCAGAGCCAAAAATGGCTGTTTTCACGTTTCGTTAGTTTTCCGTGCAGAAACCTAGGCTAAAAACATGTGTTTCGTGATCGGCGTCAAAAATAACCCCTAGACACGCATTTCCAGAATCTTAGCAAAAAATTTTTGAAAAATATTGTCACCGGTGGAAGTCGAACCAGCGACCCTCAGATCAATAGCCTTTCCGCCGCTTTTCGCGATTTTCCTTCGTTTTTCTCGTTTTTTTTTGTTTTATCATTTTTTTGATGTTGTTAGAAGGCTTTTTTCAGGAATGTCGTGTCAAGTTGAATCGGAGGAGCACCAGCGACACCTGTTTTTGTATGCATTCATAAATTTTCCATAAATTCCATTGCTCGTTTCTTCGCTAGATTTTCTCACCAATCGAAAATTGAAAAAGGTGTCTTTGGCCATGAAATGATGAAGTAAAGAAAATTATAGCTGAAGAAATCAAACAAAATCTCAACATTTGAACGTTTGCTGATGTATCAGATGAGAAGATCACAATTAAACACTCTGCATAGTCTAAAAGAGCACTTTATAGAAAACCCAAGCATTTTGCTTAACACACCTTTTAGAAAAGCAACAAAGATAGCAAATTCTAGATGCTTTGCAACTCGGCTCTATTCATTGCAAATGGAATCATCTGGCCTTTCTATGAGACTTTTGCTGATATCTATTTACGTTTAAATCTTTGCTATATTGCCTGGATTGGAGGATCGATGTTCTTTTATATTTTGCAAAATTTAATGGGAAGATCTGGAAATCAAAATCTGCTCAAAATGAGCTTTGGAAATCAAAATCTGACCATTTTTCAGCATTTTGAATATATTGTTCCTTCGAAAGCAACAAAAAATCGAGAGTGCCGAGCAGCAATCAAATTTCATCAACTAATAACGCATAAAATATAATTGATCTCAAGAAAATTGCAAAATTGAACAATTTCTCACAATTGAATAAAGGATTTCAACAATTTCGACAACTAGTTTTTGTATTTCTCGATTTTGGCGCGAAACTGTGTGAAACCATGACAACAATACCCTCAACACAATCCGGAACAACTCTACTTTGTATTTGGCTAATAATAAGCACAGAGAATTCTTTGCATTATGCAAATTTTGTCTATTTATTAAAAAGCATGGCACTCCAAAAACTCTCAAATGGTCAACTGACTGAACAGAGTATTCAGAGGTGAGCTTTAGTGGACTTTGGTCTGATAGAAGTTGTGAAAAGACATGAACAACTTGTAAAGTTGAATTAAACTGTGTTTTCCCTATGGAAATCTTAATCTTTTTTTGTTTTATTTGTTCAACTTTCAGCCTCTGTCACTTACTGGCCGAAGAGCTCTCGTTAGCTGAAAACATTTCGAGAAAAGAAACCGATTTTCAGAAATTTCAAGAGGTTCATTTTGAACCAAAACAGAGAATCAAAGTCAGTTTTAATTCAAATTTTAGATATTTTAGGTATTTTGGCTTTAATATTCCTTGTGTATAAGTTTTCTCTATAGAATCTCCGAAAAAAGATTCACTCTTTGGCGGCCGAGTCCCGCGATGTCACAAAAGGAATGATTATGACGAGAAGGAATCAAAAGTTATCAAAAGTTTTAGTTTTATTTTAAATTTTTCCATTTAGCCAGATGATCGCTCAAAATAGAAACATGTCATTTGAAAGCTCAGAGAATTTGACGTCTTTGTACGCTATGATGTCCAGAAAGATTAGAGATGAAGTTTTTAAACAGGTTCTTTTAAAAAGTTTGAAATCTTTCATAATTTCTCTAACACTTTTCAGTTAAAAGAAAATGAATCACAAAATTTCTATGAAGATCTCGACAATTTCTACGCAGAAGAGCTGCAGTGGAGAAATGAGCAAAATCGGGAAATGATTGGGGAATTTCGAGAAAGGGAAGCTCAAGCGAAAGTGAGAAATTTGTAGATAAAAGAGACAAATCTTGTTAAAGGTCTAATTCTAAAGTAATTTGGTTAAGGCGAGTCTCTTCGAGGCGAATGTCGAACTCTCGAATCAGCAGCTTGTCGTCGATGATCTCAACTTTCGAATGGTTAGCTTACTTTCTGCAAATTGCTTTCAGAGTTCTTGACTTAAACCGAAATTTTAATATCTAGTCAACAAGATATGTTCTTCAATTTTCGAGCTTTCTGTCCAAAGCAGCAAACTTTGATTGCAGTTCAATAAACCCGCGTTTTGATCTAACTACCTGTTCCCCATCTCGCACATCATTTGTCACAAAATTAGCATAAATCCGTCTTACGCTCTACACTCAACTAACCTATAGGCTCTTGTGCTGCACAATGAACACATTACAATGGAGGAAAGGACTCTTCTTTCACTGAAGAGGATAGGGATTGAGCCTATCGATGGTTCTTTCCCCTTTTCCTCTTCCCATTTCCCCCTTCCTCTTTTCTTGTTCCTTTTTTCATCCTCAGCTTGGCCCCATCGGTCGATAATCGGCCGTCTCAAGTGTTTGGAAAGATGAGAGTTCTTCGAAAAGGAAAGGAAAAAAGAACAGGGATATTGATGGGTATCTAAAGAGGACTTTACTAAAGAACTATATCATTTAGAGTTCTTTATTTTATAGAATACTTACAATTAGCTCTAGCAGCTCTAGCATTAAGCTAAACGAGACTTTAAAACCTATAAAATAGCAAAGTTTGGATAGCAATCTCTTGTCGGTTACAACTCATCGGTTTCCTTGTTTTGATGAAATTTTTACAATCAACAAGAGACAATTTAAGTTTACGAAGTCATTTTATGATGAAACCACTTATTTCTTGAGCTTTTAATCTTTCTATAAGCTCTATTCTCAGTAACATTTCCGTCTCGACAAAGTCCCCAAAATTGCACTCACTTTTCCCCTGAAGTGACAATCTATTGGAGAGAAGAAGAGACTGATCGTTCTTTGTGTTATGAGAGATAAACGGATTGAGAGAGAAAAGAGATAGAAAAAGGCCATGTGCTGCTGTCGGGGAAAAACTTTATAAAAGAGAGAAGAGAGCAAAAATCCACAAAGTCAACGATCATTTCTTTCTTTTCTTTCGATTTCTCAATCCACGAGGGGTCAATGATGTAATCGAGAATGAAAGTGAATTCAAAGAGCGAACAGACAGTCAACGAACAAGATCAAACTCCATCAAAGGGCGCCGATTTCAAGGGGATTAAATGGGTAAGGGTAGATCAATAGAAGATTAGCTTTGAAATTAGCTTTGAAATCTCGGTAGTGGTGTACTAAAGACTCACTGGATAGTGAAGCAAACTTCATATAGAAACGGAGGAAACTATTTGGTGTACTTGGAGCAAACTACAACTATCACACATCACATTGAGAGCAGAAATTGAATTTTATAGCCTAACTACGATTGTCACATAACACCCGACAATACCTGAACACACAGAACCATCATTTGCTTGAGTGTTCCCAAAAACAAAACCCGTGTTGTCATTTTCGAAAACGTAACGCCGCTGTTCGTTTCCCCGTTCTCAAATCATCGATCAACCCAAAGAACGGGCAACTCAATGTTTTTCTTCCATTGAACAGCCATTTCCTTTCCCCATTTGCCCATGATCTCTCAGAAAAACCGTGGCAACTCTCATCGTTCAATGCTCGTTTTTTTTCTGCCTCAAAAACAAAGCCTTGTTTATCCCAAAACTTTCTTTGCAAATCGAGAAAACATTGATTGAAACGCGAAAGATAAACAACCATTTTTTAGTTGTTTATCTGTATCGAATTAGCAAGAAATGAGTAAAGAAATGGGTAAATAAGTTGAAAATTCTCAATTCATTAAGTAATGCAAACTCTAGGGAAATACCAAAATACTTATTTCAAGCCTTACCGTCGAACAAACGTCTAAAACTCTTCTCACTTCTCATTTTCCTTTCCACGATCTCCTACGTGAAAAAACTCAAGTAAACAAACACTCACGTAACACAATATTTTGTGAACTTTTGTTATTCAGCACTCTTTAAAACCAACTACTGTACTTAAGTTCTAGAAAAGTCTTACCGTAAATACTGTAATAGTACTCCACCCCCATAATAACAGTGCGGAGTGTTGCGTAGTCTAGCTTTGAACGAGTTTTTCTCGACACTGGTTTATGCTACAATGCGCGCTTAGGTATCAAAAAATAGCCCTGAATTTCAGCTATTTTTTGATACCAAAGACGCATTTTTGAAAGTACGGACGCTTTGAAAAAATGAAATACTAAAAAACTTTTGCGACTACGCGACTGTACGAGGGGGGTGGGGTACTATTACAGTATTTACGGCATAGTCTTATACTATACTTTAGAAAAACGATGAAAAAGTCAAAAATCGGTTGAGAGAAGAAATTGGAAATCTTCGAGGAAATTTACGGGATCTCTTGAAAGAAAAAGCTGAGTTTGAGGTATTTTCATCAATTTGTGTGTTCATTCTTTGCAATGAAAACATTTTTATTATTTTATTTATTTTCCAGGAAGACAAACGAAATATTGAGATAATAAAAGGTCAATTTCGACTACAGAAAGAAATCAATGAAATGATTTGGGCAGAGTTTTTACGGGTGAGTTGTAAAAAGGAAGGAACTGTAGCTGTAGCTACTGTAGGCTCAAAACAAAACATTTGTATCATTTACATTTTGAAATAGCATTGATAGATTTATTGTTATTAATGCTACTATTGACGAATAGATGGCTATAGATGGCTATAGATTAAACTCACTATTTCAACCACAGTTAAGTTAAAAGACTTCGAATTAAAAGACTAAATTTTAGTTAGAAGAAGAACGCGATTTCCTCCATGATTCTTTAACAAAAAGTCTTGAAAAGATGCAAGAGATGAATCTGGAGAAAATCGAAAATTTCGACGAAACTTTGAGAAAAGTTGAGCTCGATTTTGGGTGAGCAACGAAATGATAAAGTTTGAACAAAGTTTTGATGAAAAAGTTCAAGAATTTCTTGCATTTTTCCTGTGATAAAGCTCAATATTCTCCTTAAACTTCTCCTTGAACTTTCACAAAACTCTGATATTCGTTTAATAAAAGATATTTTTATATTTTCATCTTTTTAATCTCAAAATAACAACAACTAAGGCTGAGCGCTCTAAGGCTTTTCTTTTCTGTGAGCTTCAATTGCTAAAAGGCACTAAAAAGCTAATCGTAAATAAAATAAATAAAACGGGGGGGGGGAAAAGGGCCCCTTTTTTTCCCCCCCGAACTTCTCCCCCCCTTTTTTTTTGGGGGGGGGGGGGGGGGGGGGGGGGGGGGGGGGGAAAGGGGTGGGGGGGGGGGGGGGGGGGGGGGGTGGGGGGTTCGGACCCCCCGCCCCCCGGAAGGGGGGGGGGGGGGGGGGGGGGGGGGGGGGGGGGGGGGGGGGGGGGGGGTTTTTTTTTTTTGGGCGGGGGGGGGGGGGGGGGGGGGGGGTTGGTGGGGGGGAGGCGGGGTCTTCCTTCCCAACCCCCCCTGGGGGGTCGTCCCCGGGGCGGGGGGGCCGGCCCGCCCCCCCCCCCCCCGCCCGCCCCCCCCCCCCCAATAAAACTGATATTTAGACTCAGATATTCATACAATTTAGTGCAAAATAAAAAGAAGTTTCAATTGTTTTTTAAAGAGAAAGCTTTTCCCTTGAAATCTTTCTCTATTTTGCAGGAATTGTACCGCAATTCAAAGTCAAATGAAGTCAAAAAGCTTGGCTGTGAACAAGAGGCTGTGAACAATCCAGGCTGTGAACAAGAGATGGTTATAGATACAGTCAAACTTCGATACAATAAATTTGAAATTCTAAAAGGCGCCTAAAATTTCTGCATAGCTGCTCGAGCCAAACGAAATCAGTGGTCGTTCAGGGCAACTACGCAGAAAATTTGAGACACATTTTAGGTTCGTTATATCAAAGTTTGACTGTATTTGAATAACAAAAAGAAGAAAAAGAAATCCGGTGACCCGAAAATGATGACAAAACATAACACCTAGAGCCTATCGCCGAACACGCTCGAAATACTCGTATTCGCAGAAATGAGTATGAGAAAATGAAGAAATAACAAAAAAAAGAAACACGTCCTAACACTAACAAACTACGGTTTGGATTGGGTTTTCTAAAAAGTGGGATTTTGGCTGACCAGGCTTCTGGCGGACTCTTAATATTTACCTCCTAAACTATTTACCTAAGATCTTCTCTAAATTACCCACCGTTTAGAAAACCAACCCTAGAATAAATACGGTAGATTCCCGTTTTCTCTCTTTTTCCCTTAAAGATTAAGGATTTTCGGATCGATCTCCAACTCTTTAAGCATTCGTTCCATCAAGAATGAGTCGATGTCGAAAGGCTTGAAATCGGGGCGAGCACAATCGGTGGTTGGTCTAGAATTGTGGTAGGTTTTGTATAGAATTTTTGTTTTTTTGACGTTTCCGAACCCTTTTGGACCAATTTGAAAAAAAAAAAAAAAAAAATTTAAAATTTGAGAATTTAAATACGATTACCTGAATACTTTTCAATTAGGTTACTCTATCAGTTAGGTATAAGCTCTAGGCTTTACAGTATCTTTTCCACTCAAATTCTCACCTGTAAACAACGACTTTTTGATCGGGTTCCCCGCTGGGCGTCTCAATGAATCGTTTCCAAGCTGAAATTAGAGATTAGATATTAAGAGCTGAACTTGAACATCCAATTTATAAATCCAAATAAGTGTAAGAAGCTCGTTGTTAAGTAAATGTAATAGTTAGATAATAAAATATTATCTAAACTATTGTTTTAAAAGAGCTAAACTTTTATATAACTCACAGCTATACAAAGCGTTCATCTGCTGCTCCAACATCGGCGACTTTGGACTTCCGGGCAGACTGTTGCTCGTTGTCTAAATTTATAAGTAAAAGTATAAGTTAGATAATCAAATACTAGCTAAACTATTGTTTTAAAAGCTTTTTACTGCATCAGCTTTTTGCTGCATTTTACTGCATCAGCTTTTTACTGCATTTTGCTGCATCAGCTTTTTGCTGCATTTTACTGCATCAGCTTTTTACTGCATTTCCACTCACCGAACATGTCGAGCTGGCATTGTTTTTCCTTTTTGAATACCTTGTTCGCGGGAGGAAACTGAAATTTATAAGAATCTTTATTTTTTTATTATCAAAATCTTGTAGTTCTGTTCATTTCATATCTCTTATCAAGTCTGGCCTCAAATGAAATCGATTTTCGCGAAGAGAAATTCATTTGAGAAACGTGCAGAAAAAAAGGAGACTTTCACTGACTATCCCACAAAAAAAGGTGATAAGTTTTCACAGAAAGTGATAGGTTATAGACAACATTTGAAAAGGCGAAAAATCTTTAGTTTTAGGTACTTTTTTAAGAGGAGACGCTTTAGTTGTTATAGGAACAAGCACTCTTGTTTAGCACTGAGGACACGCAATTGCCTTTCTGCCTGTCTATTACTTTGAATATCATTGTCATCTATCTAGCACTTACATTTCTTGTGTATTGAGGGAATTGGGCGATGTGGCTTCAGATGAAAGAGACGAATTAGATGAAGATCCCGATTGAGAGGCCTCATCACGAGGAGAGAAACCATTCCTCACAAGGGAACCCGCTTGAAGAATTCGCGGAGTCTTGCGCCCGACTTTGTACATTTAGAAGGAATTTCGGGGAAATGAGAAATGGGGAAAAATGATGGGAATCTGAAATTGGAAAATAGATATTCAAGTAAAACGATTCGAAAAACAAGAAATCAAAAAGTTCACAATTTCATCATGCACATAAATGTTTGAGATTTGATTCTCCAAATGCCTATGATCTAGTTGTTTTTTGATAAATATTTAAAATTGATCTTAAAATAGGAAAAATAGTAAACAAGCTCTGTCGGAGGATTTGAGATTGCGACAAAAGATTTGGAGAGATTCGTTGAAAAGAAAGTCTAGACGAGATTTAGCAACAAGAATTTGAAATCGATGAGAATAGAAACAGTCTATATCAAATTATTGTAAGAATAATATGGAAAATATAGCGAAATATAGCAAAAAGGGCTTGGTTTCCCGATGCGCAGAGGAGAGGGTGGTGTAAAAATCTTGCAGAAACAAGTGAAAGAAGATTTCAAATGAGGAAATCTGTTGATCTGTTGAAAAAATCTGTTGAAAAAGCTATGATTGATCGCTGTAAAGCATTGATTAAGTAACAATCAAAAAAGTAATCTTGAAAAAAACTAGGCATCTAGTTGATTTTGAGTGTTGAGATATCACAGAGGGTCAAAGTCCGATAGAGTAGTCCAAATTTGGGGTTAGTCTGGTGAGAGAGGTGGTCACTCTGTGGGTCGAGAGGGTGTGCTGCTGTGGATTTGTCAACACACATAAAAGGGAACAGATTGGGGAAGGAATGGCGGAGAGGGACACTACTGATGACTGACAGAGGTGAAGAAAGGGGGAGGAGAGGGGAACGTACCGCCCTTTTCACCCCACAGAACCACCCCCTTTTGAGTACACCGAGATACCCGATACACCCTGGAAATGTGCTTATAAGTGACTCAAATATCAGCTGATATTGCATGGCCAGACGACCCGACCCCGCACAAATCCACATGATTCACCAGCTTTTTGATTAGCCAACTTTTGTTAATTATCTGGGAAATTGCTTTAGCAGCTGGGAAATTGCTTTACAATTATCGTAAACTAACAGCTGAAACTTTTTGTGCAATATGTTCAATTTTAATAGCCCCATCCAACTCGAAATAACTTTATTTTGGCTATTTCTTGAACAAAAGATCTAAACCGATAAAATCAAATTGCTCTTACTGATCGGTCCATCAAAATAATTTCTAAATCTTTTCAAGCTTATCCTTTTCTACCACAACTCTTACAAAAAATTGCACAATATTGATTTTCTATGAATGATTTTGCGTAAGTCTCATAATTTGTCTTTCAGTCTTTTATGAAAAGCACCATTTGTTGTTTTCTAAAACGTACCCTTTTGGGCAATTTGTGGATATTTAATCATTTGGCTTTTACAAGCTTGTATATTCAATTTACAAGCTTGTAACTGTCCAAATAGTACCACTCCAACTGTAACAGAAAAATTTTGGGGGTGGCTACTTTGCGCAACTCACCATGACTTTCTTCTAAGTGGACCAATCTTTATGGTTTTGGTGTCTGTTGTTGAGATCTACATGACACCAAAATTATAAAGATTGGCCCACTTAAAAGAAAGTTATGGCGAGTTACACAAAAGACCCAGTTGCGCAAAAAAAATTGGCGCAAAGTAGCCACCCCCAAAATTTTCATTTCTTAAAACTTGTGTTGAGCTTATGTTTCATGTTTTGTTCTTATTTTTGATTTTACGTTTGTAAAGCAAACCCAGTACATTTTTTAAAACTTTATTAATATTCTAGCAACGTTTCTGACCGTTCTTGGTTGCAAAAATTCTGCGTTTGACACTTGCCTGGGCTTGCTTTACAAAATACTGCGTCTACTCTAATAATTTTTCTAAATTTAAGCACGACTTTGACGGTGAATGATGAGATGTTTCCCAAGACGAGTATTCGGACTCTCGTGATTTTCCAAGGGATCGTGCAATGTTTCGCGTTGGGAAGTTTTCCCACTCCGTTCGGCGTCGACATCGTCCCCCACAGCGGCCACATTTGCGCACTCGGCGATGTGAATGGTGATCGAAACACGGATTTGCTCATCTTCCGCGAATCAATCGATGAGGCAAAGAAGGGAACGATGGAGTTGGCTTGGGTGACACAAGATGAAAAAGGATCTTTCTGGAACCACACGAGCACGATTCCGCTCACTAAATACGACAAAGGAAACCCTCCGAGATGCGCGGTTGGTGATTTTGATGCTGAAAGCTCATTGGATTTGCTGATCACCGAGAAAAAAGGCGATGGAAGCTACCAAATCGACAAGTTGATGCTGTGGCAGTATGAGAACGGAGATTTCCTCTTCAGGGAAGCAAATTTATGCAGCTTTGCGACGACGACGTTTATCGAGGAGCCGAATTTCATCGACATCAATGGTGATGGGCAAGCAGATATTATTGGTGTCACAAAGGACATGAAGCTGTACTGCAAATTGGGAACATCTATGCTTCACCCGGCAAAGGAGTGTCTACCCGATTTAGAACCATTCAGTTGCGACCATCTTTTTGACAACTGGGATCTAAATTTTGCGGATAAAATGCCTTTCTTTGGTGCTCCATGGATGTTTGTGGATATCGACGGTGATCTGTCATCTGAATTGATTGTGCCTTCACTATCGAAAAACGATAAAAGCTTGGTGTTTGATGTGTGGAGTCGCCCCAAAATCCATCCCGGTGAAGGAAAAGAAAATTCACGCTGGGCGATGAATGAGTTTGTGCAGATTCCAAGTTTGCCGTCAACGAGTCACCACGGTGCTCCTTTTGTTGCCGATTTCAATGGAAATGGAAGAATGGAAATTGCCGTGCCCACATGCAGTGAGGAGAGGTGCGAAACGGTGACGGCTTTATCACTTTTGGAGATTGTGGGTGATTGCGTGGATCATTGTGTGAAGCCGGCTTGGGAACAGGCCTCGATCGACATAAGTGGAATGAAAATTGTCTTATCGGAGGGCTCAAAAGTTTTGTTTCGAGTCGGTGATTTCAATCTCGATGGATTTCCCGATCTCGTCGCTACCTTTAAAGAACCGAACGCCGAAAAGACTTTTACAAAAGTTGTTGTCAATGACGAATGCCCAGATTGCCCGCAGAATCGAACGCGGAAGTTCCAGTTCAAAAAGATGAGCCTCGTTGAACCATGGGAGGCAGCACTGGGAAGGGTGACGTTGAGCACTTTCTTTGATTTGAAAGAAGATGGAAATCTGGATATTCTTGTGGAATATCACTACAGCAACAAGCGTCGATTCAGCTTCATTCCATCAACCGAGAAGGATGACACCACTTTCCTTAAAGTTCAAACTTACACAAACGTGTGTGATGGGAAAGGATGTCGAAAGGGTTCTTCACAAAATGATATCGGATCGGGCATCACTTGGCCAGGCGTTTGTATGCGATTCGAGATGACCGATTCGTGGACAAACGGTAAAAAGGAGGGAATCTCTTGCCAACTCCCATCAACCACCCATCGATCGTTGTCCACTCCATATGCACTCTTTGGACTTGGTCGAAGTCCGAATTTTGTCGACAAAATCTACATTGGCGCTCCGCGATTTGTTGATGGAAAAGGTCAAACAGGATCGTTTCCACAATTGGTGCCAAATTCTCGAATCATCGTCATTCCACCAAAAGGCGGTCTCGGATCGTGGACCCATCGATTGTTCGTCACTCCATCACAGTTGATCATTCAATCGTTGATTGTTTTGGCATCGGTGTGCCTCTTATTGTTGTTGGTGGTAATCATTTTGCACATTCGCGAACGCAAAGAGGATCGACTGGAACGATTGGCGCAATCGCATCGTTTCCATTTTGATGCAATGTAGATTGTGTTTCTAGTGAGCTAGCAGTTATCTTGTTACCTGGCTTTTGAAATTCTTATCAAGATCTAAAAAAGATAACTGTTAGTTCTTATCTGATAATTTATTTACGTGTTTGCTATATTTCCGATTCCTTGTGATAATTAATTCGTTCGGGTATTTTTTTTCTGCCTGCGACCTTCTTTTTTATGGTATGATTTTTCATGTATTTGCGTAATTTTCTCAGCCAAATCGTTACATTTGCTTTATTCATTTGTTGGGTTGTTCTCTTTTGTGGTTTTTATGAATGTTCTGAGCTGTTGAATTTGGAATTAAATGAATAAATTTCAGATAAAGCTGCACGAGAAGAAGAGAGGATGCCACTATTGGGCAGGAAAAAGAATAGGAATACTTATCAGGTAGGGTTTATATTAGTTTAATCTTTAACGTAGAGAATAAACAAATTTTTTATATTTATTGATCGTTTTTCAATTGTCCCATTTTAGGTGATTGACGACGATTTTGATGACACCGATGTGAACATTGCTTCGACGACATCTCTGCTCGGAAGTGAAGATCGATCAAGATTGCACTATCTTGATCCAAATGCCGAGCAAAGACCATTGTAAGTTCAAAAGCAGTAGGCAAGCAAATATCTGAGTAAGCCATGCAAGACTACAAAGTATCTGAAGACTAAAATGCGTGTAGTTAAACAATTTGGACGACACATACAAATTTTATCAATTGACTGTATTCGAATAAAGAAGACAGTAACTTTAATGGGTAACATTTATTCAGAGTTGAGCCAACCACGAGCACCGACGTAGAAGTTGGCTATCAAGGACCGCCAAATTCTCATCATGCCGCATCGAATAATAACAGTACAAGTACGTTAAGAAAAGCGTTAGTGAAACACTGATATAAAAATTTTAAGGATTACATAACACCCCCCTACCACACTCGGCTCCGCCACTAATGGGAAGTAGTAGCAGCCAAGAACATCGATGGGAACACATTGAGAATTTGGATCAGGTAAGGAAATTGATAAACATGCGTCCTATTGTGCTGCAGAAACTAATTTACACTTCAAGTAAGTACCTCTAATCAATTTCAGTTCTTCACACGGGTCTACGAATATCATCAAGGCGGTGGATATTTGTGCATTGCCGCAAAACATGTCTTCTCGTTAGCTCAATTTGTTTTTATTGGTAAGCGAGACAAAAGGTTTCTAAATTCTAAAAAGAACCATTTTAGTGATTTTCTCGACGTTTTTCTTACAATGTATCGATTATGATGTGCTCTTCCGAAACACCAATTCGACGGCTTCCGGCGAATTCATCCCACCAGGAACTAAAAGACATTTTGGGGTAAGAAACAATCCATAGATTGAGGTGTAATAATTTGGCCGAATTCATATCACTTACATTTGTGAAATCTTTTCAGGATGCAATAGTTGACTCATGTGCGCAGCATCTGCATCCATTCATCATCATCGCCATTGCAATGGCCGTCATTTTCTGGGCGTCTCGGGTCATCAAAACCGGCTACTATTTGCTGCAATTAAGAGAGATTCAGGTATGTAAATGTACATTTTGAAGGCGAAAAGCTCTGTACACAAGGCTTGAAATTCCATTCAGAACATCCAGAAACTTGATCTGTTTAATTCCAGGAGTTCTACACTCACGCATTGTCAATTGAAGACAACCAATTGTCGAATCTGACCTGGCACTCGATTGTGACAAGGATTTGTGAGGTCCAGCCGCGACTTCACATAATCGTCAATTTCGAGACAATCTCCCCAATCGACCTCTATCATCGAATTTTGAGATTTAAGAACTATTTCGTTGCTTTAGTCAATCAGGTAAGAACCTTTAAAGGGAAACAAAAATAAATCCGTTTTCAGAGAGTTCTACCACCTGTGTTGAAGGTTCCATTTTACGGCGAGGTGCCTTACCTACCGAATGGACTTAAAGGTCAGTAAAAATCGAAATACAGTAGTAATCAAATCTTGCTTCAGCTAATCTCGAATGGCTTCTTTTCTGGGGTTATTTCTCGCCTTGGAGAGGACCCTATGTACTGAAAGAAGAGTACCGAAATATGGAAAATCTTGAATATTTGACGATGGAAATGGAAAGAACTGTGAGTTGTGGGTTTAATGATTGAGAAACCTCGATTTAAGGTCACCTATCTCGGTTTATTCAATTTGATCTTTTTCCCGTTGATCTTTCTCTATCAATTGCTTTATTCGTTCTTCACTTTGGCTGAAATGATCAAGAGAGAACCGGGATCATTGGGAACGAGAAGATACTCGAATTATGGACGGTTAGTGGAAAAGTTATAGAATTTTAAGATTACCGAAGTTACAGTACAATAGAGATACAAACAAAATCAAGCTAAACACGAATTTTTTTTGATACTTTCACTCAGATACCGATTGCGTCACTTCAACGAGCTGGAGCACGAGTTGAAAGCAAGATTGAACCGTTCACATGCGTATGCTACTGCCTACGTTAATCAGTTTTACTCACCGTTAGGTAAATCAAATATGAAAATAGATCTGTAATTTAATTGAAAAAATTTCAGGCGAGATTCTTGCGAAAAATGTAGCTTTTGTGGCTGGAGCGATCTTTGGAGTGCTTGCCGTGTTGACCGCCTGGGATGAAGATGTATTACAGGTAAAGTTGATTCCAGGATTCTATGATTCAGCAACGTTGTGCTCTTAAGTTCTTCACTGACTTCAAAATCTGTTTCAGGTAGAGCACGTGTTGACAGTGATGACGGTGGCTGGTGTGGTGATGATCGTTTGTCGGAGTCTCATCGCTGATGAGAATCTTGTCTGGCAACCGGAGGTAGGAAATTAAATTGAGATTTCATTCATAACCAAGAACTTCTTATAAGATTACAGAAGTTCGGTTAGAATTCTAAACAAACTATATAAAGGGAAAATTCCAGGCTTTGCTCAGCCACGCCGCCTCGGAGTTACATTATTTACCAGTCGAATGGAAGGGACACGCACACACAGATCAAGTACGGAACACTTTTGAATCTATCTGGAATATTCATTTTACATTGATCTTCGTTTTCAGATTCGTATCTCTTTCGAAAATCTCTTCCAATTAAAAGCTTTCTATTTACTTGAGGAGTTATCCAGTGCTGTCATCACTCCGATCATTCTACTCACACAGTAAGTTCATTAAACATAGAAGAAATTAAGACGGAACACTTTTGTATCTATCTGGAATATTCGTTTTACATTGATCTTCGTTTTCAGATTCGACAATTAAAACAATTAAGACCCATTATTTTTAGTATCAAACCAATTTGCCGAACACTCGTTCGTTTCTTGATCGAGAATTCGGAAGGTGTTGAGGGTTTGGGAAATGTGTGCACATTTGCCCTTATGGACACTGGGAAACATGGGGATCCCACTTGGGGAGTCACCGAGAATAATCAGCAACCAGGTAGTAAGATTTTATGCATTTAGAACTCTTAATGAGTTTTTTGATGTTAAAATATAACCTTTAGCTCCAGAGCGAATCCAAAACATCGTGCCAGCGTTGAACGGAAAAACAGAGCTCTCAGTTCTTCACTTTGCCACCACGAATCCCGAATGGGAACCGCCAAAGGAGTCGGAAAAATTCATGAGTCGATTCAAGAATCGCGTGAGTTTGAGACGATTATAGATCTAGCTTAATAAGCAATTCATTACTATTATGCACTTATAGATGGATCAAGAAGCGGCCGCACTTCGAAACGCCGTTCCCGGACGAAATCTCTTATTGGAGTCAGTTCAATCACTCCTCGTCCCACTTCCACAACCAATTTCTTCACAAGGAGGAGCTTGCATTGGAGATGGTAAAAAAAAAGAAAATTTGTCTTTACCGAGAAATTCCAAAAACGTTTCTAGCTCTTCATCGAGTCGATGGCCCATTGGAGAACAGTCGTTGTCTATTCACGAGTCTTTCTCGAAGCAATCCAATGGCGAGCAGTTTAAGCAATAGCTTGAGACAAAGTGGTGGGTTAAAAAAGGGAAATTAAATGAAAAATAATTTCAAAAGTATTTGAAATGCTCAATGTATAGGAATCGAAATGGAAACAGCATCATCGGATATGAGAGTGCAAGCTTTATTCATCAGAGAGCTTCACTCGGAAAGCATTCGTCACAGCACTCACAGACAGTCGGTTTTTAAACTTTAAACAAATTTAAAGATATTAAGTTGGCAAGAAAGTTTTTTTTTTGTTTCGTTTTTGACATCACTAAAAGAATTTAGCCATTAAACTAAAAAGTATTTATTAATGCCTATGATTCTCCTCAACTTTTGGCTATAAGTCAAATCTCATGTTTGTAGAAATCGGGAGCTAGAGCTAGAGGCAACTCAAATTCAAAGTCGCTGACTTCGGAGAATCTTTGCATGAAGATTGCATTGTAAATTGTGCATTATTGGCTTGGCGCCTATGAAATGTCGGATTTTTTGTTCCACCATAAATCACTCTGATTTTTTAGAATTAAATCAATCTATTTTTTAGTGGAGAATGAAAAAATCTATAGTGAAACAATGAAAAGGGAGTGCAAGAAAATTGGTGCAACTTTAAAGTCCATTCAAATACGTTAACCACCATGAAATCCCTTCAGATTTCATAGTTGAATAGAGATTATTTCCTATATTCTAGAGTTTAATTTTTAGGCAAATCTATGGTAAAAGCTTCGAGAAACAGCTTTTTTTTGTTATAACCTCAAAATTGGGTAATTGAAAATTGAAATTTTTACAGGGTGTCCCAAAGAAAAAAATGCACTTCGGGTCAAATTTTAAAAATATTTTTGGTGGCTCAAATCTTATACATTACAGATTCATATAATGTAGATGGATGAAGTGTTTGGCTAAAAAGCTTAGTTTATATATTAACTCTAGTATAACACTACGATGCCAGGGCAAAGTTTCAAGTTTATGGCAAAAATCTGATGGTGGTGGTGGCTCAGAAAAATCATTTTCACACCATACTTACTACCTTGAGCCACCAAAAATATTTTTTAAATTTGACCCGAAGTGGTTTTTTTCTTTGGAACACCCTGTAGTGTCGTTTCATGAGTTTTTGCTGCCCCTGCGGACCGAAATCCTTGGGATGAATCCAAAAATTCACAGCGGCCCCCTTCAGCACCCTTTTACAGGCACTTGGGATCCCATTTCGACCGGCGGAGAACCCACCATTGTGGCCAAAATGAGCCGGAACTGGGTTTGCCAATTCTACAGCCGAAGGTTAGTTTTGGGAAGCGGTGACCACATGGGGCAGACAACGGATTGGTTACCGGATGACCCAAAATGGACGCTTCCGATTGGCCCAGTGAAAAAAGAACGGTATCTGCTAACACAATATGCCAGATCGAGTGCGATTGTACTCGCGCACAGGGAACACACAGTACACAAAAAGTGGATCGTATGCCAGATCGAGTGCGATTGTGCTCGCGAACAGGGAACACACAGTACACAACAAGAGGATAGCTGTGTGTTCCCTGTTCGCGAGTACAATCGCACTCGATCTGGCATATTGTGTTAGCAGATACCGTTCTTTTTTCACTGGGCCAATCGGAAGCGTCCATTTTGGGTCATCCGGTAACCAATCCGTTGTCTGCCCCATGTGGTCACCGCTTCCCAAAACTAACCTCGGCTGTAGAATTGGCAAACCCAGTTCCGGCTCATTTTGGCCACAATGGTGGGTTCTCCGCCGGTCGAAATGGGATCCCAAGTGCCTGTAAAAGGGTGCTGAAGGGGGCCGCTGTGAATTTTTGGATTCATCCCAAGGATTTCGGTCCGCAGGGGCAGCAAAACATGAGGTTCAAAAAACTTTAACATTTTTGAAAAATCCGACGTTTCATAGGCGTTAAGCCAATATAAAAAGATCTAGAAAAAGTTGTATAGATTTAAATAAGCGATAGTTAGGTAGACATCTGGTTTATACGGCAGATGTAAAAGGGTTTCCCACCGAAGCCTCCCCACGTTCTCGCCAAGCTTTTCTTTATACAATGCCAGGACGAACATCCCATTATAAGTAATTGATTGTAAGTAGTTTTACTCCTTGATTTGATGCTCGTTATTCATTGCCGAGGGTTTTTTTATCTCTTCGTCTTTGAGGTTTTTCATATCGTCTCTAAAACGATGAAGCCACTTATAAACCATTTGATTCATAAGAATACATTACCAATTTTGCAGCATATAAAAATTGAAGGATTAAGTCAGTAATTTATCCAACGAAAACCAGTAGACACGCAATCGATAAGTGGCCCATCTTTTGTGATGAATATTAAAAATTTAAAAAAAAGAGAAACCCAAAAAACGTGTACTGTTGCCAATTAGTGTTACAATTATAACAAAAAAAATTCAATTCTTAGCGCTTTGCTTAAAGCCGGAAGCCTGACCGAAAAAAGAGTTTAGCTGCCGAGAAAAAAAAGCTTTCTTGTCAACCTAGTATATAATAGTAAAAGATTTATTATTTATAACTTCATTTATAGTTTATTTATTTATAGATATATAGTTTGATTGGATCATTCTTTCCAGAAACTACAATTCATTTGCCGGGCCGAGTCAGAGTGTTTTCGGCGTCCCACAAATGAGCGAGTTTACCGACTCGACCGGGGAAAGATTTGGAGGTAATTTTAAGATCACCAAGCACAGCAAGTAGATTTTAAAATAAAAAAAAAAGTTATGAAACTTTTGCTCAGGACAAAGCGTTTTGGGACGATCGATGATTCGATCGGCTGCGCGACCGACACAGCAATCACAACAAGGTGGCGGTGGCTCACAACATACAAGTCCCGCGCATCAGGGTTCGTTTTTTGAGGGCAGATTTGAGAAAGCATAGTGTGATAAAGTGAAAGCTTAACCGTTCTTCAAGTCCATATTTGAAAATTTAGCTAATCTCCCGTTCCGAGGATTGACTCGTTTGGTGGAACATGATGAAACCGAAAAGGAGAATGAGGAGGTCAGCGCATTGCACTCTTTCATCTTATTCAATCAATTTAGTAATTAGAGCTTTGAAAACTTAATCCAAGGCTTGTCTTTGAATTCTCTGAAATCATTTCATTTACAGAGCCTACCTCGAGTGAGTCCAGCCAATGCGGCATATCATGATGAACGAGAATCCGATCTTGATTCGGATGACGATGATGATGGACGTCCACCTTTATCTTTTAGCGCATAGATACATCTATTGACGAGTTTTTTCTGTACTAGTTTTCTTTTCTTTCTATTACCCTCTTTCTTCTCGAAATTTGCATATTATTAGCCTATCACGTTACAAAATTATCTCTAGACTGAAATTTTCAGGTATGCAGCTAGTTCTAGTTGAGAATTCAAATCCCAATGGCCCAGGACCCAGCTTGCCAATTAATTTCTTTGTTTCTTTTTCACTAGTCACCTAAATTTTCTTGGTATCTCAAGGGTTTTTTTTTGTTTAAAAATCTTCCTTTTTTTGGGTAGCTCGAGCCTTTTCCCCACTCTACCGAAATCTTCTCACTTTGTCACTGAAAGATTGCTCATTTTTTTGTGTGTGGATTTTATTTCTTCTTCTATGAACATAATGTAAATAAATGGGTTTATTAAAAGAAAATACACTATTTATTACATGAAAAAATACAGAAATCATTTATCCATTATTGTTCTCCCAATCCAATTCGTCGTCCGGCTTACAACCGTGGTTTTTCATCGACAATTGTAACATCTAAATAGTTTTGATGCTTTACAAATCTAAGTACTTTGTGCTCACCTGAAAACGTACTCTTTCTGGCATATCTTTTTAATAGATTATGAGCTATTCACTGGCACGAATTGAGTGTGCCAGATAGGGTGCGTTTCGATTGAATGCTTAGCATACCTGTGTCAAGTAAACATAATCAGGATGTGATTGATAAGAAAGACAATCAATGTACTTCAAAAGTCTCTTGAATTCCGCCTGTAATTCCTGGAATATAAGATTTTTGAAGCGTTGGTTAGTAGTGGTAAAGCTGTGAAATAAACAAATTGTAAATGTGCTTTGAGTGATCATCAACATCAGCAGCATATGTGCAACAAATAACGGCAGTGAAAAGCTTGTTTAGAAATAAATGTCACTGATAAATCCACGCACTTTCGGTGTGTATTTCAAAGAGATCACTCGTGCCATCACCGATCCTCGACTCTTCTTTCATCACTCTCGCCTCATCGCGTTGTTTTCGATGTAAATGGGACCACGGTAGAAAACCTGAAGTCACATTGCATACAAAAGGCTTTTTCATTTCGCTCACCTGTAATAAATTCGATTGTCATATAAAACCAGCTCTCAATGTCATCTTTCAATGATTGCTCCTTCTCGTTGTGAGCCGCCAGAGAGGCGTATCGTGTTGTGCCTCTGAAAGTTGTGAAAGAATTGATGAATGTTGAATATGAGACTCTTACGATTAGCTTTACTTGTTGGTCAACTCTAGAACACTTAAAATTGTACATTTTCCCTCAATAGGGAAGAGTAGTAGGTGGCTTAAAATTGGAAAATTGTAAATTTCCCCTCACTAGGAATTTCGAAACGAGACCTAGTCCATCCGAAAGAAAATCGAACGGGGAATCCGAATCTTTAATCAAAATCTGCAGCATAGCTCACAAACACTAGATTTCTTGCATCAAAGTTTTTGCGATACATTCTTTAGCTGAGTTTACGTGGTGACGGTGAAATCAGCTGCTTTCGACCGTCGTGGTGTAGAGGATAATGTGCTTGTCGGAGAAGTGGCTCGATTTCGAGTAAGATTTTCGAGTAAGTAAGTTCAGTAGTAAGTTCAGTAGTAAGTTCAGTAGTAAGTTCGAATCCCTCACTTGTAAACCTTTTGCAAGCATAAAGATAGAATGCCTGCTCGCTGTTTTTAAAGAAACTTTTCTAAGTCTGCGAGCTATTGAGCAGATTTTGATTATGGATTCGGATTCCCCGTTCGATTTTCTATCTCGGATGCGTTAGATCTCGTTTCAAAGTCCCTTGACCTTGTACTCTTCCCTAGTGAGAACTCACTTAAACGAAACTTTCGTTCTTGGTGTTTTGAATTGTCCTTTTTCATCACGATACGATCGACACAAACCAAAATCGACCAAATAAACGCGCAAATCTTTAGATGAACATCCGGGTGCGAGACAGAAATTTGAGGCCTAGATTTGAAATCGATTTGAAATCGCTTTTAAACGGGCAATCTTTCTTCACACCTTGATATCTCGATGGATGAATCCCAATTGATGCAATTGTTGAATGGCTTCCAGACATTTCAGAGATAATCTCAAAGCGGTTGAAAGGGAGAAGCGATCACCGACAAATAAATATCTCAAATGGCAAAGATTTTGGCCCATCTGTAAATGAATTCCGATAAATTGATGAATTTTTAGAATCATTTTACAAAATTCCGACCTCGGCCTATGATTTGAAGGAATGGGAAGGCATATTTGATTGTATTTGATTGTATTTGATTGTATTTGATTGTATTTGATTGTATTTGATTGTATTTGATTGTATTTGATTGTATTTGATTGTATTTGATTGTATTAACTCTCACCAGATGCATGACGATAAACTTGAAGTGATTCTCGATTTTCCCTCGATCGATCATATGCGCAAAATTGGGCAAATCGGCCTATGATTTGAAGGAATGAGAAGGCATATTTGATTGTATTAAAATAGAAATAGAATTGAAATTGATTGTAGAGCTTGTTTACCTTAGCCGCTTTCGATAAAACAACACAATCCATATCCAAACCGTGTGAATGACTATCGCAAACCTCCAATTTCACCGCAAACCCTTTCCCGTCACAATGCCGTAAAACCTGAAAGAAAGAGGCCGTGATTTCATAAGGAAATCTCGAAATCTACATTTAAATCGTTAACTTAGACTTTTATCGTACAGCTTTTATGGTACTTTTATCTTTTATCGTACAGCCTACCTCGTAAACAGCCCCAAATCGCCCCTGCGCGATCTTCTTTCCCACCGCGTACTTGTCGCATCTACCTGAAAAGATTCCCTTTCTTTCCCTTTACAAAAGAAATTTCCAAAGTTTGATCCACTCAAGTTCCCCACCAACAATCAAATGGTTTGTGTCGGGTAATCGATCCAGAAACACAGGCTCCATCTCATCCTCTCCACCGTTCTCCTTATCACTCCGGCGTATCTGAAAACCTTTTCATATTCGATTAATCGTAAAAATTTTCTCAATTTCTCAAAATTGATTCAAATCAAATGTTTAATGTGTGTTTTGAAAACAAATACAAAACACCAACACATAAACAATCGGGCGGTAAACGGGAGCGAGAGCCCGAGGCTCCGACTGAAGTGGTCACCATTTAGTGAAAGGATTACTATAGCCAGTGAATGTAAATCTCGTTTCGAATTTATTCAGTCGATCAGCTGTTGCCGTAAGCAAAGTTCCGAAGCATTTCAATTCCCGCAAAAGAAAAAAAGCGGAACACAAGGCAAACGAAATAAAAGAAAAGCAAAGAAATTTTCTCTTTTCTCTCTCTTTTTCGTTTCGAAGAGCGACTTCCGATGTTTTGTTTGGATTTCTGAGGGTTTTTCCGTAGATTTTCTGCTTTTCTTTCTAATTCTCCGGAATTTCTTCCAAATCTCCGTCTTTCTTTGAGTAGGAAAGCCGAGTAAATGCTGACCAGAAGGTCGCGCACAAAACTCTCAAAAATATACTCGCATCACTGGGAAATGATAGGAAAAGTTTTGACTGATGGTGATGTTGAAAAGGAGGATTTTGATTGAAAGGAGTACATTGAGATTCGAGGCGGATTTGTTGAAATAGTGCCAAGGCATAAAAATTGAGTAGCTTACAAGCTTAAAAGAGAGTTGCATTTTAGAGAATTTGCAAATGCATGCAAATTTAAGAAAACCATTGAAATTTGAATTATCCACCCCAGATAGGTCAGTCATTTCATTGCAAAAATCATTAGTTTTCATGTTCCTTTTTTGCAGGATTTTCAAAGATTTCTCGTATCCATGAAAAGCATGAGAATATCTCATATGAAAGATCAGCTGTTGCACGTGTTTTCAACCCGACAATCTCACATTCCTCAGTTTTTATTCAAGAAAAACAATGAGTGCATTTTGAGAGTTCAAAGTAGCAATTTAAGCAAAAGTGAGTGATCAGCAATAGCTTTGGACAGCAAGGAAAACAAAAATTTGATGAAAAAATCTGTATAGAGATCTTGGCTACAATAAAGTTCTTGTGTGATTGACCTGAACAGCTTGCCTAGCCTGTCCTAGTCATAGGGCCCAATTCGCACATCCTTGAAGGTCAAATACCGGAATTACAAGGCGATCAAAAAGTTCCCGCACACTTTACAAAAGAAACTCAATTTTTCAGCTAAAATCCGAATCGAAATTTGATTTACTATATCGTATTTTGAAGCTGAAATTCTGGGAAGCATTTCTACACTTAAACCATCCCGATCAGAGGCACTAAGCTCTCCAAAGAAGCATTTTAACCCGACAATCTCACATTCCTCAGTTTTTATTCAAGAAAAACAATGAGTGCATTTTGAGAGTTCAAAAGTAGCAATTTAAGCAAAAGTGAGTGATCAGCAATAGCTTTGGACAACAAGGAAAACAAATTGGACTTTGGACAGAAAGGAAAACAAAAATTTGGTGAAAAAATCTGTATAGAGATCTTGGCTACAATAAAGCTTATAGAAGGACTGAGCAAAATAGAAAACGAGAATGAGAATGAGTAGAAAAGTGATTTGGAGAGACTGAATTATGGCCTTGATTTCCTATATTCTAAAAATCCATAAAAGTGGTTGATAAAGGGGAAAAAATTGATTCATAAAAGTCTCAGACTGTGGCTCAAGCCAGAAATCTCTTTCTCCTCCCTTTAGAAAGTGCTAAACAAGTAAAAAAAGAGGCAAAAATGAGAATGAATCCCTTCTTTTTTTCCCCTAACACATCTGGTTGAAACACATTTGGTTTCGAGACTTTTCTTATGGTTTTCTCGCTTTCTTTTGTTTAAGAAAAAGTGGAAACCCTCATAAATTAAGGAAGAACCCCATAAAATGGCACTAAAGGAGAAATTCGAAGAGATTTCCTAATGGGATAAGCGTCCCTAAGCTCATAAAGTTTGCATAAAACTTAATTTGATTGGAAGGAAATCTTTGGGCGTCTAAAAGTATGGATGAGATTCTCCATCATTTGAATTAAACCAGGAATCGGCAAGCCTACTGAAGCTCAGCTCCAATGTCTATGTGATGCCTCCCCATATGGGCTCACACTTTCAGAGTTTCATTGTTTAAGTTCTGCTGTTTGAGGCTATGCTATCCCTATGGGGCTTATAACAGGAATGGTTACCTGACTCATAGGGACACAATCCAAACTGAACCGACACACAAAGAACACCTCGATGGACATTTTAGACAGGGACTTTCTTTACATTTTACACTTTACACAGAGGACGGAAGCCAAAAGTTTGCTTCCGTGGGTTTTCGGATACGGAGAATCGAATGGCGGTGTTTATATAAATCCTTAATTTGTCGTCACAGTTAGCCAGCAATATTTGAATATTTGTAAGTAAATTTCAATTTTGTAAACCCCCACCTCTCCATGCTCATCATTCGTCTCCCAATGCTTCATGATCGTCGATTCGACCGGCGAAAGTGGAGACATTGGCGGCGTCTCGAAGAAAGCCATTTTTTCTCAAACTAAAGCAATCAATTGGTGCACAGAAAATTGGTCGATAAGCTAATTTTGTAAGTGTAGAAATTAAGTGAAAAAATACTGAAAAATCGAAGTCTGAAAGCTAAAGTACACCAATCGAGGGCTAAAATCAGTGGAAATGCCACGAAAACAAAGCCCCTAACACCTAGGCAATGTAATCTGTTGAGTTGTCCATGAAAACAATGCCGCGTTGTTGAAGGATCTCTATGAGAAAGGGGAATCACGAGGTGAATGTTTTGTCGATTAGAGAATCATCCCTATCACCCCTTTTCTTCAGACTATACGGAACAACTGACCCGAGGCTTTTCCTTCCATTCTCTCGATCATCTCCAATCCCTTTCCGTTTCACATTTTTTCATGTTCTTCCTCATTGCTGACCCCGCAACGAATAGGAAATGATTGCATTCAGCTGTTTGTTGGGGGAAATCTTTTGGCTCTTAGAAATAAATTGCCTATTTACTTGAATAGGCTGATAGTAGGCGAAAAATATTGTGAAAACACTCTAATCAAAAGTTTTAATCAAACTTTATGGAAATAAACCAGTAAGAACACACTCTAGACAAGATATTCAGTGTTACAATGACTAGTTGGACACGCCGGTCCTTTTATGGGTTGGGGCTGGGAATACAAAAGGTGGCCGGCGCCGGGATTTGAATCCGAATCCCGGCGAACGATCTACCAATGAGCTACACCGACACGTATTCCATTGCCGCCAGAGTAGGGCCATATACCTTACTCAATGTCAGGCAACTCCTATCTCCTGTAATATTGTAATCTGGAAAGCTTCATTCTCAAGCCATCCTATTATAAACGATTACTCGTATACATTCATTGATTTGAGGCACAATTTATTGATCAATATTTACAAGCAGTTTATTGTGAAGAGGACAAAATGTGTACAACAAAAACCCGGTAAAAATAGGCATTGTTAGGATTAAAAAAAACAAAAGGAAGTAATGAAATAGTAATGAAATAGTGCTGGCACGATTACCCAAATTAAATAAGGAGAAATTGCTAATAATGAATGCTTGAAGCTATGCTTTTCCTTTATGATTTTTGTAAAGTAATTTCAAATAATCGTGCAGCACTTTCTCAGTCACGATCCACCAATTTGATGGCTTTTACTTGTGAGTGGCACATAAATGACATGTTCAATCACTTTTTTCGTGATTTCTTGCCCATTGGAGGATTTATCGATTTGGAGGAAAACCTGAAAGTGTTCGGCTTTATTGATTTCAAAAATTACAATCTTATGGCACAGATGTGATAACCGGATAGCTGTTGTACTACCTGATTCCCGTGTTGAGGCCCAACCGGGATCAACATCCGACCACCGGGAGCCATTTGGTCGATTAACTGAATAGCTTGATGACGTTAAAGTTTTTATTCTCTTTCTACCGGTTGTGGAACAGTCTCAGCAGCAGCTCCCACATGAATTGCCGTGTATCCCCCAGGAATCGCATGTCCCAATCGGCCATCACCGACAATGATCTCGAGTAAACCCGATGTGAACATATCACTAAATGGTTACAACTAGAGTTACAACTAGAGTTACAACTAGAGTTTTATCCCAATCTTATCTTTTATCTTTGAATGGTTACAACAAAGATGTCTTCATCATTTTATTGAATCAAGTGATCAAACCTGTGATGCTTTTGAATGTTCACTTTGCTCACATCAGCCAATTGATCAATGTGCTCAATACCAATCACTTTACCATTTGGAGCAACCTGGAAATGAATGGATACGGTAGATTTGCTATTATATTATTCCTCTTTCACAAACCATTCTCGCAAAACAAGCAGTCAGATATCCACTCCCCGATCCGACATCCAACACACGGGCTCCCGGTTTGAGGTGATCTTTTAGGCCCTCCAAGGCGGCTGCATGCTGCATTAGAAAAGTTATAGATGAATCGAGGATTCTTTACCATATGTGGTGCCGATATTGTGGCATTCCATCCAATCCCCTGTGGACTGTCTTGATATGGGAGATGTCCTGTGAAATCTCCTCTATCCACCGCCAACATCGCCTTCTCAATTCGATCGTCCGTGAAAATACGGCTCTCTGGAATTGGATTTTCGAATGAGCTACTCATCTTGGAAATTCATTTTCACCCTTTTTCCCAAAAAGTTTATTAAATGTGTCGAAATGTTTGGATAAGTCGGGGAAGAAGGAGCTGTATCGCCGTGTTGTTTATGTTACTCTCTCCTCTTCTCTCCTCTTCTGCTTCTCCTCTTCTGCTTCTCTTCTTCTCTTTCTCCTCTTCTCTTTCTCTTCTTCTCTTTCTCTTCTTCTCTTTCTCCTCTTCTGCTTCTCTCGCAATCCCCCTCTTTTTCTCTCAAAACTCCAAATTTGGCCAATTTCTCACGTTTTCTAGGAAAAAAAACTGAATTTAGTTCTCACAAACTTTTCGAACACTTTTTTGTTTGTGGGTTTAGATCTAATAGATTCAAATCAGCTTTACAGACTCATTTGTCCGAATCTCCTTATCTGTGCTAAACTCCTATCATTTTTACTAGTCTAGCAAAAGCTTTTTCTTTCCCTACCTTTCCTCTAAAAACCCAAAATTTTGCCCAAAACCTTTCCCTTAACTCACTTCGCAAATTGGCCACCAATTCGGCGTTCGTATTCCCGCTACTTCTCCACGCCATCGCGAAATGAAATGATCGCTAAAATAATACAAATAAATAAGTCTAAGTAAATCATTACAATTCTTAAGCTAAAGAATATTTTGCTTTACAATTTGATAGAAACAAAAAAACTTACAAATTTTCTATCAACTCTTTACTAAACAATGTTGGAGTGAATTTTCAGCTTAAATCAACTATAATAATTTTCAACTTAAACCAACCAATGACTTATAATCAAAAGAAACCCTTAAAAGTACCCCAAATCTCTATTTTACTCCAATTTTACTCCCACCTTTGTCGGAAGAGTGAAAAATCCGAGTGCGAAAAGAAATTGAGTGATTTTCAATGGCATTCAGTGATCACATTTGATAGCTAAAATGAATAAAAATGAAATAGATATAAATTCAGATAAAATCAATAAGCAAAAGCAATAAACAATAGCATCGATTTACTGGAAAAGCATTTCGAAGTTGAGAGTTTTGAGAGTACCCCAAGCTCGCTTCCCTTGTAAACATCAAAACATCCATCCCTTTTCTCCTTTTCCTTTTCTTTCAAAAGCGCTCACATCAAAATAGAGACTACAAAAAGATCCAAGAAATAGAGAACAATAAAGTTTGAAAATTTTTTGCAAAGAGAGAGCTATCGAATGAAATTGAAGCTTTAAAGAATTAAGGGCTCTTGTTCGTTCGAGATTTTTGAAAGGTAGAAAATGTTTAAAGTTATTTTGAGTTTCTAAAAGATTCCACAACCCAATTTCTCACTCAAAAGAATCAAAAGAGTGACTAAAAATCAATAAGAAAAGCAGAATTTTCAGGATTTTCCCAGAAAAAGAAAGATTTTTTGAGAGGTAATAGCAATGTGCTCTTATTTTTTTATGTATAACGCAGATGTTTTCATTCTCATTTTAAGGCCTATCAAAGTTGTTTAAATCTCAAAAGTTTTCTCTGCATATCTAGATCTCTTTATTCATATGTTGGACATTATTCCTTTGGACTTTGGACATTATTTTTTAAAAAAAACATCTGAGAAACTAAGAGGCAAAACAATGCAACAATCTACAGGGTTTGTAAAAACAACCTTCAAACCCACAGGGTTTGAAGGTTGGTTTTCGCTTTCAAAATCAAAAATCGGTTTATGAAAAATCATTAAGGAAGCACTGAATTACAGAGTTGAAACAATGCTTACTTTTACTGTTTACTCAATTGATTACTTTGATGCGAAAAACCGATTCATTGGAATTACAACTGAAGCGGTCAGACTTAGTTATTCTTTATTTAACGATAAGAAATTCTGGCGTTGTGTAGTTTCCGGGTATTTTGAACGGGCCGTCACGCTTTGAAGCCCTATAACTTTGTCCTGAGATAATATTTTTCTTAACTTTTTATATCATTGCCCAGAGGACATTTCAGTCTTTCAAATAATACCAAATAGAGCTTGATTGGATTTTTTTATTCCCATGCAAACAAGGCGACACGAGACCCGAGTTGGATAGGCCTCATTTGCTCAGAGTTGGCTCTAATTTTCTTGGACTGGATTATCCAATCAAGTTCTATTTGGTATCATTTGGAAGCCTAAAATGTTGTCTGTACGATGATCTAAAAAGTTAAGAAAAATATTATCTCAATACAAAGTTATAGGCCTTCAAAGGGTGATTCCCGTTCAAAATACCCGGAAACTATTCTAGAGCCGAAATTCTTCACTATTTACCAGTTTTCAAATTTACATATGAAAACTGGCTTGCCGGTTAATTTAAGGCAATAAATGCAAATTCGATTACAATAGGGAACCCAGCAGTGTTTGTTTTCTATTTGGCGCCAACTTTGCCAAACTTAGGCAAAGCTCAACTTAAACAACTTAACCCTCAAAAATTGCTATTGTACACATGTGAAACTCCTCTTTTCCCTATCACCAAAACAGTCACATGGCAGCAAATTCTTGTATTTGCACCAATGATTTGAACAAGGAGAAACACAAGAGATTCCCAATGTTTTCTGTTTTTTTTTCTCAAACCCCACCATGACTCTCTATCTTCTAATCCAAAAAGCTAAAAGCGAAAAAAAAAGCGAAGCTTCGGTTGAATTTGAAAAGAGTTCTGTTGACCGATTTTCAACTCTCCACCGAATTGTCCATTCTCGTATTTGCCCTCTTCCCTCTTCTTCCATTTTTCCCGAAAATTGACTCCTCCTTCACTTCTCTTTTTCACAAAACACAAAAATATCTCTTTGACTTAAGAAATTCTACGCTTATTTGATCACTTGACTTTTTTCTAAACTGCAACTGCTATTTTTGGCATTTGCTCAAGTCAGATTTCTTGATTCTGATTCATCGTAGCTAGCTTCAGTTCATCGTAACTAGTTCAGACTTGGCATTTGCACAAGTCCAATTCCAAGATAAACTCACCAATCTTTCCTACGGGGCTTGTTTAACAAATCCTTTAACAAATCTTTTACTCCACTCTTTTGTCTGTTCTTGATGCAAATATGGATTAAAGATTAACCATGAGAGCTTTCGATCGGAAATTTTCTTTAGTCTTCAGAGTTATACTCAAAAGTTATACTTTTCTAAACTACAACTGCTCTTTTTGGCATTTGCTCAAATCAGATTTCTTGATTCAGATTCATCGTAGCTAGCTTCAGTTCATCTTAACTAGTTCAGACTTGGCATTTGCACAAGTCCAATCCCAAGATAAACTCACCGAACATTCCCACGGGGCTTGTATAACAACTCCCCGCAAATCCTACTCTTTTACTCTGTTCTTGATGCTTTTACTCGTCTGTTCTTGATGCAACAATGGATTCAAGATTAACCATGAGCGCTTTTGGTGGGAAATTTTCTTGATCCTTCAGAGTTCAAACTCAAAAGTCATACAGAGTACAAGATCTAAAAAAATGTTTACATTTATATGGATGCTTTTGATTTCTCCTTTGAGCCCAAAATTTTGCCTCTTTTTGCAGCGAGGGTGGATGGAAAGAAGACGAATGAAAAGGAAAAAGGCGTAGATAATCGAATCGCTGTTTTCTTTTCTTCCCATCTCTTTTATCTCTACTTTCATCTACTTTCCAAATCTTTTGAAGAGCATTTTGCTACTCAAAGCTTTATATTTTTTTTTGCACTGACAAAAGTTTTATTAGACTTGGAAAAGATCGAAATTTTTATATCCCATTTCTCATATGATCGACTTGTCAAAAAAACTTTTAATCTTTTGAACTCTTTTCGAGGGCTTTTCATTTGGGATGCCTTTTTGAAGATTAAGACACATGAGGGAAATGAGGGGAATCTGCGACATGAGGGGAATCAGGGACACGAGGGGAATCAGGGACACGAGAGGTCAGTTGCTGTAATTCTCTCCCTTTCTCCTTTCTCCCTTCAAACTCGATCACTCGATCATCCATTCGAAACTGGCTTCTGGTCAATTTCAATACAAAAACAAGATTTTTTGAATTTGTTGCTTTTCATGCCGGGCTTACTCACAAGCCGGGCTATTCGATGATCAGATCAACCAAATCTGACCAAGTAACGATGAGACTAAAAGCTGGGCCTTATCTAGTAGTAAACTGGTCTAGTAAACTCCCTCGATCAGTCAAAACCCGTCATGGACTTTCCTTTTGTACTGTCCTTTTGTACTGTCTATCTAAAGATGATCAAAGAACTTCAAAGAATTTTTGCTGACCTTCTGTTTCTTTTTCGATATCTCATTTCGAAAGCTTCAAAATCTTTCACACAAAAAGTCATTTTTCCAAGAATTCAAACAGCGTGATGTTAATCTAAATGTTAATCTAAATTTTCAACTAAACTTCACCATTTTCCCTTTTCCGATCAATTCAATTTCATCTTCTGTTTTTTGTTTATTTCCAATGTTTTCTCGTGTCCCCAAAAAGGCGTTTCCCCATTTGCCCCAGTGAAGTAACTCATTTTCGTTTTCTTTCCCATCTTTCCAAAAATGTTTCTTTTTCTTTACTTGTGCTCACTCATCTATACTCATTGGGATTCCAGGCGGTGACTGAATGAGGGAATAAATGGACACACTTTTGCCTACCAAAGACAATTATTCGTTTACTATGTTGCCTTTTAATGGTAATTGGTCAAAAAGTTCTAGAACTTCTAGAACAACTCTTTTCCAGTCTGCAAAAGTATTGGGTTGGTGAATTGAAAACTGCCGGCTATTGTCATATGTGACAGTTTGAGCCCTTTCTTCAAAAGAAACCCATTTTGGTGTCAATGGAAAAGTTGTAGAGAATCAAAAATCAAGCTTATATCTTTGTGCGACCGCGTAATCGCTCGTCGTCTGGCGCAGGGCTTTTACATAACCCCTTCCCTTCCCTTTGCCGAACTAATCTGGCCGGCTCCGAATCCTCAAATTGGACATTGACTTCTCCTCAAGTCAAGGCTAAAATATTTTGGTTTTTTATTAAAAAAATGTTGGATATTTTATATATTTTTAAATTTATAAAAAAAAAAAAAAAAAAAAAAAAAAAAAAAAAATGAGAAAAAAAAAAAAAAAAAAAAAAAAAAAAAAAAAAATTTTCAGAACGATTCAAAAACTGGTTTTCAAGAAATGCGAAATTTACGAATGTTTCAGAAAACTTGCATTTTAAGCGAAACTACTAAGTGTATCCTTTTGGAAATTTGGCTATAAGCTTCATTTTTGATTCTCTACAACTTTTCTATTGACACCAAAATGGGTTTCTTTTGAAGAAAGTGCTCAAACTGGGACATCTCCAGTCCTCGATTTTTGAGTCTCACACTTGTCTCACACACAAACCAAAATCTTACTACGAAAGAGGAATCCGGAAATTGCCTGTAATTGCCGCAAATTGCCAGAAGTCGCCAATAATAATGGAAATTATTTAAAATGAATTGATGGTTTTATGTTCAATAAATTTTAGTTCAAAGTCCAGCAGTTTTCAATCCACTAACCCAATATTTTGAATTGCCCTCGATTCCATTTTCAAAGCCTTACACAAAAATTTTGATTTCAAAAATGATGAACAGATCTCGTTTTTCCTTTTTGACATCTAGCCGTCCCGTCCCATCTCATCTCCATTACAGCATTCTTCACATCAATTATTCTGCAATGTTCTTTTGTTTTTTTCAGTGTTATTTCGTATTTTATCTCCTTTCCGCCGAAATTGCCCCCCGTTATCGCCGATTTTTCTTTTTCTTTCCGCCAAAAGCACAATCGGGCCAGAATTTATTGAGCCATTGCTGAATTTTTTCCACGATTTTGCTAGTATTCAATCTTATTTTTACACAAACATCTCATTGATCCCATTTACCTTTCGAGGAACAAATACAAGTGTCAACTTTAATTCTTGAACTTTGAAGAACTAGATTCTCTTTCATTTGTCACCCATTTCAATAAGAATCCGTTATTGACTTGAATTCGTTATTGACTTTCTTTTTTCACTGAAAAATAAGGCTTTCCTTTGTGAAATTTCCGATACTCATCCACCAAAATGAGCTTTTCCCTCCCGCCAAAAGAAGTTTTACATCAAAAATTCATGAGTGCTTTGAGAGGGAATCTTTCGAAAGAAAACCAAGCGTTTAGCTCTAATTCTTTGGTTTTTTAAGCTAAATCTTTGAAATTAAAAAACAACTAGACTTGTTGCTTTCAGGAAAGTTTGACGATTTTTCTTTTTCTGTTTTCTGTTTTCTGTTTTCTTCTCGCCTCCTTGTCTCCTTAGAGATCTAACTCTTGCCCGCACAATAAAATGCCCAAATTGCGTGACTGAAAGAATTCCATTCTTGAGAAGACAAAAGATATCATTAAGAATGAATTTTCTTTCAATGCAGTTTTTTCATTAGAAATTCTAATGTAATTTTCTCTTTTTTTGGTCTTTTCTTCTATATTTTCTCATAGATCTTCTTATCTTATTAAAAAGTTTTAGAAGAATATCCGATTCTAGAACATAGGATTCTAGTTTTAGTGAAATTCTAAAAGTTTTAGAACAGCAACAATTCGATCGACAGATTTCAAAACGAATTCCTTCAAAACGGAACAACACGCTGAACTTATAAAGTGAGTTTTTTCTTGAAAAGCAAATGGGAAATGAGTAGCAATTGGTTTTAATTCTTGAACTTTTGAAGAACTTTAAGTACAAGCAGTATACTTCTTGTGCAAAGACTTCAAAGGTGCAAAGACTGCATCTTTGAATAAAAGGGCAAGAGTTTCAACACCTAGTTTCTGTCAGAAGAGTTCTTCCAATAGCTTCTTTACACCAAAACTTTTTAAAGATCAAAACCCATTACCCAGTCAACTCTTCATGATATTCTAAAAAAGAGAAACAAATGCCCAAATCAAATACACCCTTGGGGTTTGTCTAGGCGAAAAAAAAAGAGAAGCCTATCCAAGTCGCATCTAAAAAGAGAGTTCTGGAGTTGGCAACTCGAGAAATGAAACCAGAGATAATATACGAGAAATACAACGAAATCAAAAGAGACTTTGACTAGAAAAGTGATCGAGAGTGCATTTAGAAGACGAAAATTGTGCCGTGGTGAGGGTGTCGATTGGATTGGAGTGTAGTTGAAAGAAGAAAAGGAAAAGAGGAAAAGAATGGCCCTTCCACCCGCATCCATCCCGTCTATTCACCCGTCCGCCCCATCCATCCCATCCACTCCTTCTTTCCATCCACCACCCACCTCTGCTAGACGTATTCCCATGCTTGGTGCCTCGCCACGCACCCAGAGATCACATTCTTCGATACAGGTGAGATTTACAATGTTTACTTTGTTTTAAAATCTCTTTTGATTGCTTGACTAGCTCAAATTCTCCTAGTGAATCCAAGCCAGACATTCTAGTAGAGACAAGGCACGGCAGACATTCTAGCAGACATTCTTGGACTTTGAGCAAACGGAAAAACTTATTGTTTAATAAAATCGACTAATGCAAGTCTTTATGTAAAAATTTTTCATAAATATTACGAAAAAATTTGATTTTGTGTATAGAAAACTAATATAAGGTGGGCAAAGAGCCAAAAAAAAGCTTAAAGAACTTTACTATGTCCACTTCTTAACCAAAAAAACAAGTCCTTTCCCCTCTTGAAAGTCCTCAAATTTTTCCATTATTTCCCCGTCAAGCAATCAATCTTTTTCCATTTTTCCCCACAAAAAGAGAGGGTGGAGGGGCTCATTTTTAGGCAAAAGACCAAGGGGAGTCCTCAAAAAAGGAAAAAAACACCGCTCCAACTCCATCGAAAAAAAGGGGAAAATCGAAATCGAGGCCCTATTTGCTTAAAATTGTCGAAAAGAGAAAAACTACGAGAGAAAAACTCCCAAGCTTAATGTCCCGTTTGGCGCTCGTTTTCTCAACCCCCTTTGGGGTTTTTTTTGCACTGATTGCCCTCTGAAAAAACTTTCAATTTTGCAAACAGCAAACAAACTTTTCTCTTTTTCTTGAACTTTTCAATTCAACTTTAAATCTAATTCGTTTTTTTATTTGTTTTTCGAATTCGAAACCTGTAAATTTAGCTCTTTTTTCTGTAAGGAAATAGGAAATGGACGATGACGCAAATCTCTTAGTTCTTTTTGTGACGTGGGAATTTCGGAACGAGAAATCGAAAATCCAAAGTTTTCAGAACGATTCAAAAATTGGTTTTCAAGAAATGCCAAATTTACGAATTTTCACAAAACTTGCATTTTAAGCGAAACTACTAAGTGTTTCTTTTTGGAAATTTGGCTATAAGCTTCATTTTTGATTCTCTACAACTTTTCTATTGACACCCAAATGGGTTTTCTTGTGACGTGGGAATTTCGGAATGAGAAATCGAAAATCCAAAGTTTTTTTTTTGAAATCTCCATTTCATCATTTCGAAATTGGGAAAATTCATGAATTTCTCTGTAAAGAAATGTGGAAAACGGCAAATTTCTGGCGCCACTTCATCTTTTTTTAAGAGAATTTCATGATGAAATCCTTTATTTTTAGCTAGGCAAAAAAATATTAAACAAATCAATTGCAAATCAACAAATCAATCAAATATTAACATCTAAAGCTTTACAAGACAAAAATTAGAATATTTCTAAAGTTTCCGCTCAAAATCCTCAATAATCCCTTCAAATTTCTTCAGAGTTAATGCTTTTCCTCAGCACCGTAGCCAGAGAATGGGTTGGTTGATTGGAAAGGCTTGAAAGGAAAAAGAATGTAATGTAATGCAAAAAGATTATCAAACAAATATTGTCGCTAAAAAGAATGGCAATTTGTGTCAAGTGGTGTGAATGATTCAAAAAAAATAATTCTTTTTTATCCTCAAAAGGCGAATTCCAGTTGCCACCCGAGTTCTCCCAGGGAATCACTCAAGTGCCTTTGTTCGCTTATAAAACATCGGATTTTGTCTACGATTTGCGGGAAAGTACGTCAAATGATGAAAGAGAAGAAGAAGAGGAAGGAGATCAATTTTTGGAAAGGGAAAAGGAAATACCAAAGAATAAAAAGGTGGCTTCAAATCTTTCTGGCATAAAAAATTTTGATTTGAAAACTCCTCTGTTTCTGAGGGTTTCTGAAAAGAGTTTTTAGTTGAAAGATCTCATTCATCAGCGATGGGAAGCAGGAAAAGAACGAGGAGCGATCAACTATCAACTCAATTGTATGTACAAATTTCTCGATGGAAACTACGAGTTGTGTATTCAGGTGAGACTTTATAAACCAGCCGAAAAGCCTACTTAATGGTGCTTTGTCGACAGACAAGGCTTGTCGTTATGGTGCAGTCGGGAGCAGGTCTCTGATCTGATCTGATCTGATCTGAGCTGATCTCTAGCCTACGCAAATCGGGTTCGACTCCCCCAGTGCCACTCAATTTTCACTTTTTTCAGTTTTTAATTTAAATGCACAACTACAATATATTCTAAGGTTTTCTAAAGAAATTTTAGTTTTATTGGCCAAAACACGGCCGAGAAAATCGCCGTACAGACAGACAGACACTGCGTTTTTATATATAGTAGATTGCTTTAGTTATCACTTGACGACGTGAACGATTTGTGTGAAATCTACTTAAAGCTACGCGTAAAGCGGCAAACACACCAATAGATAAGCATAAGCAAAGCATTTGATACATTTGTTTTGATCTATTTCTGATCTTAAAGATGAATACCTCATACAAAGATGTAAAGGTGAGGTTGGAGGGTGGAAGAGTGTTCTCCGAATAAACTCCACACCACAAATCTCTTCTCAATTCACCAAACAGCCTATTCTCTATCTCGCCCTTGACAATCATAACAAGTTATCCAAATAAAATTTTCAAGCTTTAGTTTATTTATTCGAAAGCTTATAAAATCTTTATTTTTGTTTAGTTGAATGCGGAGCGAGGTGAGTTGAGACGGAAGCCGATGCGATTTAAATCGATTCGAGAACCCTTTTCTCCACTCCGTTTCAACTTCACCAAGTTGAACGAGGCTGAGGTTTGTGAAAGGATCTAGCTTCGTAGCTTCATAGCTTCATAACTTCATAGCTTCATAACTTCATAGCTTCATAGCTTCATAGCTTCATAGCTTCATAGCTTCATAGCTTCATAGCTTCATAGCTTCATAGCTTCATAGCTTCATAGCTTCATAGCTTCATAGCTTCATAGCTTCATAGCTTCATAGCTTCATAGCTTCATAGCTTCATAGCTTCATAGCTTCATAGCTTCATAACTTTCAATTTTTATCGGCAAATTGTTTACCAATCGTACAATTCTTTCAGGTGATGTTGTACCTAAAATGCGAGGATCGGCCGATCACGAATGACCCGTTAGACAGGCATCTGGTGAGTAGCAAATTAGCACTTGTATTTTGCATAATAAAACACTTAACTCCCTCTGGAGTAAGGGAGATCAAGTGCGTTGTGGTGTATTGGTTAGGGTAGTTGCCTGGTAAGCGAAAGGTCGCGGGTTCGAGTCTCGGCGACGTACCAGTTTTTTTCCTAGTTCCAACTAAACAATGCTTTCAGGTAGCTGTCAACGCATCGCCATTGACAAAATACCACTCTCTTATCATTCCCACCGTCAACAAATGTTTGCCACAAGTAAGTCAAGCTCATGCTTCAAGACTTATTCGTACAATTAAACCCTACCTTTTTATTATTGACACATCAATTTATCTAGGTTCTGACAGCAACCGGTGTCCGGGTGGCTGTTGACATGATGTTATTGGTAGTCGATGAGACATTCCATGTTCTTTTCAACAGTCTTCTCGGTCATGCCTCTGTCAATCATCTTCATCTACACACTCTCTATTGGCCCTATGATTCGGATCTCGTTAATCGAGTAAGCTTTCTGAAGAAACTTTGGATAAAGCTTTTGTTTCTTCAGCGATTCGAACCGTTGGGTGATATTAAAGACGCTTATGTGATTCGTCCGCCAGATTGGTTCTGCAGTGCCTTCGCTTTTCAATTGCTCAACAAAGATGGATACGAGAAATTTATGAGGTTTGTGAAAAAAAGCTTTTCACAGCTTTCCACTGCAGTATAACTTGGGGAAATTTCAGCAACTTGACAAAATGTGTCGAGTTTTTGACGGAACGAGATCAAGCGCATAATGTTTTCTTCACAAGAGCTCAAGCCGTTCGTTTGGATGGAGCGTTGAGGGTGGAAGATCGGAGAAATGAAAGGGGAAGATATGTGACTGCCTATGTTTTCCCGAGAAGTAATATGCATGGTAGGTCATTCATTTAGAAGTTTATTAAATAGTAATCATTCATTTTACCGCACTAATTTCAGGTGCAAAACCGCCAACGAGTTTCAGTCCAGCCGCTTGTGAATTGGCTGGCTGTTTGACAGCTTACACGTATCGGTGAGTCGAAATCTTTATTTTTTTTGAAAAAAGAAGTCTACTTGTAAGTAAATTCAAGACAACTTATGGACCTAATTATATATAAATATTCAGTTTCTTTGAATCGGTCACCGAACAAGCAGCGGTGCGTGTGATCGAAGAAGAAGCCCTTTTACCAGAAGAGCGTTTCTCGAATCTCTCCACCGATCTCGGTTGTCTTCTTGCCGGCCGTCCAGTCATCAATCGACCTGCTGCCTTTTCACAATTAGAAGGATTGACAAGTCCCGAAATCGATGAGTTACACGATTCTTTCCAAGTAAGCAAGAGAACTTCTAATCGTAAGAAATCGATTTTAAAAAGCTACTTTAGCCATAAGCCAATTTCAGGGACAGGTAACGCGTTTTCACATGCAAGAGTAGTGTTCATTTGTCTCTCTCAAATAACTGTCCTAGAAGTGTTCTGTACTTTTTGAGGCTTGCTTTCATTCTTATTCATATTAAACTATTTTCACGGATTTGTCTTTTAGTAGAAAATTTTAGACTTTCGAACCGCACTCACCAGCGAGAACGCCGCGAAACGGACGACCGAGGACAAGTTCAGCCGATGCACTTTTCATGTCAAGACTGAAAATCGATTGATTTTGTTGTAAGGGAAAAGTTTTTCCTTAGATACATTTTAAAAGATCACTTTAGGTTTGCGATATACTAATTAGTTAGTAAGAATAAATAATAACTAAACAATCTCTATAGTTTTATCATTTTCTCAATTGCAATCAGCTCTTCTCTCACCTTGTGATAAACGACATTTCCCCTCAAATTTTCGATGGCGTAGTATGAGATTACAAAACTTGTAGTCATCGTAATCATATTTATAGACTGCTTTGTGTTTTTGAAGAAATTCTCTTCACCTTGGGTATCACCATTCCCTACGGATATCCCCTTGATTTCTCTCTTCTTTCCCCCTCCTTTCATTCAGTTGGCCTCTTCATTTATCTGCTCACTCATATGTTCCCAAAGAGTTAACTTTTGTATGTATTTGATATTCAGTGAGATTAAAATAAAAGAATCACTGTTTTTATGCACTCCATTCCGAATACAAACAAACTCTTAAAAAACATGGGCATTATCTAGTAAGTGACTTCTTCAGCAGTTCATGTATTTTTTAAATGAACCAAATTTTATAACATATCGACGACAATTTAAAGGAGTGATATCACAAATCACTTAGAAACACTAGAAAATATGAAGCCCCGAATTATGCAAGAAAAAAATGTGATACAGATTGACGATATAGAAAACAAGAATTTGGATTGGAGAAAAAGACAAAGTGAAAAGGCGCGGCATGGAAATATCCAATTTGAACCTGTAAACGGAGGACAAGCAAAGCACATGCTGCCTTGAAGTATAAGAAATCTATTGTAACCAAAAATCTATGCCAACAAGTAGTAATGGAGAAAAGGAAGGTTGAATAGAAAACACACCATGATCACAGACTCGATTTGGAGGAGGGGGAGGAAAACAAAAACAAAGAAGAAAAGAGTGAGTGCTCATCGAAGAAAAGAACTAATAAATGAATCAAACCGAACAAGGGAGCAACATAAGCAACAAGAGAATAAAGTGCAAAAGGCAAATTTGAGTGCTAATGAGAAAATCTTCTACTCATCGTCTTCAAGCTTCGGATAGAATTGGTCGGCGGTTCCATTGGCAACACTTCTCTTTGATGGAGGCACCAAGTGCTTTGGCAGGTCTGACGGCAACTCGTGACCTAAATAGAGTTATACTTGTTACTGAAAATATGGATTTGCAGCTATCTACTTGCTAAATTTTCTATTGAGAGTATACTAAACGAATTTGGTACTTTTAGCGTTTAATCAAAAGCTTTACCCACCTTCCAACTTCAAATTGATCAAGTAGTTGGCAAGAGCAAACTCATCCGAGTCAAGTTGTCCATCTTTGTCCACGTCAGCCAACTTCCAGATCTTTCCGAGCACCGAGTTCGGCAGTTTCGACTTTACCATATGCTCCTTGGCAACTCTGCCTAAAATAAAATCTATAAATTAGTTTTTTAGACAAAAACCCTCACCTGACAAATATCCGCCCACTGGACCCAAATCATCGAAAGTCGAGTCGAATTGTGTGCGTTCTTTGTTGACCACCCATTCCGTTTCATCGGCACCCTTGTCGAAACCTTCACCCTAAAAAAGACTCGATTAATCAATTTTTGGAAACATTGTCAAACAAAGGTCGGCTTTCCAATTATTAACACTAGCATTCAGCACAACAAGGCATTTCAGGAAGAAAAAGTCAAGAGTTAGAAATTATACAGTTAAATATGTATTAACGAGTAACAATAGCGGCCTGCAAGGTAAGTTGAAGCTTTGTTACCCTTAAAGAAAAGAGCCTTTAAAAGAGTTTTAGACAATTTCAAGGATGTCTAGGTAAGCTAAACTTGGTCTGCAAGTTTTACTTTAGTTTAGTCTGTGTAAGTTGTGCAGTTTAAACACAAATGTTGGCATCAGATCAACTTCAAGCTTTTGGCATGATTAGATATTGACGTGGGGAAAGCAGGGGATCAAGCCGATAACAATTAGGGGATCAAGCCGATATCAGAGAAAAACGGTTACTCAACCCTTCATGAAACGTACTTGATACTTGCCGAACTAAAATATCACAAATTTTGTGTCGATACACCATGAGAGTGAAAACCCAAAAAGCTTTAACAACATTGATAAAAATTTGAGTAGGTTCAGCGGTTGTGAGCAGCCCATTAAAAAAACATTACATGTGTTTTTGTGTAATGTGTAATGTAAAGAAATCCCGTACCTTTCCGAATCCAAATGGTGTTTCTGCTTCGACGGCTTGCGAGAAAGCGCCACCTCGAACAGCTGGCTCGGTTGGGCCGGGTCCACCTAAATAATTTTTTTTTCTAATAATGAAAACTATAATACATCTTGTTAAATTGTGCAAATCCGAAAGTTTCTGAACCAAAAGGTGAGTTAAATTCCTAACCTTGATGATTTAGTTTTACTTATGATTTTGTTGAACACCAAAACGGCTGACAATTACACAGTTACCATCACCCACAACTACAGAAATAGTAAACCTACTCTTGTCGGGATTAGCTGCTAAAATTTAAACGTCATTTTTATTTAAAAATGATCGTGTTTACAAACCTGCAGTAATGGCGGCCGCTTCCTCCTTTGGAATTTGTGTCATCAAACGGGCTATAACAGGAAATAGATTAGGTTACAGAAAAACAACTAACCGATATCATGAGCCAACATTCCATCAACAACCTCGATCAACTTGGGCTTCAGTGGGTTGAACTTGCTAAAACAAAGAGGTGATAAAATTTTCTAGAAGAAACCTGAAGTCATGTTTCTCCAACTTTTCCCTCATTTTCTGAATATCGGGGAAATCTCCGGGTGAGATGTTGTGCTCTCTCTAAATATCCAAAGATTAACTACGTCCTGCTAACGAACTTGTAATTGCTCGTAAATTTTGTCCAATCCTTGAATGAGTTCCTTCTTCTTTTTGTCCTTTCCGAGCATGGTTGGCATTTGCTTTCGCAGCTCGTTGATAATGTAAGCATGAACCTAAATTAAGCAAAGGTGAATCAAACTCTTGTTGTTGCCGAATACCTTGGCCAAACGAGCTCGTTTGATGAGATCATTCAATTTGCGAAGAGCGGCATTTCTTGGCAAAGCTTGCAAGTCGGCAAAGAGATCGTGTTGTTCATCTTGGAAGAGACGCCTAAAACAAAAAAAAATAGTGCATATTCTTTAGATATAACTAACCTATTGATGTCATAGTGCAATGGATGATCCCAAAAAGTGCCAATGTAGACGCGTGAAACCTCGGGCGTTTTGAACACTTTGCCGAGCGACCACATCAGGGCTCCGTACACCCTCATTAGCTGTTGATGGTCGACCATATCCGATTTGTTGAGCACAATCCTGATCTTGTCCTCGTTGCCTAAAGAATTAAAGTTAGATTGCCAAAAAGTTAGTTCAAAATTTCAAGTGTATAACAGAATTTTATGATAATCCAAAACATTTTAACCTGCCAATGCTTCAATACATCTCTTGAACTCGTCCGAAATATCCAATTTGTGGGCATCGAAGAGGAGAATGATCCTGAACAAATAAAGATTAAAGATCAATCCAGAAATGAACAAAATACCTGTCGACGCGTTCGGCGAACCACTCAAGAACACCGGTGAAATCATAGCCTCGGTCGATTCTGAAAAGAAAACATTGTGAAAAGAAGCTTTACAGAGAAATTAGTTCTCAAGTACCCGCAACAATTTGAATCTAGAATCACTAAAAAGCGATAAGTAGGTAATCTATTTTGGAGATGAGTGAATCAATAAAACAAAAGAATAGGCAAGCTCGCAATTACCAACCCGGGGATCGGTCCACGGCTAGAGATTGGATAAATTTAGGAAAGACCCAAACCAACCTCTGTTTCTCACCACTCAAAATTCCGGGAGTGTCGACGATGGTCACGCTTTCGAGCACTTGATTGGGAAGGGTCGAGCATTGGAAACGGTTCAAGAAAGCGTTTCCAAATCTAAAATCACAGATACGATTGTTTAGTTTCATGCAATTTGTCCAAAATTTTGATAGATTAATCGAATCACTAAAAGCAACTCAATCCATCGTTTCTTTTTTGTTTAAAATCCCTTTGATCTCTCACCCGCTAAGTGCTCTGAATTGTTTCTTTGCATCGACGACGAGCGCATTTCCGGGAATCACACCCTCTTCGTTTGCATTCATCACCGCAATGAAGCGATCGGTCGTCGGCTCGGGTCCGATCCGGATGCCAGGAAAATCCTAAAAATAAACAAAATCAAACTTTAGTTATATGTTTACTAAAAGACGTAATAGATCAAGCATCCAACTAAAAACTACCTGCTCAAGCAAATATCGAATGAATGTAGTCTTTCCTGTCGAGTATTGTCCAACGAGTAGAATCATCGGTTTGGCATCGAAATCGGGATCATCTAAAATCCAAAATAGACAAAACCTTAAATCAAAACCAACCAAGGAACGGTGAATGGAACTCATTGAACTTGTAGAACTCTTCGAGCGGGTAAAGCTTTTGCTTGTAGATCTTCCGGAGGCCTTCCGAGACGCTCTCCAACACCTAAATGAAAACTCAACAAGGTGTTAAATGGAACCTTTCAATTTTAAAAAAGTCACTCAGAAAGTCGGAGAACGCTTAATTAAACCAAAAAAGTAAACCGTTTGCTTGTCTCGTCCTTTTAAACATACATTTTTCTAAAAGAAACAGTTTAGCTTTTTATCAAACACAAAAAAAGATTGAGCTTTATTTAGCCTAACTGGCTATCTAATTGATTAAAATAAACGTTTTTATTTTAACCTCTTTGTTCTTTTTTTTCGACGAATCGCCACCCAGCCAGCTGAACATCGTTCGTTTTTCTTTCCTGACGGTTCGAGTCGGCTCTTCTAAAGAAAAATGTTTGTCACGTGCAAAACATGAATATTCATAGATATTAAACCAAAAAAAAGGAACATTTCGAGGCTGCTTTTAAAAAAAAGGATTTTAACAATGACAAACACCAAATACGAAATCGCTGATTTATGCCTATTTACAAAAATAAGCATTTAAACAAAAATATGACCACCTGGAATTTCAAAATCAAGAAAAAATGTGGCGTGAGTAATTTCAAAAAGAGATCCGGTGGGTTTCCAGTGAAACGACACGGGAAGAGAAAAAGAATGAATCTGGGGAGAAAAGAAGTGCAGGGAGGGGCTGGGAAAAGAAAAACAAGGGGGACAGCCGGAAAGTGTCGACTGGGATGAGGATGTCTGTGTGGGTGAATCATCGACAATGAAACGAAGAAAATCGATCGTTCTTCGTTTCCTCAGCAGGGTTTTCCCCACGAAGTCACATAATTTTCGCCCTTTTTCGAGCGATTTAGCCGAATGTAAACAATCGCTAAAGCAGAAAAAGAAAGAAATCGATGAAACGACCCAAACACGAACAGGGAGCGCTCACCGCAATTCATTGAATTTCACATAAAAAGAAGCATTCTCCCCATTGAAACTAGCACAAATCCCGCGAGGATGCGGTCATTTACGCGGTGATGTGCAAAAAGTGTAAAAGCAAACACGAAAGAGGTAAAAATAAGGCCGCCTGGGTAAAGGATCGTTGTGAAACACGAGTATGAAGAGAGAGGGAAAGGGCGCTCTTAAGACCAACCACAAGAAAACAGAAAACAAGTCAAAGCAAAAGTCGATACGCAAGACCTCTCGAACAATTCAGAGACGGTGCTTGCAGTTTCAAAGCACACAGGCGCTAATTTAAAGTTTTCTAGGCCGTAACTTCATTCTACCACACTGCAAGTTGGGGAGTAAGCCGGTGATCAAATTAAACACGGAGAAACGTGCGAGAAATCAATGTCACATCCTTGAATCGCTCAACTCGAGCATGGAATCGCCAGCAACATTCTCGGAAAAGAGAGCGCGCAAAAAAAGAGGTAATATTGTGTGCATGTGGTTTTCACATACATAAAAGTGAAGTAAATCCCCTTGTCTGGCATCGAAAAAAAATCAGCAGTGACAAATTGTAAGTGGGCTGAAATTTGAAATGGGAAAAAAGGGACACGCTTGCTGTTCGAAAGTTTTATTATAGCATAGACTACGATAGCGTCAAGGTGCTTTTTATAATCTTGCTTTGCTACAATCACCAATCCGACCCTTGAATTTGATTTGCAAAGAAATTGTAAAGAACTTGATTTGTAATTTGTAAATTTTACGTTTCTAAATGTTGTCGCATAAACTCAAAACGATTAAATTTCCCAGTGCCCCATAATAGACCTAAAAATTGATGAAAAGAGGCCCAAAAAACAGCTGGCTGAATCGATTCGAGGCAAAAAGGGACCCAAAAAGGTAAGAGACAGGTGAGTAAAAGACGAAAAAGATCTTCATTTCAAGCACAAAACTGTTCAAGACGCTTTTTTTCAATGGATATGATCGCCGGAAACGTTCCAAAAATCAGCGAAAACGAAGACAGCAAAAAATGGGACAATCGATCCGGGAGTGGAGTCTTTTGATGGGTGTGGAGATGGACAGAGCAAAAGGACAAAAGGAAAGGAGGGGAGAGGTGGGAAAGAAGAAGAAAAGAGATAGGGCGATTGATATTAAATGTGACCATTGGAGATGGAATGAGAAAGGAGACAGAGAGGGGGGAAGACCCCCCTAGCCACAACTCTGCTTGTCTGGCTTTTTGAAAAAAGGGGGAGTGATTGGAGATAGCTGGAAGGAGGGGAGTAAAAATGCTACTATTCAGAAAAAGAGATGTAGCACGGGAAGGATCCAGTCAAAGCTTACAAGTCAAAAAAAGTAGCAAGTTTCAAACTTCTTTATAGTCTAAAGAGCTACAAGCCTTTAGAGTACCTACCGTAGTACATGTATTGATCAAACACATAGTAAAACAACTGACTAGCCAAATTCAAAGAGGTTTTAAAATTTCTTTGACCCCATAGAGTAGCCGAGTGATCTCATAGAGTGGCGAAAGGGGGTAAAAAACGTGCACAAAGACGAGCGGGGCACAAAAATCGACGAGCGGTCTTTCAACCACTCCTTCTTCCCTTCTTCCCTTCTTCCTTTCCTTCCTTCTTTTCCCAATGCAAACCCAATAAAAACAACGTTTACTACTTGTTAGTGTGTATGCATGAAGGCCGTAATGCTTTTTCCGAGGGTTAACCGAAAAATTACGAGGGAAAAAGTTCAGCGGCTAGACTTTGATCTTCAAGTTTATTCTACTCTTAACCAAGTTGAATAAACAAAACAAGTTATGGCAGTGAGGTTCGAGTTGAGTATTCGAATATTAAAGAAGAATCGATTTGCAAGACATCTTATTCTCGATGTTGTTGTCTCTCCCCCATTTCGATTTTTTTGAACGGGAGTGACTCACCCCATTAGACATCGCTTTGAAAAAAAAATATAAAAAAAGAAATAAGAAAAACTTTTTTAAATGTATTTCTCAATGGGGGTTTCTATCAAAATCTTTCATTGAGTAGTTTTCTCAGAAATGCGAACGAAAAGTGACTCAAAGGGCTAATGAGATGTAGGATTGCGAAATTTGTCAAACCACAGAAAGCACCAGGTGGTGTGATTTGAAGTATTTGAGTTTGATGTATGACTAAATTTTGTTTGACAATGCCAATGAAACAAACAGAAGAAATTGTTTTTTGGATAACCAGCTTCAGCTATACGTTTTAAGTTCAGAAGCACAGTTCTGTACTAATCAACAGAAAACAAACTGTACCTGGTGTAGCTGGGAGACCATTCGACGGGAAATACAGTCTTCCCCTCGGTAAAGAGACAAGACTTCGTCGATCTGGACTGTTCAGTCCACTGTATTCTGAAGCTGTCTGCACTGTCTGTCTTCTCAACGAGAGTCGTCGGGGTGGAGGGGTCGGTGAAGTGTTGCTCTCGTCTCGAAGTGAAACTGCCGATCGAAGATTCCTTCGAAGATTCACTTGCTACAAGTAAAACTGTTGATCTCAAAGAAAATCGGGTTCAAGTGTTATGACAGATCTAGAAATACGCTAGTAAGCTGATACAAAGCCTGGACGTCCGTAGTCTCTACTAAAGGAAAAAGGCTTCTCAAAGACTTTTAGAGTTGAAACTCACGCACCTCCTTCATTTTCTCCTCTTTGCCGCTGTCTTCTACTAGCTGAATAGAAGTGGTATCAATCTCAACAACAGTCAATATTTGTGGAGATGACTGTTGTTGCGGTGGTTGATTTGTTTGAATGCCTCCTCCATTTTCTTGTCGATTTTTCACATCTCCTCTAACACTCGATTTATCTCTCAAAACATCTGATTCATCATCCATTTCATCATTTTTCTCACTCAAAGGACAATTTTTGAGAAGAGTTGTTGAATTGGTTGATAGATGGGTGTGAACAGGAGTTACTGTTGAAGCTTCAATACAATGGGGGTGTTCAACTTTCGAAGAAGAGTCTAGATTTGGAGTCACTTTTTCAACGTTAGCTTCCAAATTCCCGGCTCCCTCTTTTATTGGGTCTTGACCTACGGCTTTTGATTCATTAGACACTTTTCCAACCTTTTTTTGATCAATTGTTTCAAAATCTGTCAAAGCCTCATTATCCAACTTCGACTCCTCAACATTTGTAGGTAAATGCGTTGAATTCTCAAATTCTGTAGATCGACTAGCGACTGAATCCATGTTTATTGTCGGCGATATTGTTGTTGTCGAAACTTCTTGGTCACTTGCGTAATTCTCCTCTTTGGTAACAATGAGGTGATCACTTTGTGAAGACTCTAGATCTGGAGTCACTTCGGCTCCAGTTTCTTCCCTTGATTGCTTCCAAGACCACCACACTCTTTTTTTCCAGATTTGACAATTCAAAAACAATGGTATCTTTTTGTTTTGTGTCCTCGATTTGTTCTTGATGCGGTAGTTGATCCTCGGTGCTCAGAATCGGTGTTTCATCAGTTTCTATCAATTCCTGCTTATTCATATCAAAATTTGTAACCTCTTCCAAACTGATTGTAATTATCGGAATCGATTTCTTAGGACAAAGAGGATTCCTCTGGTTCTCTGCAGCTGTCGGTTCTCCGATAGTCGTATTCTGAGCGATTTCATGAGCTTCAGAAGAGTCAATCGATTCAATACAATCTTTTTCAACTTCTTGCAAAACCTCTTCACTTGTTGATAGAGTCTGCAAGGAAACTTCAGAGCTCTGGTGGTATTTGATCAAGATTTTTGACGAATCTTCGTTTTGTTCGCTCAGAAGTGTATTTCCATGTGAGAAATGTCCATTTTCCTTGCATACATCCAAAATTTGCATTTGATCCTCTACAGTATCCTCCTTTGAAGTCTCCATTCGATCAGCAGATTGATCCATCTCAGCACAAGAACTTTGAATTGTGAAAAAATATCTGGTAAAGTCACAACGATGGGAGATCAAAGTATTGATAAACTGCAAAAGAAAGAAAAAAGTGAGGAAAAAAGAGATTCCAACAATGTCTTGAGAGGGGGAAAGATTGCGATAATTGGAAGGGCAATCGGCTGTCATTTTAATAGTTCTGTTCACAGAATGAACAGACAACAAAGAAATTGAATGAATGGAAAAAGGATTGAGAAGGGGAATGGAACCAAAGTGATAACAAATCAGTGTTCGTTTCTCCGTTTACTACGAATCGGGAAGAATTTTGAGGGATTTCCTTTTAAATTTACTGATTGGAAATTGAGTCTAGTGGAGATACTAGACTCAATTTCCAATTTCCAATCAGTGCTTTAAAGTTAAATTTGCAAATCTGGAGTGTTTATATATGATAGACGCTTGGCAAATGAAAAACCAAGTTATTTTGTTGCTTTGGCGCTTGTCAACATGAAATCATCTCTAGTCAAACTTCAGATAAGAGTAAATCAAAGGTTGATCAAGATCCTCCCACCTCCAAACGGATTCTTCAGCTTCGATCTTCTCGTCGAACTCTCCCGGGTTATCGGCTGAATGGCAGCAGTTGGCCTAGCCGCTTTTGGGATCTGCTTGCTCGGACCGCAACCCATGCATCTGATCAAATTGATTTTTCATTGGAGAAAGGATAAAAGTAAAAATTTAAGCCAAAATTGAAAACATTGTAAAGGCAAATTCAGAAATTTGCAATTCTCATTCAATCCTTTCCTTTTTCCCATAAAAACAATCGATTTTCATCGATGATGTGCAAAAAAATGGGGAATATATGAACAGAAAGCGAGAGAAGACACGTATTCAATGGAAAACAAGCATATGCTTTCAGCTGAGCATATGCAATTTTGGGAATATTGATTGAGAGTGCGGATAGTCATCGTTTTGATGACTAACTTGAACAGCTAGAATAGGATGAAGAATTGTGAATTATGCGTGCAATATCACCCTTAAAAGTAGCCTCTATTCAAAGAAACAAGTAAAAACCAAATATCCACTTTTGAGAAAGGGGAAACACACGTGAAATGGCCATTTTTTAAGGTAGGGAAACGACATCCGTTCTAGCAGGAAAGAGAAGGAAAAAAAAATCTAGAAGGCCTCAAAAAATTCAAGATAAACATAGAGTGTCAAGATTTGAAATTTAAGCACAAATTGAAATGATAAATAGTTTTTCAAAAAATCTTACCGTAAATACTGTAATAGTACCGCACCCCCTCGTACAGTCGCGTAGTCGCAAAAGTTTTTAGTATTTCATTTTTTTCAAGCGCCCGTACTTTCAAAAAATGCGTCTTTGGTATCAAAAAATAGCCCTGAATTTCAGCTATTTTTTGATACCTAAGCGCGCATTGTAGCATAAACCAGTGTCGAGAAAAACTCGTTCAAGGCTAGACTACGCAACACTCCGCACTGTCATTATGGGGGTGGAGTACTATTACAGTATTTACGGTAAGTAAAAAGTGTAATAAATAAACTAACCAATCACTTTATCGCTTTGTTTCTCCTTTTTCGCAAAAATCTTCTTCAAGAAACCCATCGAATCCCAAGTTAGACAAGTAAATAAATGACGATTACGTTACCTTTATGATTGTGAAATTTGTTTTATAAATAAATTTTAGCAAGATGCTAACTTTAATATGTAAATTTAAGGTGAGAAGGTAAAGAACATTGAAAACAAAGCGATCAAAAGCCTCAAAAGCCAAGAGCCAAGCCAAAACAAACGAAAAATGGATGATAACAAGTATTAGATCGTATTCAATTACGTACATTGAATATCTTTTATGTCAAACCTTCAAAAACGGGTATCCCATTTCTCACATCAACTTCAGCAAGTAGACGAGCTGGTCGAGTCGGCTCTGATCGAATCGAGTCCTCAATTCGGATATCCTGGACAAAAATCAATAAATATGAATTTTTAACTTCTTCCAGTTCTTTATTGAATAACCAGTACAGTTATTTCAATCACCTCATCCCCTTGAAACGTGACCCTCGTCATCGTCCTTTCAGGATTCGCAAAATTCCTGAACTCCCTCTTTGATGCTTTAATCTTTCTTGCACGAATATCAGCAACAATATCTCTTCTTGGAAAAAAGTATTCAAGCAACGAATTACAGCAAAATAGTTTGGCCAGCTTTTGAAAGTTTTTTGAGAATAAAATTTCCCATAAAATCGAGTTGACGCAAAGATTATGCAAATCAACATTAAACGGTCATTGGCGGGCATAAAATAGACATATTTCAATAGTAAGCAGTGAGCTAAAAAAATCCTTTAAAAGTTTAACTTCTACATCAAGTCTAAGCACAACACAGTAATACTTACAATGATCATAACTCCAATAGTACCTTTCCCCTTTAATTCCCCCTAAATTCGAAGAGTTAACTAGATGCTGGAAATCGAGTCAATCTCACAATTCTAGGTGATCGAGCACAACGAGCCACTCCTCCATTTGACAATCCGTCTGAAATTGGAGCGTTACAAAGGTGAGTGGCTGGGATTTGCGGAATACGGGAATTTTTGCAAATTTCAGAAGAATTGGAGCGTTTGGATGAGCCGTTGGACAGAAGCACGTGGTATCAAAGTCCGGCACAGGTTGACGCCTATTACGCGCCGAACAACAACGAGATGAGTGAGTTGGATTTCACGAGCTGCTTCGTCACATTTTGAGATTTACTATCATTTGGTTACCATGATTCTCCTGTTAGAGAAAAGATGTGGCTCTATTTCGAAAATTGTCGCTCAATAAGAGCACGTCGTTTAATGGGAGCTTGTCGTTCAATTGAGCGACGGTTCAACGCATGTTGTGACATCCAGATGGGCCAATACTTCCAAAATTTTGGCACTTTTCACGGTAGACTACAATTTACGGCCCTCCATAGCAAAGCCTGGCTAGTGTGGGGTTAAAAAATTGAGTCAGGGTAGCGTACATTGGACTCCAGCGTACGCTGTGACGTCCAGATGACCCAACACTCTTAAAATTTTGGTGTTCTTTACGGAATAGTACAAATTACAGCCCTGTACAAGCAAAGCCTAGCTAGTGCGGGTTTTAAAAATTAAGTCAGTGCACCGTAAATTGGATTCCAATGTACACTGTGACATCCAGAAGGTCGCTGAATTGAAGCTTGTCGTTCAATTCGAGCTTGTCACTCTATTTTTTAACACATCTAAAAAATGTCGTTCTTTTAGAGCATGTTCTTGTTGTTGTTGTTGTCGAAAAATCAGAGCAAATCTAATTTTAGTCTTTCCGGCCGGTATCATGCAATTCCCATTCTTGACAATCGGTGTCCCCAACTATATCACGTATGGAATGGTCGGCGCCGTGATTGGACACGAAGTCTCACATGCGTTTGATGATCAAGGTGACCTTTGATGCGTGTCTAAACGCGCACTTTCTCCTTCACTCAATCCTTTATTTCATCAGGCGGTCGCTATGATGAGTGGGGAAACTTGAACGATTGGTGGGACGCGGAAACGGCGCAGAAATTCGCCGACAAAACCCAGTGCTTCGTGGAACAGTACGGATCTGTTGAGGTTGGGCTTTTTGGAGGAAGGCTGAGGCTTAGGTTGAGGCTTTGGCTTTGGCCCAGGCTTAGGCTTTGACTCAGGCTTAGGCTTAGGTTTAGGCTGAGGCTTAGGCTTTGGCTGGGCTTTGGCTTAGGCCTTAGGCTTAGGCTTTGGCTTAGGCTTTGGCTAAGGCTGAGGCTTTGGCTAAGGCTGAGGTTTTAGGCTTCACGCTTAGGCTTAGGCTTTGACTGAAGCTTTGGCTAGGCCTAAGGCTTAGACTTACGAAGCGCCCTAAGCCTCAACTGGCCTAAGCCTAAGCTCAAGCACTGAAATCTAAAAGAAAATCCAGATCAAAGAGGCGAAGATCCGATTGAACGGCCGGCTGAGTCTCAGCGAGAACATCGCGGACAATGGGGGAGTGAAAACCGCGTTCAATGTCGGTTTTTCTATGCTGCACCCAAATCTACCGTACTCTTTTCAGGCATACAAAGCTTGGCGACTGAAGACGAGCCGGCGCTTCCTGGTTTCCAGAATTTCACCTCCGAACAAATGTTTTTCCTTGCTTATGCGAATGTGAGTTGTTTCGAGTTGGAGTAGAAGTAGAAGTTATAGAATTGAAGTAGAAGTAGAGGTAGAAGTTGTAGTCGAAGTAGACGTAGAAGTTGTAATTGTTATTGAAGTAGAATTAGAAGTAGAAGTAGAAGTCGTAGTTATAGTTGTAGTTGAAATTAAAACCAGAAAACTAGAAGCAGATTGAATCGAAGTAGAAGTAGAAGGGAAGTGTAGTTGTGGTTGAAGTAGACGAGAATTAGAATTAGAAGTTGAAGTTGCGAATATGAGTTCTTGTTTATGCGAAGTGGTTGTTTGAGTTGAAGTCGAGGTTGAAGTAGAAGTAGACCTAGAGTTGGGTCGAAGGGAAGTAGAAGTTGTAGCTGGACTAGGTTGAGTAGAGATTGTAGTTGTAGGTGTAGCTGAAGTAGAAGTTGTTATTGTTATTGAAGTAGAATTAAAGTAGAAGTAGAAGTCATGGTTGTAGTTGAAGTTGAAGTTGAAATTAAAACCAGAAAACTAGAAGCTAGATTGAATCGAAAAAATTGCAGAACTGGTGCTTGGTGATGGCCGACGTTCACGCGCCGTCAAAATATCGAGCCATCATCCCGCTGCAGAATCGAAAGGTGAGCAAATAAAGGAACGAGTTTAGAAGACCTGAGATCAGGGCTGCTCCGTTCCAGGCTCCTTATAGGCTATAGAGTAATCAAGATTGGCTAAAAGGCTTGAGCCCGGAGGGTGGCTTGCAGGATGGGACTTGTTTACGAGTCTATGCTAGCTTGGGCAAGTCTAGGGTGAATTTTGAGGACTGAACCAGGTATGGACAAGTCTAGGAATAATTTTAGCGTACTTTGACGGGGTTGTGAATTGTCCAAGATGAGCTGCTGTCCTGCCAGCAGCTTGTCTTGGACTTGTCTAGTCGATGCTAAGGCTTAGGCCTGAGCAAAGCTAAGGCTAACTTTAAGCCTGAGCCAGGTTTGGAGGTTGCGGATGCTAGATCAACGTAGTGGTGGATAGGTCAAGAGTTAAAGGGAGAGCTAGATGAAGATAGTTAGAGCTCTTGTTCGAGTATCGCCGGCTAGCCAGGCCTTCTAGAACAGGCTACGAAACGAGATGTCTCGTTGACGTTTAGGAGTTCTCTGAAGCATGGAAATGTCGCGACGGATCAATGATGAACCCACGGCACAAATGTCAAGTGTGGCGATGGGTGTTTTTTTTGATTATTTGATTATGTACAGCCATATTCTCTGATTCCGGTGCAATTTCTTGTTTTTGTGCTAATTTTCCCATTCTCCTACTTCTAGTCGGCTTTCTTTTTCTTTTTTAAACGAGCTGGGTTTACTCTTTTTATTTCACAGACATTTTCGGGGTACGGTAGCTTTGAATTTTACCTTTAAAAACGATTTTAAAATTAGATATTTAGAGAAATTTGAGAAATTTTACGCTCAACTTAAAACCACCGCATCCCCGCGCATTTTTTTTGTCGTTTTTTATTTCAATTGATCGAACGCAATGCCCTTTAGATTAAGCCAGATTTTCTAGAGAGCCAGCTTCTTCAGAGAGTCAGCTTCTTCAGAAAGCCAACCTCTCTAGATCCAGAGAGCTAGCTTCTCCAAAAGGGCAGCTTTTCCAGATCCAGAAAGTCCTTTTTTAGGCGCTAGGAAAAGTGATGCCGAATCTGAATGAAATGAGAACTTGATGATAACTTAATTTTCTTATCTGTTGTACTCACCTGTAAGCATTGTGTTGCAACTTCGAAGCATCTTTGCTTTTTTGCCCCCAAATTGATCAACCGATGAAAATATGGGATCAAAAATGGATCTTTCCACCGGCGAGGTCATCTCGAACTCATGAAGCATTTTTCATTTGATAGAATATCTTCTTAGAAAACCTCCGGCTTTCGCATCGTTGATCGATATTCCACCGCCGACAAGAAGATCTCCTTGATCAATTGTTGACTGCTTGCGAAAACCCATTGGAAACTGCGCGCCTCGAAGAAACCGGCCAAGAATGAGCAAAAGGGCGCAGAGGGACTTCTAAAATTGTTAACTTTAGCAACAGACTCAAGATTAAATTTTACTAGCAATTTTACTATAACCCGAATAATAAAACTTTTCTACCTCGCTGGTTTTGAGCTGTTAAACGAGAATCACACGGAACTTCACCTTCAACAGTGCGTCTGATGGCCTCAAGTCTGAAAAAAATAGAAGATCAGTACCCAATTGGCTTGTTAAATCTATTGGACAGTATTCTTTAAAGCGATCGATTGGTGTGATGGTAAAGCTTGGGCTGCGGCAAGTAGAGAAGCGTTTGCGTCCTAAAAATAAATCCAATAAATTGTTTTAAGCTTAACAACAAACCTTCTCCGTTATTTGATCCACAAAGCGAGCTGAAAGCCGCGAGAAATGCAGGAGAATCGCCGTGAAGTGTGGCGCAAAAAAGATGCAAATTTGTCGACAATCCGTTGCACCGAAATGAGAGTACAGACCTGAAGTTTTCCAAATTAAACAATCCAAATGAGTCATCCAATCACCAATAAAGCATCGTTTCCTTTCGGTCGTCCACTCAACGACATCGGTCGAACGCGAGGCCGTCGTGCTGTTGTCTCAAGTGGTTTCTTTTCGCTGTCTCACTGAAATCTATCATTATAGTTAACAGTTTTGAGGTTGATTAGTCAGCAAGCTCCAAAAACCAACAACGACGGGTGTTGCTTATCGATGGGCAATTTCTTGGCAATAAGGCGCAGCGTGTATGCAGCATTCTGACAGAGAGCAATCTAAAAACCGACTTTTAAGTAAAATGGCAAATCCTGCCGCCTTATTGACTTTCTTTGGTCCAGTCCAACCGTTGAGAATCTCGATCAATGAATCCAGCTGCTTCTCGTCGATTCCGTTCTCGTCATGTTTCAATTTGGCATTGCACAGGGGGAGCGTCTAAATCGAATTTTGTTGACTCTATGTTTAAAATGTTCTAAAATGTAATACCTAAATTAAGAATCATTAAAATTCCGGTTAAAAATGTAAATCTATGCTTTATTCGCACCTTTTCTTTCATCGAGAATGTCGATTTCCTATCGTTCAGCGTTTCTGAGATGAGACGAGCCAGGAATAAATGGATTGAATTTGTATTGCAAATAAAATTTACCTTATCAGAAACAATATCGGTCCTAGTTCCCATGGCAATCCAGTAGCGTTGTGCCGAAACGGCTTCCGAATCACGTTGAGCGTTCTGAATGATCAAAAATAATTTAATAATTTTATTTAAGCCATTAAATTAACCTTTTTCGCTGATTTAGTCTTAAATTCTTTCTCGGCCTCTTTTGCACGAATTCATCCACATAAACACTTGTCATCAGCAATTGTCTTCCAATCGTTCACAAAGAAGCGGTCAGCGACTCGTCACTTTCAATTGCTAACAAAATTTGTATGCAGTCGATACCCACATTTTCATAGATTGTTAAACAAAATTTTCGTGACCAGAGCGACAAGGACGAACCGATAATGCCGGATCCTTGGCAATGTACGCTTCTTCCTGAATACAAATCGATTAAGACACACCGATCAAACTTTTGTAGTGGCAGTCAGAAGTCGTAATGAGTCCCTCAGAATTTGATGTGATTGTGTGGATCGTAGAGTCGACAACCAATTAACCAATCAAAGCGAAGTTGGAGTTTTCGTCAAAACTGACAGTAGCTCCAAGGAAAAACGAGTCGACGAGTCTATTCATCGTAGAATTCACTCTAAAATTTAACTATTTTCAAACACTAGTCAAACCCGCTACTTGAAACACGTTCTTCTGGATTTTGGTGGTCAACTTTGAGCGTTTCTCCGCATTTCCTTTATCCTCTTGTCGTGAAAGCATCAAAAGAACGAATTTAATCGATATCGAGGCCTAAAAATGATCTTCTTGAATTGCACAAGCTTGAGCTTTGTGATAAGCGCAATTATAGACCTTTGCAGAATGTTTCACGAGTATCGGATTCATAAACAATTAAATGTTTTCAACCTTATGGCGTGATTTCCTTTTTCCCATGACTTTTATGAGCTTGTCAATTGTTTAACAAGTTCTAATAATGTAATGGGATCTAGTTTGATCTGCATTTTCAAAATTTACCTCTGACAATGAGGAGATCGCCTTTGCTTTCAACAAATACCCGTTTCCAGTGACCAGCTTCCCAAAGACAAATTGTGTACTAAAGCAAACTTTAAAAATACTAAAAGATTTAACTAACTGGAATCATCCGAAGCAAGTGGCCATCTAAAGTATAAGCGATCGCTATCTAGCTATTCCAACTCATACTTGCTCCCCACTATTAACAGCGTCCATCGATTTGAGCAAACGAGTGCCGGCGAGCTTTTTCAACTCTTCATCTGTGCTTAGTAGTATACAAGTACCATTTCCAGTACCGCCCATTCCCCTAATCTCCACATCTCGTTGTTTAAATTCTTTTTCTCGTTATGTTTCGTTATAAAAACACTATGGATTGATGACATTTTTCAATCGAGGACAAATCAAAACAAAGTTTTATTCAAAAGAAAGATCGCAAGGAATGGTAGCACAAATTGCTTTAATAACTTTCTGTTCATCAGTTGTATAACTCCGACCTGAGATCACAAGCCTTGATAACCATAAGGATGGTGCATCGGCGACAGCATTGTGCAGAATCTCTTCCACTATCATCGCAACTCGCTGAGCAGTCGATCGCGGAAAGTATGGGCGAACTTCATTGGAGAACTTGCTATCATTATCGAAGATCCATTCCCATCGGTCGTGTCGATCACTCTGTCTCACGGAATCCGGCATTTCCTGTTCCCTAAATTTCGAGAAATTGAAAATTCCAAAGAATCTAAATGCATATGGCCTTAAAGGTTAAGCGAATCCATAACAGCTCAAATGTCAAATCTTTTCTAGCTTTTGGAAAGAAGCACGTCTTTGGTAGAACTTGGATATTTGAAAACGTAATCAGAAAATAAGTTTACAAACCCCTCGAGAAACTCGATAACACCTCTCACATTCAGCATTGACTGGGATCGAAGGAGTGTTCCGTTACCACGTTTCTAGAAAATTGACATCTTATCAAGAGTTTATAGTATCAAAGAACTTACCAATCGGAATTCCAGCTCATCATTCTTCGAAGACATTTCACGCAGCTCCTCGCACTTCATATTACACTCTTCCCGAGATTCTCTCAGCCGCTTCATCTTCTTGTAAAACTCCTTACTCATCTTTCGATATTTCCTCTGCCAATCGACTTCATCTCTAAAAAACGATAACATACAATAGATTATATTATTTAAATACCTTTCTTCGTCCGAACTATAGTTTTTCTTCCTCTTGGACGACATGGTGAGGTTACCTGAAACGATTAGCAATAAGAAAGGAAGCGAATACTAGAGTTAAAGTTACTATATATAAATGAACCAAGTTGTAGAAATAAAAAATATCAGATTCGGAGCCGTTAAGTCTAAGCTCTATAGAATTCATCATAAAAATGAGAATTTATTTAATAAAAATCATGACGCCAAAACCAAAAGTGCGGTTGGGAAGAATTATGAGGCTTTGAAAAAAAATGATTTTTCCGAAAAAATATTGACTAGCGACCGTACTGGTGGGTATACTTTTAAAGTAAAAGAACAAGTATAGACATTAATCAGGGCAATTGAATGAAAACGAGTGCAGCCAAATCTGTCAAATGAGCGGCGAGAAAAACGCAAAAAAACCTAATTTGCCTCTGGCAATTGGGACACTTGTGGGCGGTACTTTAAAAGTATACTGGTGGGTATGGTGCAAAAACTGTCTTTTTTTTGATTTTTGGCATAAAATTAACATTGAGATTTGAGTGCACCAGATGCGGTGTGTTTACGGATTTTTGCGTACAAAGTACATGGAAAAGAGATTAATTTGAAAAAAGCAAAAGTGAACCATTGTTGAAAAAATTGTTTATATCTCATCTAAACGCGGTCAATCATCAGCTATTTTATCGTTTAAATTCGACTCCATTAAGAACTTTTCACTCCAAATGACACTTGTGACTGATTAGGATAGGGAAATACCACTATTGAGCAATGTTTAGCTAATTAGTAGTAGTTAATAAGGAGTCAAGCCAACTTTTTGGCCCGACCTTGCTGTACAATTTCAAAAACCAATGACTATTTTAGGTAATTTACAAAAGTACAAGAGTACAAAAGGCTGTACCAAAGTTTACAAGCCTAAAACTATTACCTAACTTTAAAAAAATCCGATTAACGATAAGAAAACGAGAAAACAGGGAACAAAACCCGTCGATTACCCAAGGTCTTTTCTAGACTTTGAATTTTTATCAGACTGCCTGGTTCCACTTGGCTGACTCCACCCCTATCCAAAAATCTGGAATTTCTTCCATAATTCTATACAGTAACATCAACTATAAAGAATTTTTATTTTTCTTCCAATCTCTCAAAACCCATATAAAATTGCCGAGATCACAAAAAACAAAGAATCAAATTGCCCAACAAAATAACAGGAAACAAAAGAAAATCAACCGATAAAAGAACTTATTTTTAAAAAATAAACTAGAATCACAATTCTTATTTCACTTTTTTCAATCTTCAATTCTTGCTGGTGTTCTCACCTGTATCCTCACCATTGCATTCGCTTCACTTTTCCAAGTTTATCGAGTGTTCGGCGAAGCGTGATACTCTCCAGAAGTCCCAGGCGTCACGGATAACTAAATTTGTAAATTTAGATTGGCTTAAACTTAAATTTACCCACCTTAACCTCAAATTGACACTTCTGATAGAAAAGATATTTGGGCATTCCCAATCGATCCATACACAAAGACTTCGCGACGGTCATCAAATGATTGATTGACTAAAATGAAATGAAAATCGATGATGAAAAAGCAAACATACTTGCTCATTTACTCGATGTGTTTCGCTCGTTTGTACCCTTGTCAAAATTTCAAAAGTCGTTTTTGCCCATTCCAACAATTGCCGTTGTCGAAATCTCACCTAATACGTCGAGTCCAATAAACGGATCCTCACAGAACTAAAATGTTAAAATGAATTGATTTGAGGTAGTTACCTACCTCAAAGTTACTAACCACTAGTTTATAAACATTTGACTCACGCAGGTTCTTCATTTGATATTATCGCTTGAAGACCATAGTTGAGTAATGAAGCCGTAGAACCAAGCATATGAAAGGCATCTAATGATCTAAAGAAAAAGATAGAAAAGAGCATTACAAAACTTTCAAAGCTTATGATCATGTAAAATTTCGTTTCCCACCTAGTATTCGCAGCAAAACACATTTTTGAGAGCGATCCCCACATTTCGACAGCAGAACCGGCACGCCTCTGAGCAACTTCCAACTAAAGTCAACATTTTTGCTTTGTAGATTTGCTTCATAAACAAACCACTTGTAGCGCTTTCTCACACGCTTCTTGGTTCGTCAACAATTCGGTGCCAACAAGAAAATGCCCAAGTCCTCTAAGCTTTATTGCCTATAATGGATTTTCAAATTCAACAAACCCCAACAATCTTCCATAAATCATTTGTGTCGAAAGAAACGAAGTGATGAATCGAGAAACAAAGAGAAATTTCGGTGCAAACGAGCCGATCACAAGCTTCTAAAAGTTTCTAATTAAATTGATAAAAGATTTTGTCAAACCTTTATGATTTGATTAGCCTGCCTGAGGGATTCTGTCGCTTTATCAACCTCAGCAATTGAGAATTCTTTTGGTTGTGAGAGACAAATGAGACGAAGAATTTGGATCCAATAGAGATGATGGACTGAGATTCTAAAAAATGAATGTATTAGTTATTTCAATGAAGAACATACTCTGTTATTCGATTGATGCCACTAAATTTTAGGTCTAGTTTGAGATTAAACCCAAATACCTGTCTATCGATTTGTTCAAATAACGGAAAAGCCACATCGCGCAAATGTCCCGTTCTCAAGGAAAAGTTTTAATGAAGTCTAAACTTCAATTAAACCTCGTGCCAACCAAAAAAAACTAAAAACTAAAAACGCGACATAACTAAAAATTGAAAATATCTCTATTTCAAGTGGAGGAGTCGCGAGAAAAGCGTTAACAGCAACTTCATATGTTGTGAATTGACTGGTCCAATTGCAAGAAATGTTGTCGATAAGCTCATAAACGAGATGCGGACAGCCAAATGTAGAAGCCCATAGTATGAAGAAAGATCGATTACAGAGTCTGAGTAACAAACAAAACGGAAACAAAATACAAACTTCACTTTTTAGATGATCGATGTGATTGGGTAGGGCATTTTTTGCTAACACTTCGAATACGCGAAGATATTCAAGAACGAGAAGAGGAGGAGCTGATGGGAGAACAGATTGGCGATGACACAGCTTCTAAATGTTAAGTATTAGAAAATTGAGAGATACTGGTATAATGTAGAAACTCGTGATTTTATCATTCACGAGCTCATCAAGAAGAAATCTAAAGCAAAATACGAGATGACTCTTTGAAAGTCATTACTTGATCAGGTATCGTAAAACGAGTGGCTATCGCTAGATCGGTCATCGAATCCATGAGCATTTCTGAGTGCTGAACTTCAATTGAGAAGAACAATAGTAACGCGATTTACCTCCGGTACGAGCACCTCGTCTTTAATGAGTCGAATACATACGGCAAGCATCGATTGAGTGGTTTGCAGAGAGGATCTGGAAACTGATAACATTAGCAGCACTACTCTACTTTTAAAACCTCGTTGATCTAATGACGGAAATAAGTTGCTTCTTGCGTTCTTCGGGTGTCAGCTGTGATAATAACATCATACCTCATTCGATCAACAACCATATCACAAATGCGACTAAAATCATATGAAAGTGATTTAATTGATTGAATAGGAAAACATTTTATAAGGAAAACAACAAAACTTACGTGCTTAATTTCACATATTATTTGAGAGCGATGATCGCTGAGGAAAACTTTTCAATATGGGAAGATAATAAAGACTCATAAAGACCAAATGATGGACGTGCATTAGAAATAATTTATTTTCAAAAGATTTCCTACTTTTTTGCTATCTTTGGCCACCGGAACGAGACTTGCAAGCATTTGAAGAGTAAGAGAACGGGCCCCAATGTTCGTACTGTGTGCGACAACCAAAACATCGTCGATGATCGCCTTTGCACTCAAGAATCAAACGTTTAAGAGCCTCATGGTTGGACGAACAACCTTAAGGACACAACTAGGATCAATATCATAGTTGTGTCATTAAAGTCTTTCTCTTTTGCATTTTGTCTTCGAAACATTCTCCAAATAATTTTTGAATGAACCGAAAACTAAAAATTGTTTGTTTACCCGAAATTTCTGCTGAGAAACTGCTTGTTTACGTTTCGAAAATTTGAGCAAACGAGATTTTCTGTGACAAAATCTATTCCCAGAGAGATAGCAATAACAAAAGTAACAAACATGGTATAACAAAGACATAACAACAGTGCGAAAATTTTAAAACCAATAAAAAGCCGTGAACAAAAATTAAAAGGCACAAAAATCGCTAACAATCCTACTAAATTCTAAACTATTCCACTCAAACGAATCCTGGCGAGAGCTCGGCGCCGAATATCCGTTGTAGCAAGGGCACCACTTGATCGCACTGCTCTTCGACGTTTTTGTTCCCATCTAAAGCAATGATAATTTAACTTTAATGAATAGTTTGTGTCCAAAAACCCGACTTTTCTATGTAATTTTACTCAACCAACAAACAGCACTCACCCTCCAATAGCTCGGACAAAAATGGCATCACCATCCGCAAGTGTGATGGGATTGAATCCCCGACACGATCAAAGAGTCGCTTCACGAATAGCAGGATACGGTAGCGGATCTGGAATTAATAAGTTGACAAATGTATGTTAAAATAGTAAAAGTTAAAACTGATACCTTAGGCTTGTTGCTTCTAGTCTTCAGCAAGATGTCGTTCAACAAGTTGGCGAATTTGACTGAATGCGCCTCGGTGACCTGGAAATAAACAAATCTGTATATCAACTACGAAAGCATAATAAGACTAAGAAAAATGGTGTCGGATTGTCGCAAATGAGTTGTGGAGATGAGCAAACGCCGGACGTTCGTTCGCTCAAAAAGTGACCGCTGAGACCTAAAAAGGTTGTCGAGTTTTACAAATGCCATCAAACAAACAAACCTCTCGTAAAATTCTGGAATATCAACTCCGACGAAGATTTACTTTCGATAGCTGGCATCTATTTAAAAAATGAAATTTATAAACTTTTCCCCCTAGGAGTTGTTAAAAAGAAACCAAGAGTTCATCATAAACTTTAAACAGATAAAGGTGTAAGTACAAAATTTATTTTTTTCAAAAGCCGAAACCACAAAAACACGAGTGAATGCCAGTATCATAAACAGTATCCTATTTTTGGTGATTTAGGTCAATTCGTAGTTTTATTTTTTAATAAACATAGCTGCAAACCAAAATCTTGAAAATCTTGCGAGCTGGGCCTTGCGAAGATTTTTTTCTTTTTACTGACCCGGCAAATATTGAAAATCCCGAGTCGATAGTCGCTTTTTTTCGGGTCTCGAAAACTTTTCGAACGGGTCTATAACTCCCTTTTTCGAGTCCATAACTTTCTTTTTCGGGTCCCGAATAATTTTCCTGATAGATTTTCCCTTTGTTTCTAAAGCGGTGGTTAATGCTGAGAATCTTTATTATAAAAAAATCACCCATTCTCTCTACTTTAATTTGATACCCAAGCACGCAAAAACATTTATCTGGGCGCCGGGATATGAGCGGTTCTTTAAATGTAAGCTTCGATTAAGCGACGTTCCTGTAGGGGGGCTACCATTACAGCTTTTACGGAATACAAAAGGTTTGGTAATTGATTTAAGCTTCGGATAAATTTCTAAATTTGAGAAAGTTTTGCTAGAATTGTCTCTTACACTTTGAATACATCGATTTCCTTTCTTTCAATTTTTACATCCAACGCTGTAAATTTACATTTAATCGCTATTTTACAGGAAAGATGATCGGAGAGAAATCATTATTCATACATACAATTTGCTGCAATCTATGTCTGGCACGGGTCAGTTTTCTTTGTTTTTTCAATTTTAAATTTCATATTAAATCAAAACTTTCTACTGGCATTGTGGTGTCAGATTGTAGTTAATATATGAGCCGGGATTTTTAGCCACTATTTTTTTTTCCAAATCACTAGAGTAATTTTTTGCGTAGATTCCGAAATAAACAACGAGAGCTTGAGAAAAGCGTTTTAAGCCGAGTTTCGGGGCTGCAAAGCGCGCGCTCCAACGGTGTGGTGAGAGGGATACATACACTGCAGGACATAATTTTAGGTTCACCTCATTTTTGTGATTTTTCGTTAGATAAGATTCCTGTTTCTGATTCGTAAAAGACGATTTAGAAACTGGAAAAATCACAAAAAGTGAGGTGAAGCTAAAATTATGTCTAGCAGTGTGTAGGGAAGAGGTCTAAAAAATGGTAGCTCAAAACATTTTTCGAAGCCAAAAGCATTTCTTCTGGGATAGTTTCATCTGCTGATAACGTTTTTGATCAAATTGGAACAAAATAAAAAATATTTTTTTTCAAACTTCGACCATGTCCAGGACCTGAATCAAAAATCGATCAATCTGGGAAAATATTTTGCAATTTGTTTTGCCTCTACCAATCAATTGAAGTTAGGAATTGAATATTTACAATATGTTAGTGGTTAAAAATGGTTTTGGCTCTAGTTTTGAACTTGAAAAGTGCCCCAATAGTCGATAGCTTGAGTTCCATATAGTGAAGTACACTGTATGAGCGCGCACTTTGGAACCCTGAAACTAAAACGCATTTTCCCAATAGCTCGTTGTGTTTCGCGGAATCTACGAATAAAACTACTTCAAAAAAGTGGAAGAGAAAATAGTTGCCCTCCGCTCCAACATTTTTGCACCATACCTATCACTTTGAGCCACTTAAAGCTTTTTAGAAATTAATACAAAGTTACTTTTTTTGGACATCCTATATGTATGGTTAAATTTTCAGGTGGATACCATCAGGCGTCGTCTCCTCGCAAGCGCAAGCGTTCGGGAAGGTATTTAAATAATATAACTTATTATATATGCTATTGTTTTAGCCATGAAACTGATCCCGGTGAGCAGCTGAAAGTGCTGGAGAACAAGCTAAAAGAGGCGGAGGAAAAGCTGAAAAAGGCGGAGGAAAACGATCGCCGAATTGCAGCTTTAGAAGGAGAACTGGAGGAAATCCGTGACGAGAAGGATCTTCTATCCATTGAATGTGTATGTTCTTTAATATTATAAATTCTTGATAAAGTGTGAGTATTCTACGAACAATTTAAGGCGAAGTACAAGGAGCTCGAATCAGTCCTGGCCGCGAGAGCAGTCATAGAAGCATTCGAAGACATGTGAGCTTATTTTCTGATTACTTTTTTAGTTTAGTTTGGTTCAGTTTAAGATTTAAACTTTTAAGTTTAAGGCCTTGGAAAATAGATTTAAATTTTCTACAATTTCCAAGTTCTTAAATTTTAGACTTCCCAGACAATACGACAAGGATGACTGGAAAGCCACTTGGAGAAAGCGTGTGAGAAAGCGCTACAAGTGGTTTGTTTATGAAGCAAATCTACCAAGCAAAAATGTTGACTTTAGTTGAAAGTTGCTCAGAGGCGTGACGGTTCTGCTGTCGAAATGTGGGGATCGCTCTCGAAAATGTGTTTTGCTGCGAATACTAGGTGGGAAACGAAATTTTACATGATCATAAGCTTTGGAAGTTTTGTAATGCTCTTTTCTATCTTTTTCTTTAGATCATTAGATGCCTTTCATATGCTTGGTTCTACGGCTTCATTACTCAACTATGGTCTTCAAGCGATAATATCAAATGAAGAACCTGCGTGAGTCAAATGTTTATAAACTAGTGGTTAATAACTTTGAGGTAGGTAACTACCTCAAATCAATTCATTTTAACATTTTAGTTCTGTGAGGATCCCTTTATTGGACTCGACGTGTTAGGTGAGATTTCGACAACGGCAATTGTTGGAAAGGGCCAAAAAGACTTTTGAAATTTTGACAAGGGTACAAACGAGCGAAACACATCGAGTAAATGAGCAAGTATGTTTGCTTTTTCATCATCGATTTTCATTTCATTTTAGTCAATCAATCATTTGATGACCGTCGCGAAGTCTTTGTGTATGCATCGATTGGGAATGCCCAAATATCTTTTCTATCAGAAGGGTCAATTTGAGGTTAAGGTGGGTAAATTTAAGTTTAAGCCAATCTAAATTTACAAATTTAGTTATCCGTGACGCCTGAGACTTCTGGAGAGTATCACGCTTCGCCGATTTATTTAAGGTTTGTTTGTACGGATTGAAACTGATATTATTATGACTTGGGCTTGACAATAGCTTATCGATTTTTTAACGGTTTGCTCTTGACAAAGGGACCGATCGTTCCAATTGAGACCGTCATCGTCACAGTCATTGTGCAGTTTGCTGCGTCAGTTGGGGTTTGATTTTTATATTCTTCTTTAATGCGTTTAGATCTATAATGTCAATGAAATAAACCGTCTTGAAATTAAAATCTACTTTTAGAACGATTACGAGCAATCGCAAACGGTCAATCTCAAAGAAGAGGATTATTTCAACGCGAATTTCTTGCTTCAATTTAACCAAGTGGGTTCCTGTTTGATATGAACTGTAAAAAATCAAAGCTGTATTCGATTTTATCGTAACTTAAAAAACTTGACTCATTTATTTACCTGAAATTTTCATTAAAGCTGTTTTTAGAATTGCTCTGTCGATTTTATCGTCGAATTTGGTGATTCAGAGCGTCGATAAACTTGGAAAAGTGAAGCGAATGCAATGGTGAGGATACAGGTGAGAACACCAGCAAGAATTGAACATTGAAAAAAGTGAAATAAGAAGAATTGTGATTCTAGTTTATTTTTTAAAAATAAGTTCTTTTATCGGTTGATTTTCTTTTGTTTCCTGCTATTTTGTTGGGCAATTTGATTTATTGTTTTTTGTGATCTCGGCAATTTTGTATGGGTTTTGAGAGATTGGAAGAAAAATAAAAATTCTTTGTAGTTGATGTTACTGTATAGAATTAAGGAAGAAATTCCAGATTTTTGGATAGGGGTGGAGTCAGCCAAGTGGAACCAGGCAGTCTGATAAAAATTCAAAGTCTATAAAAGACCTTGGGTAATCGACGGGTTTTGTTGCCTGTTTTCTCGTTTTCTTATCGTTTCTTACCGCCCACAAGTGTCCCAATTGCCAGAGGCAAATTAGGTTTTTTTGCGTTTTTCTCGCCGCTCATTTGACAGATTTGGCTGCACTCGTTTTCATTCAATTGCCCTGATTAATGTCTATACTTGTTCTTTTACTTTAAAAGTATACCCACCAGTACGGTCGCTAGTCAATATTTTTTCGGAAAAATCATTTTTTCTCAAAGCCTCATAATTTTTCCCAACCGCACTTTTTGCTTTGGCGTCATGATTTTTATTAAATAAATTCCCACCTTTATGATGAATTCTATAGAGCTTAGACTTAACGGCTCCGAATCTGATATTTTTTATTTCTACAACTTGGTTCATTTATATATAGTAACTTTAACTCTAGTATTCGCTTCCTTTCTTATTGCTAATCGTTTCAGGTAACCTCACCATGTCGTCCAAGAGGAAGAAAAACGATAGTTCGGACGAAGAAAGGTATTTAAATAATATAATCTATTGTATGTTATCGTTTTTTAGTGATGAAGTCGATTGGCAGAGGAAATATCGAAAGATGAGTAAGGAGTTTGGCAAGAAAATGATGCGGCTGACAGAATCGCGGGAAGAGTGTAATATGAAGCGCGGGGAGCTGCATGAAATGTCTTCGAAGAATCGTGAGCTGGAACGCCGATTGGTAAGTTCTTTGATACTATAAACTCTTGATAAGATGTCAATTTTCTAGAAATGGGCTAACGAAACACTCCTTCGATCCCAGTCAATGCTGAATGTGAGAGGTGTTATCGAGTTTCTCGAGGGGTTTGTAAACTTATTTTCTGATTACTTTTACAAATATCCAAGTTCTACCAAAGACGTGCTTCTTTCCAAAAGCTATAATAGATTTGACATTTGAGCTGTTAGGGATGGCTTAACTTTTAAGGCCATATGAATTTAGATTCTTTAGAATTTTCAATTTCTCGAAATTTAGGAAACAGGAAATGCCGGATTCCGTCAGACAGAGTGATCGACACGACCGATGGGAATGGATCTTCGATAATGATAGCAAGTTTTCCAATGAAGTTCGCCCATACTTTCCGCGATCGACTGCTCAGCGAGTTGCAAAGATAGTGGACGGGATTCTCCACAATGCTGCCGCCAATGCACCATCCTTATGGTTAACAAGTCTTGTGATCTCAGGTCGGAGTTATACAACTGATGAACAGAAAGTTATTAAAGCAATTTGTGCTACCATTCCTTGCGGTCTTTCTTTTGAATAAAACTTTATTTTGATTTGTCCTCGATTGAAAAATGTCATCAATTCATAGTGTTTTTATAACGAAACATAACGAGAAAGAGAATTTAAACAACGAGATGTGAAAATTAGGGGAATGGGCGGTCCTGGAAATGGTACTTGTATACTACTAAGCACAGATGAAGAGTTGAAAAAGCTCGCCGGCACTCGTTTGCTCAAATCGATGGACGCTGTTAATAGTGGGGAGCAAGTATGAGTTGGAATAGCTAGATAGCGATCGCTTATACTTTAGATGGCCACTTGCTTCGGATGATTCCAGTTAGTTAAATCTTTTAGTATTTTTAAAGTTTGCTTTAGTACACAATTTGTCTTTGGGAAGCTGGTCACTGGAAACGGGTATTTGTTGAAAGCAAAGGCGATCTCCTCATTGTCAGAGGTAAATTTTGAAAATGCAGATCAAACTAGATCCCATTACATTATTAGAACTTGTTAAACAATTGACAAGCTCATAAAAGTCATGGGAAAAAGGAAATCACGCCATAAGGTTGAAAACATTTAATTGTTTATGAATCCGATACTCGTGAAACATTCTGCAAAGGTCTATAATTGCGCTTATCACAAAGCTCAAGCTTGTGCAATTCAAGAAGATCATTTTTAGGCCTCGATATCGATTAAATTCGTTCTTTTGATGCTTTCACGACAAGAGGATAAAGGAAATGCGGAGAAACGCTCAAAGTTGACCACCAAAATCCAGAAGAACGTGTTTCAAGTAGCGGGTTTGACTAGTGTTTGAAAATAGTTAAATTTTAGAGTGAATTCTACGATGAATAGACTCGTCGACTCGTTTTTTCCTTGGAGCTACTGTCAGTTTTGACGAAAACTCCAACTTCGCTTTGATTGGTTAATTGGTTGTCGACTCTACGATCCACACAATCACATCAAATTCTGAGGGACTCATTACGACTTCTGACTGCCACTACAAAAGTTTGATCGGTGTGTCTTAATCGATTTGTATTCAGGAAGAAGCGTACATTGCCAAGGATCCGGCATTATCGGTTCGTCCTTGTCGCTCTGGTCACGAAAATTTTGTTTAACAATCTATGAAAATGTGGGTATCGACTGCATACAAATTTTGTTAGCAATTGAAAGTGACGAGTCGCTGACCGCTTCTTTGTGAACGATTGGAAGACAATTGCTGATGACAAGTGTTTATGTGGATGAATTCGTGCAAAAGAGGCCGAGAAAGAATTTAAGACTAAATCAGCGAAAAAGGTTAATTTAATGGCTTAAATAAAATTATTAAATTATTTTTGATCATTCAGAACGCTCAACGTGATTCGGAAGCCGTTTCGGCACAACGCTACTGGATTGCCATGGGAACTAGGACCGATATTGTTTCTGATAAGGTAAATTTTATTTGCAATACAAATTCAATCCATTTATTCCTGGCTCGTCTCATCTCAGAAACGCTGAACGATAGGAAATCGACATTCTCGATGAAAGAAAAGGTGCGAATAAAGCATAGATTTACATTTTTAACCGGAATTTTAATGATTCTTAATTTAGGTATTACATTTTAGAACATTTTAAACATAGAGTCAACAAAATTCGATTTAGACGCTCCCCCTGTGCAATGCCAAATTGAAACATGACGAGAACGGAATCGACGAGAAGCAGCTGGATTCATTGATCGAGATTCTCAACGGTTGGACTGGACCAAAGAAAGTCAATAAGGCGGCAGGATTTGCCATTTTACTTAAAAGTCGGTTTTTAGATTGCTCTCTGTCAGAATGCTGCATACACGCTGCGCCTTATTGCCAAGAAATTGCCCATCGATAAGCAACACCCGTCGTTGTTGGTTTTTTGGAGCTTGCTGACTAATCAACCTCAAAACTGTTAACTATAATGATAGATTTCAGTGAGACAGCGAAAAGAAACCACTTGAGACAACAGCACGACGGCCTCGCGTTCGACCGATGTCGTTGAGTGGACGACCGAAAGGAAACGATGCTTTATTGGTGATTGGATGACTCATTTGGATTGTTTAATTTGGAAAACTTCAGGTCTGTACTCTCATTTCGGTGCAACGGATTGTCGACAAATTTGCATCTTTTTTGCGCCACACTTCACGGCGATTCTCCTGCATTTCTCGCGGCTTTCAGCTCGCTTTGTGGATCAAATAACGGAGAAGGTTTGTTGTTAAGCTTAAAACAATTTATTGGATTTATTTTTAGGACGCAAACGCTTCTCTACTTGCCGCAGCCCAAGCTTTACCATCACACCAATCGATCGCTTTAAAGAATACTGTCCAATAGATTTAACAAGCCAATTGGGTACTGATCTTCTATTTTTTCAGACTTGAGGCCATCAGACGCACTGTTGAAGGTGAAGTTCCGTGTGATTCTCGTTTAACAGCTCAAAACCAGCGAGGTAGAAAAGTTTTATTATTCGGGTTATAGTAAAATTGCTAGTAAAATTTAATCTTGAGTCTGTTGCTAAAGTTAACAATTTTAGAAGTCCCTCTGCGCCCTTTTGCTCATTCTTGGCCGGTTTCTTCGAGGCGCGCAGTTTCCAATGGGTTTTCGCAAGCAGTCAACAATTGATCAAGGAGATCTTCTTGTCGGCGGTGGAATATCGATCAACGATGCGAAAGCCGGAGGTTTTCTAAGAAGATATTCTATCAAATGAAAAATGCTTCATGAGTTCGAGATGACCTCGCCGGTGGAAAGATCCATTTTTGATCCCATATTTTCATCGGTTGATCAATTTGGGGGCAAAAAAGCAAAGATGCTTCGAAGTTGCAACACAATGCTTACAGGTGAGTACAACAGATAAGAAAATTAAGTTATCATCAAGTTCCCATTTCATTCAGATTCGGCATCACTTTTCCTAGCACGTAAAAAAGGACTTTCTGGATCTGGAAAAGCTGGCCTTTTGGAGAAGCTAGCTCTCTGGATCTAGAGAGGTTGGCTTTCTGAAGAAGCTGACTCTCTGAAGAAGCTGGCTTTCTAGAAAATCTGGCTTAATCTAAAGGGCATTGCGTTCGATCAATTGAAATAAAAAACGACAAAAAAATGCGCGGGGATGCGGTGGTTTTAAGTTGAGCGTAAAATTTCTCAAATTTCTCTAAATATCTAATTTTAAAATCGTTTTTAAAGGTAAAATTCAAAGCTACCGTACCCCGAAAATGTCTGTGAAATAAAAAAGAGTAAACCCAGCTCGTTTAAAAAGAAAAAGAAAGCCGACTAGAAGTAGGAGAATGGGAAAATTAGCACAAAAACAAGAAATTGCACCGGAATCAGAGAATATGGCTGTACATAATCAAATAATCAAAAAAAACACCCATCGCCACACTTGACATTTGTGCCGTGGGTTCATCATTGATCCGTCGCGACATTTCCATGCTTCAGAGAACTCCTAAACGTCAACGAGACATCTCGTTTCGTAGCCTGTTCTAGAAGGCCTGGCTAGCCGGCGATACTCGAACAAGAGCTCTAACTATCTTCATCTAGCTCTCCCTTTAACTCTTGACCTATCCACCACTACGTTGATCTAGCATCCGCAACCTCCAAACCTGGCTCAGGCTTAAAGTTAGCCTTAGCTTTGCTCAGGCCTAAGCCTTAGCATCGACTAGACAAGTCAAAGACAAGCTGCTGGCAGGACAGCAGCTCATCTTGGACAATTCACAACCCCGTCAAAGTACGCTAAAATTATTCCTAGACTTGTCCATACCTGGTTCAGTCCTCAAAATTCACCCTAGACTTGCCCAAGCTAGCATAGACTCGTAAACAAGTCCCATCCTGCAAGCCACCCTCCGGGCTCAAGCCTTTTAGCCAATCTTGATTACTCTATAGCCTATAAGGAGCCTGGAACGGAGCAGCCCTGATCTCAGGTCTTCTAAACTCGTTCCTTTATTTGCTCACCTTTCGATTCTGCAGCGGGATGATGGCTCGATATTTTGACGGCGCGTGAACGTCGGCCATCACCAATTGCACATAGTGTTTGGGTCGAACCACCAAGCACCAGTTCTGCAATTTTTTCGATTCAATCTAGCTTCTAGTTTTCTGGTTTTAATTTCAACTTCAACTTCAACTACAACCATGACTTCTACTTCTACTTTAATTCTACTTCAATAACAATAACAACTTCTACTTCAGCTACACCTACAACTACAATCTCTACTTCAACTTCTAGTCCAGCTACAACTTCTACTTCCACTTCGACTCCAACTTCTAGGTCTACTTCTACTTCAACCTCGACTTCAACTTCAAACAACTCACATTCGCATAAACAAGAACTCATATTCGCATAACTTCAACTTCTAATTCTAATTCTACGTCTACTTCAACTACAACTACAACTTCTACCTTCTACTTCTACTTCGATTCAATCTAGCTTCTAGTTTTCTGGTTTTAATTTCAACTACAACTATAACTACGACTTCTACTTCTACTTCTAATTCTACTTCAATAACAATTACAACTTCTACGTCTACTTCGACTACAACTTCTACCTCTACTTCAATTCTATAACTTCTACTTCTACTCCAACTCGAAACAACTCACATTCGCATAAGCAAGGAAAAACATTTGTTCGGAGGTGAAATTCTGGAAACCAGGAAGCGCCGGCTCGTCTTCAGTCGCCAAGCTTTGTATGCCTGAAAAGAGTACGGTAGATTTGGGTGCAGCATAGAAAAACCGACATTGAACGCGGTTTTCACTCCCCCATTGCCCGCGATGTTCTCGCTGAGACTCAGCCGGCCGTTCAATCGGATCTTCGCCTCTTTGATCTGGATTTTCTTTTAGATTTCAGCGCTTGAGCTTAGGCTTAGGCCAGTTGAGGCTTAGGGCGCTTCGTAAGTCTAAGCCCTAGGCCTAGCCAAAGCTTGAGTCAAGGCCTAAGCCTAAGCGTGAAGCCTAAAACCTCAGCCTTAGCCAAAGCCTAAGCCAAAGCCTAAGCCTAAGGCCTAAGCCAAAGCCCAGCCAAAGCCCAGCCAAAGCCTAAGCCTCAGCCTAAACCTAAGCCTAATCCTAAACCTAAAGCCTCAAGCCTAAGCTTTTTAAGGCTAAGGCTTTTGGTTGGGTAAAACCCAACCAATAAAAGATTTATTTGGGTTTGGTCTCAACCCGTTCCAATTACTGATCCCATAAAAGTGATCATGGGGCTGAAATGTCCCAACTTGAACAGCTTCTTTGATCCGATAAAAGTACGGAAATCATAGGGCTGAAATGTTCCAACTTCCACCGTCGCCTCGATTCAATAAAAGTACAGAAATCAATTTGCAAGGATCCCCCACTAGCCCAAACCCAAATAGCCGCCTTTTTTGGGGGAGGGAGGGCTGACTATTTGAGAGGCCTTGAAATATATTGACAATTGATAACGCTTAATACTCGATCTATTAACTTTCACCTCACAATTCACTATGGATCGATCATATAGTAGATGTTAACTGACATCAAAAAACTTCCAGTAACGAGCCCAAACCCAAATAGCCGCCTTTTTTGGGTTCTTGTGTTAATATTTTTGCTAGCTTTAACATGCTCTTTCGGTGATTCATCCGTCCGACCGTCCGCTCAATTTAGTGTTAGATTATGATTTAGTATAAGCTGTTCGAGCCAACGGACCAGTTGAAAGTCAGTTTGAAATGCATAGTTACGAAGTTCCTTTGATGTCCGTATCTATGATGAACCATATGATCGATCTGTACTGAATGACTATTGAAATATAGTCGATATTAAACGACCCCTAAATTTTTTTAGTATGCTTACTTTCGCGTGCTATCAGAATCCTCATTGAGCGTTAGTAATTGTCAAACTATTTTAGGGGCACTCAAGTAGTCAGGCCTCCTATGGTTCATCGTTACTGGAAGTTTTTTGATGTCAGTTAACATCTACTATATGATCGATCCATAGTGAATTGTGAGGTGAAAGTTAATAGATCGAGTATTAAGCGTTATCAATTGTCAATATATTTCAAGGCCTCTCAAATAGTCAGCCCTCCCTCCCCCAAAAAAGGCGGCTATTTGGGTTTGGGCTAGTGGGGGATCCTTGCAAATTGATTTCTGTACTTTTATTGAATCGAGGCGACGGTGGAAGTTGGAACATTTCAGCCCTATGATTTCCGTACTTTTATCGGATCAAAGAAGCTGTTCAAGTTGGGACATTTCAGCCCCATGATCACTTTTATGGGATCAGTAATTGGAACGGGTTGAGACCAAACCCAAATAAATCTTTTATTGGTTGGGTTTTACCCAACCAAAAGCCTTAGCCTTAAAAAGCTTAGGCTTGAGGCTTTAGGTTTAGGATTTCAGGACTTTTATTGGGCTGCGTTAGCAGCCCAAATGTAGTTTTTGAAAATAAAAAATAGAATCAATTTGTGGAATAAAGACTTAGTGCGAGGCTAGCGGCTAGTGCCTATGGCCTGTTGAACCCACAGCGCGTTTGGAAGAACAACATCGGGGTGAAACAATAAAAGGTTGAACTGAAAGCTACTCAAAATTCCTGTAAGTAATAAGATAAATAATAATAACAATTTGTAATCAGAGAAATTGATGATTGGAAAAATAAAAGGTACATTTGATGCTGTGGTTTACATAATATTCTGTTGCACCCACGGCGCGTTTAGAACAACAAAAGGTTGCACTCAATACTACTAAAATCTTCTGCGAGTAATAAGATCAATAATAATAATAATAACAATTAGTAATAAGAAAAATCAATGAATAGTGAAGAGTTCTATTATGGTTTCTGACAGATTTGTGGAGGCTTGTTGGTTCAATTTATGTTCAATGAATGAAAATTATGGCTCGTAACAGGCTCTATTGAGATTTGTAGAAGATATCCTAGGATGGCGTTAGTTAAATCAAGTAAACCGAAGTAAATGTTAGTAACTAAGGACAATTGTGATTCGTTTGTCAAGATTTGTTGAAATTTTATCAGTATAAATGTTGATAAAATTAGTTCATTGGAGATAATGTTGATGACAGTGTCCGTTCTGCGCTAGTTAAATTGCTTAATGCATTAAGCGAAAGTAAACGTTATGAATTTTGTATTGTTTTTTAAATGGAAGGATTGGGGAGCCTCGGCAAACTTAGGAAGGTAGAAGTAATAATGAATTTCGATGTAGTGATGAATGAAAATAGTGTTCTGCGGATGGTACTATTAGTCGTCTGTTAGTTGGTTTACATTTTTACATTGGTTGGGGTGAAGGACCCGGAACGATTTGTGATGCTTTGTAGGAATTTTGTTATTATCAATGTTGATAAATTAATTGACTCGAGAATGTTGATGGAATGTTCGTTTTGTCGTGGCTAGATTGCATAAATTAATAAGAATTTCGGAACCTTAAAAGAATGTTAGACCCCTTAATATGAATGTCAACAAACTCAGCAGAGCAAAAATCGGTCCCTCCGGTCGGCCTGTTCATCGATAAGTCACCCCAAAAGGAGCCAAAGAAGAAATTCACATCACTAGTGCCTCGGGCGAATGGCCGGCAAACCCCGAATTCACTATTCTGACGGGATTTGCAGGCACTTTTCTTGGTAATTGGTTGACAAAACCCCGAATTCACTTTTCTAACAGTGACTATCGGGGTTTGCGGACACGGTCCTTCGTCAATGGCCGGCAAAACCTCGCATTCACTTTCATCAACAGTCAATTCCGAGGTTTGCCGGTACTTTTCCTAGTAAATGACCGGCAAACCCCGAATTCACTTTTCTGAACAATGTGTGCCGGGGTTTGTCGGCGCTTTTCATGATAAATGACCGGCAACCCCGGATTGACTGTTCCTAACTGACAATTCTGGGGTTTACCGCGACTTTTCTCAATAAATGGCTGGCAAAGCTCGAGTTCACTGTTCTGTCGGGATTTGTCGGCAATTTTCTTAGTTCTTAGTGATTTGTAAATTGTAAAATTGCCGGCCAGACCCCGAATTGGCTGTTCTAACAGTGATTCCCGGGGCTTTCCGGCACTTTTCTTAGTAAATGGCGGGCAAAACCTGAATTCACTGTTCTGAGCACTAAATTTCGGGGTTTGCCGGTACTTTTCTTAGTATTATTTATCACCATTTATCAAGTAAACGAAAGTAATTCCAGGGTTTTGCTGGTACTTTACTTAGTAAATGAGCAGCAAGCCCCGAGTTTCTTTGTTCTAACAGTGCTTTCCGGGGTTTGCCAGCACGGCAAAATCCTTTTTAACTGATTTTCGGTACCCAGCTCGACCTATTTCGACGTTTCACGATGTGGACAAAAAAACGCCTATGCCTTAGCCTTAGCTCCGGGCTCATCCCAAACCCAAATAGACTTAGTGCGAGGCGCGAGGCGCTAGCCGCTAGCTTTCGCACTAAGTCCAAGCCCAATTCGGCTAGCCAATATCTAAGCGAAAAGTACAAACCCATCATGACATATATTTCACTAAAGAAACGCAAATCCGTCAGAGACGCTCCACGGTAAAACAAAGATCCACGATACCAATGAAAATGAACGAGGACCGAATTTCATTCTATTCGGAACAGAATTGAATCTTTCTGGACCGTTTCAATGTGTTTGCTGAGGTATTCACGTGAATGGGTATATCCATGAAAAGAGCCTATATAGCTGAAAATTTCTCTTTTGAAGGCATTTCTACTAATTTCTTTTCTAAAGCGTCTAAACCATTTCATGGTCTTTGGAGCCGATTTTGCTTAGCTTAGACCAAAGGATTGTGTCAGCAACATCAATTAAGATTCGCTAAATGTGTTGAAACGTCTTGTTATGGTGCTAACAAATGATTTTGGGTAGGGTGAAGGTAAACTGCGGCAGGTTCAAAGGGCGGTGTCGATAGCATCAGAGGGAAAATTTTTCAGGCCTTAGCTATGTGGCAAGAAAATTTCCGCAGGTGTCAAAACACCCTTCGGCCGTAAGATCAAGGGTAAATGGCGGCAAGATCAAAGGTGAGTGGCGGCAAGATCAAAGAGAAATGGCGCCACGTTCGAAGGCGGTGTCGGCAAGCCCATGGAAAATTTCTTCAGCATTTCAAAACCTTCGTAGGGTCTTGCGGCGGCAAGATCAAAGGTAAATAGCGGCAAGATGAAAGGAAAATGGCTGTAAGATCAAAGGCGGTGTCGGCAACATCAAAGGAAAAAATTTTTGCAGCCTTAACTATGGGCCAAAAAAAAAATTTTTTCTAACTGCTTTGGGAGACTCAGCTGGACCTATCTCGACGTTTTAGGCTATGTCAAAAAAATCCCAAAATCGACATGTCAGATCTCAAATTCCGGACATGAGATCGACCTGAAAATTTGCCAGGATGCTCCTATGGGGGGCGCATGCACAACACCAAAAGGGTGTCCCTTAGCTCCCAGAACTCGCTGAGATCCAAAAAATGGGGGTTCAGCCCAAACCCAAATAGACTTAGTGCTAGGCGCTAGCCGCTAGCCTACGCACTAAGTCCATTTAAAATTTATTTAAAATTTATTTGCTATTTTCTAACCTTACGATACCAGTAATGACACTCGTAATGCCTTTATAGAGAGTGTCCCAGGATTTTGGAGACAAGAGCGATCAATAAAGAAAAAAGAAAAATTTTAACTCCATAACGTTCATTGATATTTAAAAGCTATAGATCAACAATCTAATTCGAATCAGTCTTCCTCGCCGTTGCTAAAGGCCTGCAAACTGCAAACGTTGGGAAAAGCGTTCACGGTGGCGAACAAGTGAACAATTGATGGAAATTTACAGAATCCGGCAAAAGTTCTGACACTTTTTCTGTAAGCAGTAATTTTTTTGGCTTCAAAAACCCGTGAATTTCAAAAAACTAACGCCGGATTCTAAAAATTTAGGTAGTTTCTCCCCAATATAGCCATTTTCATAAAAAGATCTCAACTCTCAACAACTTTTTGACGAGAATTTTTTATATTCCGGTCTGGTCGCTGAAGATTTTTGCGAAAGTTGACTTAAACTTTGCAGAATGAATTTTTTTCCAAAAACTGCTTTTACCATTTGATAGATCTGAGCTTTTTCTTGAAAACAAGCCACAAAAAAAACTTTATATCTCAAAAACGAAAGATTTTCAAGCGATTCTACGAAAGGCACCCAAATCTCAACAGCAAAAAAAAGTGCTGTAACGACCTTTAAACATCCTCATCAAAACGTTGTTTAGATGGCAATTTTTGTGTAAAAAGTATATTAGACGGTAAAAATATCTATCTATCTGAATTTTGAAAAACTAACACCGGATTATGAAAATTCAGATAGATAGATATTTTTTTTTTTTTTTTATAGATCCGTTTTCAATTTAACCTTCTTGTTAGTGATTTATTTTATTGTAACTTCAATGTTGGAAAACGGGTGGGAGGGGGAACCCCGTATCCCCATTCTGGTTGCTGGATATAACTGAGATGAGAGATAGGGAAAGCATAATTGAAGAGCACATGAATCTCTTCACGAACAAGATAAAAATCAGTCAAAAGAGAAAGGAAAATTATAAAAAATTTCTTTGTGTGCAAATTGCGGGAGGAGGTAAAACTAATTGATGCCTAACTGTACCAAATGGTTGAGAGTATAACCCATAAGTGCCAATTAACGCAAAGCATCAAGTGTGGAAAATTTGCTTCTTTTTTGTTGCAGAAGTTGTGTGCTCTTGTCAACCTAAAATAGATAGAATACTAAATATAAAAATTACTTTGTTAAAAGTGTTGAAATGTACTTGGAAAAAGTGCCACAAACGGAGAGATTCATCAGCGCTGGCACTAATTACGTATTGACCACAAGGAGACATCGACAATCCCAAAATACGGTCAATGTGCCCTGAAACAATAAAAGCTACTTTGCATAAACCCATATAAACCAGCAATATTGGCGACCTCAGCATAAGAAGGATGTTTGAAGATTTTGATGCAGTTCGAAGTTCGCCCAAGTCCGACAATCATCTCGTTATAGTCTTTATTGAATCGAATGGCTGTGACCTAAAAACACTAGCTCACTCTTGAATGAAACACTTGAATTACCTGTGATCCAACTTTCAAGGTTTTTGTCAGCGCGCCTGTTTGGGTATCCCATAAGCACACATGAGGATCATCCTGTCCACCGCCGGTTGCCAGTAAACCTCTCTCGAAGTCTGAGAATCGGACGGCCTTTACAGAAGCCGTGTCGTCACTCAAAGAAAAAGCGGGTGACTAAACAATTGGTTTATTTTTTTGTGAAAAAATCAAACCTGATTACGTGTGTTGACAAATTGGGCATCCCAAATGTTGACGAGATTGGCCCCTCCACCTGTGGCCAATTGAGATCCATCGATTGACCAATGAATGCCACAAACTAGCTGTGAATCCCCATCAAGCACACTAAAATATCATACTTTAATTCTTGCCGTTTTCCGCTCCATAATATAGCACCCTCTACCCTTATTAGTATGAAGCTAGGAGTGGGCTAGTAGAGATTAGTTTGTAGAAGCCAGTATGGCATCATTAGAGGATTAGAGAACCCGAGGCTCAAAATAACTTACCCAACAACCGAATTTCTTATTCGGACGGCGTGAGGAATGACTTGACCACTTTTGTATCCAATCCACAAAATATGATCTTTCCAGACCATGCAGGTGGCTCTACTAACACACTCGGCATCGAGTTTTCGCAATTTCTTATTTTTAGTAGGATCGTAGAGCTAAACAATAAACATCAATCTAAACTTAGAAGGTACTTTTACTTTAACCCTTTCAGTATCGCCACCAACGGCAAAACACCTTCCATCGACTGCCCATTTTATCGCAGTTATAAGATCCGTATCCTCGTTTGCTTCAGCAAGAAGCTAAAGATGAGGTGAATATACCGAATACAACTTGAATTAACCCCAACTTCTCCAGTGTCGGGATTCCATAGATAGACTTCGTATCTAGAACAACTATAATAAGCAGACTAGCATTAACCTTTCAGCAGAAGATGAAATTTGTCTCGACGCTTTCTTTACAGTCGATGATGGTTGAACACAAGTCGTGTAGAGCACCTTTGCATTCATGTGACCGACAGGAGGCAAGGGAGCATCGTTCTTTCGAAAAGCAAGAATTCGATCTTCTTCTTCTGCATCAGACATTTCAGTAGAAGATTTTGCTAAAATACAATTTAACATTTTAAAAATAATAAACAGCTCACTTCGCATCATCTTCATAAATTTTATCCTGTCGAGTTCTTCCTTTGACGGACTGCAAGGAGCACTTTTGACGTGTTCAGAGTTTGATTCTGAAAAAGAGCCATTTGTCAACAATGCCTAAACCCGAATACAAACAAGATGGATAAAGATTTTCTGTGAAGGGGTTGAATACCAAAAATATAGTTTTTGAGACTAAATATTTGAATTTCTTTGCGACGCGCTCCTTTCCGCATTAACGCAAAGGGTATTTCTCTCTGTGCTTTCAAATAGTCAATTTCAGTCAAATTCTTTACTTAAGAGTTGACGATGCTTTTTTTGTGTTTTTATTTGCTTTATTTGATTCCGTAATTTTGCTATTTTCAGCCAATCGATCAATGGCTAATGAAGGAAATGAGTGCATTCGAGGCAAAAGCATTGTCAAGCCGATAGTCTATGGAAATACTGCAGAAGCTTTTGGTTATAAGAGGTAAATTTTGAGGTCATTAAAAAGAACATTTGCGTAATTTTATCGAAATTTTTCTGAATTTTATTTTTAGGGAAAGTGACGGCGATACGCACAAAAGGGCAGTGTTTGTTCGTCCCTACTTGAATGAGGATGGCTCTCGGTAGACACGTAAAGTTCAATTCAAACTCCACGAAAGCTATGCCAATTCTACGCGAGGTCTGCTTCTTTTTTCTATCAATGAAAGTTAATTTGAGAATTTAGTAGTGGAGCAACCACCATTTGAAGTCACGGAGACGGGCTGGGTGAATTTGAAGTACAATGCGAATTTATTTTGCCGACCAAAACAAAAACCAGTCGGTGTCCAAGTCTTTTTCACAAACTGAGTTTCAAATTTAGGTAACCGCTTTTCATTACCTTCGATTATTTCAACCAGTGTTCAATGTCAGTGGAGGTACCGTCGTCGCTGCCGAATTTTACGATGAAATTGTAATGTGTTATTTTTTGCATTTTTCAATATTTTTAGGTTTTTCAAGACCCTACCACAATGATGTACAAAATATTGACGACGGGCGACGCAAAAAAACACGATCCACGGATGTTTTATCACGACTGTAAGTACTTGAAAAATTTTTATCCATTTGATTTTCTTTAGTAATAGCGAGACGAAAAAAGAGGGTTGATGCCGTGACGATGGCTAAACAAGAAATTGCAAAAGAAATCGAGGAATCAAAAGAAAACTATAATTTAGGCTGAGAGTGGGGGAAAGCGGTCTGGCAACACCAAATGTATCATTTTCAGTTGGCTAAACATTAATGATTGCTTTTAAACTCACGGGTATTTTTCTATTGTTGAAGTTTCTCACTTTTGTACTGAATAAAATTAATCAGTTATGCCGACAACCTTAAACTTTGAAATACGTCTAGTACAGCTTATCAATCAGCATAAGTTCAAAATTTGCAAATAGACTTTTAAAAGGACACTTTCGAATGCACTCAACACTAATCTGTTGAGTAAGATTTGGACTGTCTGACAGAGTTTTGCTAATATCACGAATTTCTTTGGAAAAGCTAAATTAAAGTATATTCTGCTTTTTAGGGAGGCAAAAAAGTTCAGAAGCAAAGTAGCTTCAAGTGCCTCATTGACCACATTGCGAAACAATCATTGTTCTTTTTGTTGTCATTTTTTCACTATAAATGCTCATTTTCCCCTCTAGGTTTCGACATTTCTTATTGCTTATTCATAATGAGACTCATATTAAGTAAGTGCAACAAACACGATCTATTTCGTTATTGTGCTTAGTAGTATACAGGCACCATTTCCAGGATAGCCCATTGCCCTAATTTCCACATCTCGTCGTTTAAATCCTTTTTCATTAAAAAACCACTATGATTCGATGGAATTTTTCAATGCAGGGATTAGGAAAAATCAAACCAAAACTTTATTCAATAGAAAAATTACATGGAATGGTAGCACAAATGGCTTTAAGAACATCCTTCTGAGCAGTGGTATAACCCTGACCTGAGATCTCAAGTCCATTGCTCGAGGCAGGTGATTGTACATTGGCGGCAGCATTCTGGAGAATCTCGTCCACTATCTTTGCAACTCGCTGAGCAGTCGATCGCGGAAAGTATGAGCGAACTTCCTTGGAGAACTTGCTATCATTATCGAAGATCCATTTCCATCGGTCGTGTCGAGCACCGTCTTTCACGTCAAGCGGCATTTTCCGTATAGCGTCATTTCGCTTTTCTCTAAAATTTAAAAAATTGCAAATCATATAGAATTTAAATCTATCTGCTAAAGCCTTAAAAGTTAACCTATAACAACTCCAATGGCAAATTTCTCATAGCTTCTAGAAAGAAGCATGAGTTTAGTAGGACTTAGACTATAGTATTCGAAACAGTAATCGGAAAAATGCACAAACTCTTCAAGCCACTTGATAACACCTTTGGCACTCATCATTGATTGGAATCGAAGGACTTTATCGTTAACATGTTTCTAGAATATCGGGATTTTACGGAAAATTCATGCTATTAGAGAACATACCAATTCTCTTTCTAGCTTTTCATTCTTCGCAGCTGCTTCTGTCAGCTCCGAGCGATTCGTTTCCATCTCTTCGTGCGACTCCTTCAGTTCGTTTTCCGTCTTCTGACAGAGTTTTTCCATATTCAGATACCTCTTCTGCCAATCGACTTCATCACTAAAAAACGATAACATACAATAGATTATATTATTTAAATACCTTTCTTCGTCCGAACTATCGTTTTTCTTCCTCTTGGACGACATGGTGAGGTTACCTGAAACGATTAGCAATAAGAAAGGAAGCGAATACTAGAGTTAAAGTTACTATATATAAATGAACCAAGTTGTAGAAATAAAAAATATCAGATTCGGAGCCGTTAAGTCTAAGCTCTATAGAATTCATCATAAAAATGAGAATTTATTTAATAAAAATCATGACGCCAAAACAAAAAGTGCGGTTGGGAAAAATTATGAGGCTTTGAGGAAAAATGATTTTTCCGAAAAAATATTGACTAGCGACCGTACTGGTGGGTATACTTTTAAAGTAAAAGAACAAGTATAGACATTAATCAGGGCAATTGAATGAAAACGAGTGCAGCCAAATCTGTCAAATGAGCGGCGAGAAAAACGCAAAAAAACCTAATTTGCCTCTGGCAATTGGGACACTTGTGGGCGGTACTTTAAAAGTATACTGGTGGGTATGGTGCAAAACTGTCTTTTTTTGATTTTTGGCATAAAATTAACATTGAGATTTGAGTGCACCAGATGCGGTGTGTTTACGGATTTTTGCGTACAAAGTACATGGGAAAGAGATTAATTTGAAAAAGCGAAAGTGAACCATTGTTGAAAAAATTGTTTATATCTCATCTAAACGAGGTCAATCATCAGCTATTTTATCGTTTAAATTCGACTCCATTAAGAACTTTTCACTCCAAATGACACTTGTGACTGATTAGGATAGGGAAATACCACTATTGAGCAATGTTTAGCTAATTAGTAGTAGTTAATAAGGAGTCAAGCCAACTTTTTGGCCCGACCTTGCTGTACAATTTCAAAAACCAATGACTATTTTAGGTAATTTACAAAAGTACAAGAGTACAAAAGGCTGTACCAAAGTTTACAAGCCTAAAACTATTACCTAACTTTAAAAAAATCGGATTAACGATAAGAAAACGAGAAAACAGGCAACAAAACCCGTCGATTACCCAAGGTCTTTTATAGACTTTGAATTTTTATCAGACTGCCTGGTTCCACTTGGCTGACTCCACCCCTATCCAAAAATCTGGAATTTCTTCCATAATTCTATACAGTAACATCAACTATAAAGAATTTTTATTTTTCTTCCAATCTCTCAAAACCCATATAAAATTGCCGAGATCACAAAAAACAATAAATCAAATTGCCCAACAAAATAGCAGGAAACAAAAGAAAATCAACCGATAAAAGAACTTATTTTTAAAAAATAAACTAGAATCACAATTCTTCTTATTTCACTTTTTTCAATGTTCAATTCTTGCTGGTGTTCTCACCTGTATCCTCACCATTGCATTCGCTTCACTTTTCCAAGTTTATCGACGCTCTGAATCACCAAATTCGACGATAAAATCGACAGAGCAATTCTAAAAACAGCTTTAATGAAAATTTCAGGTAAATAAATGAGTCAAGTTTTTTAAGTTACGATAAAATCGAATACAGCTTTGATTTTTTACAGTTCATATCAAACAGGAACCCACTTGGTTAAATTGAAGCAAGAAATTCGCGTTGAAATAATCCTCTTCTTTGAGATTGACCGTTTGCGATTGCTCGTAATCGTTCTAAAAGTAGATTTTAATTTCAAGACGGTTTATTTCATTGACATTATAGATCTAAACGCATTAAAGAAGAATATAAAAATCAAACCCCAACTGACGCAGCAAACTGCACAATGACTGTGACGATGACGGTCTCAATTGGAACGATCGGTCCCTTTGTCAAGAGCAAACCGTTAAAAAATCGATAAGCTATTGTCAAGCCCAAGTCATAATAATATCAGTTTCAATCCGTACAAACAAACCTTAAATAAATCGGCGAAGCGTGATACTCTCCAGAAGTCTCAGGCGTCACGGATAACTAAATTTGTAAATTTAGATTGGCTTAAACTTAAATTTACCCACCTTAACCTCAAATTGACCCTTCTGATAGAAAAGATATTTGGGCATTCCCAATCGATGCATACACAAAGACTTCGCGACGGTCATCAAATGATTGATTGACTAAAATGAAATGAAAATCGATGATGAAAAAGCAAACATACTTGCTCATTTACTCGATGTGTTTCGCTCGTTTGTACCCTTGTCAAAATTTCAAAAGTCTTTTTTGGCCCTTTCCAACAATTGCCGTTGTCGAAATCTCACCTAACACGTCGAGTCCAATAAAGGGATCCTCACAGAACTAAAATGTTAAAATGAATTGATTTGAGGTAGTTACCTACCTCAAAGTTATTAACCACTAGTTTATAAACATTTGACTCACGCAGGTTCTTCATTTGATATTATCGCTTGAAGACCATAGTTGAGTAATGAAGCCGTAGAACCAAGCATATGAAAGGCATCTAATGATCTAAAGAAAAGATAGAAAAGAGCATTACAAAACTTCCAAAGCTTATGATCATGTAAAATTTCGTTTCCCACCTAGTATTCGCAGCAAAACACATTTTCGAGAGCGATCCCCACATTTCGACAGCAGAACCGTCACGCCTCTGAGCAACTTTCAACTAAAGTCAACATTTTTGCTTGGTAGATTTGCTTCATAAACAAACCACTTGTAGCGCTTTCTCACACGCTTTCTCCAAGTGGCTTTCCAGTCATCCTTGTCGTATTGTCTGGGAAGTCTAAAATTTAAGAACTTGGAAATTGTAGAAAATTTAAATCTATTTTCCAAGGCCTTAAACTTAAAAGTTTAAATCTTAAACTGAACCAAACTAAACTAAAAAAGTAATCAGAAAATAAGCTCACATGTCTTCGAATGCTTCTATGACTGCTCTCGCGGCCAGGACTGATTCGAGCTCCTTGTACTTCGCCTTAAATTGTTCGTAGAATACTCACACTTTATCAAGAATTTATAATATTAAAGAACATACACATTCAATGGATAGAAGATCCTTCTCGTCACGGATTTCCTCCAGTTCTCCTTCTAAAGCTGCAATTCGGCGATCGTTTTCCTCCGCCTTTTTCAGCTTTTCCTCCGCCTCTTTTAGCTTGTTCTCCAGCACTTTCAGCTGCTCACCGGGATCAGTTTCATGGCTAAAACAATAGCATATATAATAAGTTATATTATTTAAATACCTTCCCGAACGCTTGCGCTTGCGAGGAGACGACGCCTGATGGTATCCACCTGAAAATTTAACCATACATATAGGATGTCCAAAAAAGTAACTTTGTATTAATTTCTAAAAAGCTTTAAGTGGCTCAAAGTGATAGGTATGGTGCAAAAATGTTGGAGCGGAGGGCAACTATTTTCTCTTCCACTTTTTTGAAGTAGTTTTATTCGTAGATTCCGCGAAACACAACGAGCTATTGGGAAAATGCGTTTTAGTTTCAGGGTTCCAAAGTGCGCGCTCATACAGTGTACTTCACTATATGGAACTCAAGCTATCGACTATTGGGGCACTTTTCAAGTTCAAAACTAGAGCCAAAACCATTTTTAACCACTAACATATTGTAAATATTCAATTCCTAACTTCAATTGATTGGTAGAGGCAAAACAAATTGCAAAATATTTTCCCAGATTGATCGATTTTTGATTCAGGTCCTGGACATGGTCGAAGTTTGAAAAAAAATATTTTTTATTTTGTTCCAATTTGATCAAAAACGTTATCAGCAGATGAAACTATCCCAGAAGAAATGCTTTTGGCTTCGAAAAATGTTTTGAGCTACCATTTTTTAGACCTCTTCCCTACACACTGCTAGACATAATTTTTTTTTTTTGGTATCAAAATCATCTTTGCACACGTCCACACAAAAGTTATCGGTTTTGAGGGCGCAATCTTTCGACCACGCTGCGAACGAACCACCGAAAGTTGGTCGCGGCGAGCGAGTTGATGGTAAAAGTGCGGTTTTTTCGATAAAAGGCGATTTTAAAAATCGAGTCAGACGGATTTCGATAATTTCTTTACCATTCGATTCAGCACAATTTTCTGCGTCAAATGGATATTCAAACGTGAAATTCTGATAGTGAACGTTTTTTTACCTTATTTCGCGCTGATGTGAGCTGGGCCTTGCGAAGATTTTTTTCTTTTTACTGGCCCGGCAAATATTGAAAATACCGAGTCGATAGTCACTTTTTTTCGGGTCTCGAAAACTTTTCTAACGGGTCTATAACTCCCTTTTTCGAGTCCATAACTTTCTTTTTCTGGTCCCGAATAATTTTCCTGATAGATTTTCCCTTTGTTTTTACCGACTCGCTAAAGGGCTTTCGGAACCCGAAAACCCCAATTGGTACCACCCCTGAATAAAGTCTACTATCGTAAAGCGGTGGTTAATGCTGAGAATCTTTATTATAAAAAAATCACCCATTCTCTCTACTTTAATGTGATACCCAAGCACGCAAAAACATTTATCTGGGCGCCGGGATATGAGCGGTTCTTTAAATGTAAGCTTCGATTAAGCGACGTTCCTGTAGGGGGGCTACCATTACAGCTTTTACGGAATACAAAAGGTTTGGTAATTGATTTAAGCTTCGGATAAATTTCTAAACTTGAGAAAGTTTTGCTAGAATTGTCTTACACTTTGAATACATTGATTTCCTTTCTTTCAATTTTTACATCCAACGCTGTCAATTGACATTTAATCGCTATTTTACAGGAAAGATGATCGGAGAGAAATCATTATTCATACATACAATTTGCTGCATTCTATGTCTGGTCAGTTTTCTTTGTTTTTTCAATTTTAAATTTCATATTAAATCAAAACTTTCTACTGGCATTGTGGTGTCAGATTGTAGTTAATATATGAGCCGGGATTTTTAGCCACTATTTTTTTTCCAAATCACTAGAGTAATTTTTTGCGTAGATTCCGAAATAAACAACGAGAGCTTGAGAAAAGCGTTTTAAGCGTTTTAAGCCGAGTTTCGGGGCTGCAAAGCGCGCGCTCCAACGGTGTGGTGAGAGGGATACATACACTGCAGGACATAATTTTAGGTTCACCTCATTTTTGTGATTTTTCGTTAGATAAGATTCCTGTTTCTAATTCGTAAAAGACCCATTTAGAAACTGGAAAAATCACAAAAAGTGAGGTGAAGCTAAAATTATGTCTAGCAGTGTGTAGGGAAGAGGTCTAAAAAATGGTAGCTCAAAACATTTTTCGAAGCCAAAAGCATTTCTTCGCTCTACCAATCAATTGAAGTTAGGAATTGAATATTTACAATATGTTAGTGGTTAAAAATGGTTTTGGCTCTAGTTTCGAACTTGAAAAGTGCCCCAATAGTCGATAGCTTGAGTTCCATATAGTGAAGTACACTGTATGAGCGCGCACTTTGGAACCCGGAAACTAAAACGCATTTTCCCAATAGCTCGTTGTGTTTTGCGGAATCTACGAATAAAACTACTTCAAAAAAGTGGAAGAGAAAATAGTTGCCCTCCGCTCCAACATTTTTGCACCATACCTATCACTTTGAGCCACTTAAAACTTTTTAGAAATTAATACAAAGTTACTTTTTTGGACATCCTATATGTATGGTTAAATTTTCAGGTGGAAACAATCAGGCGCCGTCTCCTTGCAAGCGCAAGCGTTCGGGAAGGTATTTAAATAATATAATTTATTATATATGCTATTGTTTTAGCTATGGAGCTGACAGGTATCACGAGCTGCAGAACAAGCTGAAAGAGGCGGAGAAAAAGACGGAGGAAAAGGATCGCCGAATTGAAGTTTTAAAAAGAGAACTGACGGAAATCCGTGACGAGAAGGATCTTCTATCCATTGAATGTGTATGTTCTTTAATATTATAAATTCTTGATAAAGTGTGAGTATTCTACGAACAATTTAAGGTGAACTACAGGGAGCTCCAATGAGTCCTGGCAGCGAGAGCAGTAATAGAAGTATTCGAGAAAATGTGAGCTTATTTTCTGATTACTTTTTTAGTTTAGTTTGGTTCAGTTTAAGATTTAAAGTTTTAAGTTTAAGGCCTTGGAAAATAGATTTAAATTTTCTACAATTTCCAAGTTCTTAAATTTTAGACTTCCCAGCCGATGCAACAAGAATGTCTGGAAGGCCATTTGGAGAATAGGTAAGTACGACGAGATCATCAATGGTTTTCCTTGCCCTTGCCCTCCTTCGACTCGGGCCTGCCGCCACCGGAAGCCGCACCCGAACCACATCGCTTTTATGGCCGCAGCCCAAGGTCACTTTTTGTCGGCTCTCCCTAGAGTAGTTATATCGCAATACCCACCCTTGATGAGAAACCTTTTTCAAAGACTTTCCGATAGAATTCATCATTTTGACGGATATTGGGATAGGACAAACCCGAACCCGGTTTTGATCTGTACAAATTTTTTTGCGCTTGAAGAGCGGTGCTTGTTGAAGGCCATTTGTGATACGTTAGGATATAATTATACAGAATTATAGAGTGATTCCTTCACTCCACCCTGTTACTCGTACTTCTTGCTCTGACTCGATTCGGTTTCACTCGTTGATTTTTGTCACTCATTGGTTTATGCTCAATTTTGACTGTGAAATTTTTCTACTTTTATCGTTCTTGCGGCAATTTTATGTTTATTATACTAGCATTCACTCTTGTTTTTGTGGTTTCGGCTTTTGAAAAAAATAAATTTTGTACTTACACCTTTATCTGTTTAAAGTTTATGATGAACTCTTGGTTTCTTTTTAACAACTCCTAGGGGGAAAAGTTGTTGGTATTTAAAGTAAACCTTGCAGTAAGCCTTGCAAGCGCAAGCGTTCGGGAAGGTATTTAAATAATATAATTTATTATATATGCTATTGTTTTAGCTATGGAGCTGATCTTGGCGACAGGGATCACCAGCTGGAAGTGCTGGAGAACAAGCTAAAAGAGGCGGAGGAAAAGGATCACCGATTTGAAGATTTAGAAGGAGAACTGGAGGAAATCCGTGACGAGAAGGATCTTCTATCCATTGAATGTGTATGTTCTTTAATATTATAAATTCTTGATAAAGTGTGAGTATTCTACGAACAATTTAAGGCGAAGTACAAGGAGCTCGAATCAGTCCTGGCAGCGAGAGCAGTCATAGAAGCATTCGAAGACATGTGAGCTTATTTTCTGATTACTTTTTTAGTTTAGTTTGGTTCAGTTTAAGATTTAAATTTTCTACAATTTCCAAGTTCTTAAATTTTAGACTTCCCAGACAATACGACAAGGATGACTGGAAAGCCACTTGGAGAAAGCGTGTGAGAAAGCGCTACAAGTGGTTTGTTTATGAAGCAAATCTACCAAGCAAAAATGTTGACTTTAGTTGAAAGTTGCTCAGAGGCGTGACGGTTCTGCTGTCGAAATGTGGGGATCGCTCTCGAAAATGTGTTTTGCTGCGAATACTAGGTGGGAAACGAAATTTTACATGATCATAAGCTTTGGAAGTTTTGTAATGCTCTTTTCTATCTTTTTCTTTAGATCATTAGATGCCTTTCATATACTTGGTTCTACGGCTTCATTACTCAACTATGGTCTTCAAGCGATAATATCAAATGAAGAACCTGCGTGAGTCAAATGTTTATAAACTAGTGGTTAATAACTTTGAGGTAGGTAACTACCTCAAATCAATTCATTTTAACATTTTAGTTCTGTGAGGATCCCTTTATTGGACTCGACGTGTTAGGTGAGATTTCGACAACGGCAATTGTTGGAATGGGCAAAAACGACTTTTGAAATTTTGACAAGGGTACAAACGAGCGAAACACATCGAGTAAATGAGCAAGTATGTTTGCTTTTTCATCATCGATTTTCATTTCATTTTAGTCAATCAATCATTTGATGACCGTCGCGAAGTCTTTGTGTATGCATCGATTGGGAATGCCCAAATATCTTTTCTATCAGAAGTGTCAATTTGAGGTTAAGGTGGGTAAATTTAAGTTTAAGCCAATCTAAATTTACAAATTTAGTTATCCGTGACGCCTGGGACTTCTGGAGAGTATCACGCTTCGCCGAACACTCCAATTCCATTTAAGGTTTGTTTGTACGGATTGAAACTGATATTATTATGACTTGGGCTTGACAATAGCTTATCGATTCTATTTTTTAACGGTTTGCTCTTGACAAAGGGACCGATCGTTCCAATTGGAAACTTGGAAAAGTGAAGCGAATGCAATGATGAGGATACAGGTGAGAACACCAGCAAGAATTGAACATTGAAAAAAAGTGAAATAAGAAGAATTATGATTCTAGTTTATTTTTTAAAAATGAGTTCTTCTATCGGTTGATTTGCTTTTGTTTCCTGTTATTTTGTTGGGCAATTTGATTCTTTGTTTTTTGTGATCTCGGCAATTTTATATGGGTTTTGAGAGATTGGAAGAAAAATAAAAATTCTTTATAGTTGATGTTACTGTATAGAATTATGGAAGAAATTCCAGATTTTTGGATAGGGGTGGAGTCAGCCAAGTGGAACCAGGCAGTCTGATAAAAATTCAAAGTCTATAAAAGACCTTGGGTAATCGACGGGTTTTGTTGCCTGTTTTCTCGTTTTCTTATCGTTAATCCGATTTTTTTAAAGTTAGGTAATAGTTTTAGGCTTGTAAACTTTGGTACAGCCTTTTGTACTCTTGTACTTTTGTAAATTACCTAAAATAGTCATTGGTTTTTGAAATTGTACAGCAAGGTCGGGCCAAAAAGTTGGCTTGACTCCTTATTAACTACTACTAATTAGCTAAACATTGCTCAATAGTGGTATTTCCCTATCCTAATCAGTCACAAGTGTCATTTGGAGTGAAAAGTTCTTAATGGAGTCGAATTTAAACGATAAAATAGCTGATGATTGACCTCGTTTAGATGAGATATAAACAATTTTTTCAACAATGGTTCACTTTCGCTTTTTCAAATTAATCTCTTTCCCATGTACTTTGTACGCAAAAATCCGTAAACACACCGCATCTGGTGCACTCAAATCTCAATGTTAATTTTATGCCAAAAATCAAAAAAAGACAGTTTTGCACCATACCCACCAGTATACTTTTAAAGTACCGCCCACAAGTGTCCCAATTGCCAGAGGCAAATTAGGTTTTTTTGCGTTTTTCTCGCCGCTCATTTGACAGATTTGGCTGCACTCGTTTTCATTCAATTGCCCTGATTAATGTCTATACTTGTTCTTTTACTTTAAAAGTATACCCACCAGTACGGTCGCTAGTCAATATTTTTTCGGAAAAATCATTTTTCCTCAAAGCCTCATAATTTTTCCCAACCGCACTTTTTGTTTTGGCGTCATGATTTTTATTAAATAAATTCTCATTTTTATGATGAATTCTATAGAGCTTAGACTTAACGGCTCCGAATCTGATATTTTTTATTTCTACAACTTGGTTCATTTATATATAGTAACTTTAACTCTAGTATTCGCTTCCTTTCTTATTGCTAATCGTTTCAGGTAACCTCACCATGTCGTCCAAGAGGAAGAAAAACGATAGTTCGGACGAAGAAAGGTATTTAAATAATATAATCTATTGTATGTTATCGTTTTTTAGTGATGAAGTCGATTGGCAGAGGAAATATCGAAAGAAGAGTAAGGAGTTTGGCAAGAAGATGATGCGGCTGAGAGAATCGCAGGAAGAGTGTAATATGAAGCGCGGGGAGCTGCATGAAATGTCTTTGAAGAATGATAAGCTGGAATTCCGATTGGTAAGTTCTTTGATACTATAAACTCTTGATAAGATGTCAATTTTCTAGAAACGTGGTAACGGAACACTCCTTCGATCCCAGTCAATGCTGAATGTGAGAGGTGTTATCGAGTTTCTCGAGGGGTTTGTAAACTTATTTTCTGATTACTTTTACAAATATCCAAGTTCTACCAAAGACGTGCTTCTTTCCAAAAGCTAGAAAAGATTTGACATTTGAGCTATTATGGATTCGCTTAACTTTTAAGGCCATATGCATTTGGATTCTTTAGAATTTTCAATTTCTCGAAATTTAGGGAACAGGAAATGCCGGATTCCGTCAGACAGAGTGATCGACACGACCGATGGGAATGGATCTTCGATAATGATAGCAAGTTCTCCAATGAAGTGCGCTCATACTTGCCGCGATCGACTGCTCAGCGAGTTGCGAAGATAGTGGACGAGATTCTCCACAAGGCTGCCGCCAATGCACCATCCTTATGGTTGTCAAAGCTTGTGATCTCAGGTCGGAGTTATACAGCCGATGAACAGAACGTTATTAAAGCAATTTGTGCTACCATTCCTTGTAATTTTTCTATTGAATAAAGTTTTGTTTTGATTTGTCCTCGATTGAAAAATGTCATCAATCCATAGTGTTTTTATAACGAAAAATAACGAGAAAAACAATTTAAACAACGAGATGTGGAAATTAGGGGAATGGGCGGTCCTAGAAATGGTACTTGTATACTACTAAGCACAGATGAAGAGGTGAAAAAGCTCGCCGGCACTCGTTTGCTCAAATCGATGGACGCTGTTAATAGTAGGGAGCAAGTATGAGTTCGAATAGCTAGTTAGCGATCGCTTATACTTTAGATGGCCACTTGGTTCGGAATGGTATACTCGAGGTCTGACATTGCTGAAAAGTCTCGCTACTTCGATCTATTCACTTTGTGCTCGGTAAGTTAGCGATTTGAGTGATAACTGGGTAATCACTTTTTCAGATACCCAATTGAGCTTGATTTTGTGTGCAAATAGTGGGAAACGCACAATGCGCCCGCGTTCGAGAAACTTACCGAGTTGTGCACTCTTCAGCCATTGTTCTGCAAATGGCCAACGTGGAGAAGATTAGGTAGGAGTTTAAATTTTTAAAGAAGTTTTGCTAATTTAATGAAAATTCAAAAGTAACCAATGAAAAGTAACTTTTAGAAGGCGAAGACGTTCAAGGCCCAACAGTGTCTCTGAGTTGATCCCCGGCGTTTTGATGGCCGATGTGGGGCCCGATCCGAAACACGTCCTCAAGCAAATGCAACATGATATTTAGTATTTTTAAAGTTTGCTTTAGTACACAATTTGTCTTTAGGAAGCTGGTCACTGGAAACGGGTATTTGTTGAAAGCAAAGGCGATCTCCTCATTGTCAGAGGTAAATGTTGAAAATGCAGATCAAACTAGATCCCATTACATTATTAGAACTTGTTAAACAATTGACAAGCTCATAAAAGTCATGGGAAAAAGGAAATCACGCCATAAGGTTCAAAACATTTAATTGTTTATGAATCCGATACTCGTGAAACATTCTGCAAAGGTCTATAATTGCGCTTATCACAAAGCTCGAGCTTGTGCAATTCAAGAAGATCATTTTTAGGCCTCGATATCGATTAAATTCGTTCTTTTGATGCTTTCACGACAAGAGGATAAAGGAAATGCGGAGAAACGCTCAAAGTTGACCACTAAAATCCAGAAGAACGTGTTTCAAGTAGCGGGTTTGACTAGTGTTTGAAAATAGTTAAATTTTAGAGTGAATTCTACGATGAATAGACTCGTCGACTCGTTTTTTTCTTGGAGCTACTGTCAGTTTTGACGAAAACTCCAACTTCGCTTTGATTGGTTGACTGGTTGTCGACTCTACGATCCACACAATCACATCAAATTCTGAGGGACTCATTACGACTTCTGACTGCCACTACAAAAGTTTGATCGGTGTGTCTTAATCGATTTGTATTCAGGAAGAAGCGTACATTGCCAAGGATCCGGCATTATCGGTTCGTCCTTGTCGCTCTGGTCACAAAAATTTTGTTTAACAATCTATGAAAATGTGGGTATCGACCGCATACAAATTTTGTTAGCAATTGAAAGTGACGAGTCGCTGACCGCTTCTTTGTGAACGATTGGAAGACAATTGCTGATGACAAGTGTTTATGTGGATGAATTCGTGCAAAAGAGGCCGAGAAAGAATTTAAGACTAAATCAGCGAAAAAGGTTGGCTTAAATAAAATTATTAAATTATTTTTGATCATTCAGAACGCTCAACGTGATTCGGAAGCCGTTTCGGCACAACGCTACTGGATTGCCATGGGAACTAGGACCGATATTGTTTCTGATAAGGTAAATTTTATTTGCAATACAAATTCAATCCATTTATTCCTGGCTCGTCTCATCTCAGAAACGCTGAACGATAGGAAATTGACATTCTCGATGAAAGAAAAGGTGCGAATAAAGCATAGATTTACATTTTTAACCGGAATTTTAATGATTCTTAATTTAGGTATTACATCTTAGAACATTTTCAACATAGAGTCAACAAAATTCGATTTAGACGCTCCCCTGTGCAATGCCAAATTGAAACATGACGAGAACGGAATCGACGAGAAGCAGCTGGATTCATTGATCGAGATTCTCAACGGTTGGACTGGACCAAAGAAAGTCAATAAGGCGGCAGGATTTGCCATTTTACTTAAAAGTCGGTTTTTAGATTGCTCTCTGTCAGAATGCTGCATACACGCTGCGCCTTATTGCCAAGAAATTGCCCATCGATAAGCAACACCCGTCGTTGTTGGTTTTTTGGAGCTTGCTGACTAATCAACCTCAAAACTGTTAACTATAATGATAGATTTCAGTGAGACAGCGAAAAGAAACCACTTGAGACAACAGCACGACGGCCTCGCGTTCGACCGATGTCGTTGAGTGGACGACCGAAAGGAAACGATGCTTTATTGGTGATTGGATGACTCATTTGGATTGTTTAATTTGGAAAACTTCAGGTCTGTACTCTCATTTCGGTGCAACGGATTGTCGACAAATTTGCATCTTTTTTGCGCCACACTTCACGGCGATTCTCCTGCATTTCTCGCGGCTTTCAGCTCGCTTTGTGGATCAAATAACGGAGAAGGTTTGTTGTTAAGCTTAAAACAATTTATTGGATTTATTTTTAGGACGCAAACGCTTCTCTACTTGCCGCAGCCCAAGCTTTACCATCACACCAATCGATCGCTTTAAAGAATACTGTCCAATAGATTTAACAAGCCAATTGGGTACTGATCTTCTATTTTTTTCAGACTTGAGGCCATCAGACGCACTGTTGAAGGTGAAGTTCCGTGTGATTCTCGTTTAACAGCTCAAAACCAGCGAGGTAGAAAAGTTTTATTATTCGGGTTATAGTAAAATTGCTAGTAAAATTTAATCTTGAGTCTGTTGCTAAAGTTAACAATTTTAGAAGTCCCTCTGCGCCCTTTTGCTCATTCTTGGCCGGTTTCTTCGAGGCGCGCAGTTTCCAATGGGTTTTCGCAAGCAGTCAACAATTGATCAAGGAGATCTTCTTGTCGGCGGTGGAATATCGATCAACGATGCGAAAGCCGGAGGTTTTCTAAGAAGATATTCTATCAAATGAAAAATGCTTCATGAGTTCGAGATGACCTCGCCGGTGGAAAGATCCATTTTTGATCCCATATTTTCATCGGTTGATCAATTTGGGGGCAAAAAGCAAAGATGCTTCGAAGTTGCAACACAATGCTTACAGGTGAGTACAACAGATAAGAAAATTAAGTTATCATCAAGTTCCCATTTCATTCAGATTCGGCATCACTTTTCCTAGCACGTAAAAAGGACTTTCTGGATCTGGAAAAGCTGGCCTTTTGGAGAAGCTAGCTCTCTGGATCTAGAGAGGTTGGCTTTCTGAAGAAGCTGACTCTCTGAAGAAGCTGGCTTTCTAGAAAATCTGGCTTAATCTAAAGGGCATTGCGTTCGATCAATTGAAATAAAAAACGACAAAAAAAATGCGCGGGGATGCGGTGGTTTTAAGTTGAGCGTAAAATTTCTCAAATTTCTCTAAATATCTAATTTTAAAATCGTTTTTAAAGGTAAAATTCAAAGCTACCGTACCCCGAAAATGTCTGTGAAATAAAAAGAGTAAACCCAGCTCGTTTAAAAAAGAAAAAGAAAGCCGACTAGAAGTAGGAGAATGGGAAAATTAGCACAAAAACAAGAAATTGCACCGGAATCAGAGAATATGGCTGTACATAATCAAATAATCAAAAAAAACACCCATCGCCACACTTGACATTTGTGCCGTGGGTTCATCATTGATCCGTCGCGACATTTCCATGCTTCAGAGAACTCCTAAACGTCAACGAGACATCTCGTTTCGTAGCCTGTTCTAGAAGGCCTGGCTAGCCGGCGATACTCGAACAAGAGCTCTAACTATCTTCATCTAGCTCTCCCTTTAACTCTTGACCTATCCACCACTACGTTGATCTAGCATCCGCAACCTCCAAACCTGGCTCAGGCTTAAAGTTAGCCTTAGCTTTGCTCAGGCCTAAGCCTTAGCATCGACTAGACAAGTCAAAGACAAGCTGCTGGCAGGACAGCAGCTCATCTTGGACAATTCACAACCCCGTCAAAGTACGCTAAAATTATTCCTAGACTTGTCCATACCTGGTTCAGTCCTCAAAATTCACCCTAGACTTGCCCAAGCTAGCATAGACTCGTAAACAAGTCCCATCCTGCAAGCCACCCTCCGGGCTCAAGCCTTTTAGCCAATCTTGATTACTCTATAGCCTATAAGGAGCCTGGAACGGAGCAGCCCTGATCTCAGGTCTTCTAAACTCGTTCCTTTATTTGCTCACCTTTCGATTCTGCAGCGGGATGATGGCTCGATATTTTGACGGCGCGTGAACGTCGGCCATCACCAATTGCACATAGTGTTTGGGTCGAACCACCAAGCACCAGTTCTGCAATTTTTTCGATTCAATCTAGCTTCTAGTTTTCTGGTTTTAATTTCAACTTCAACTTCAACTACAACCATGACTTCTACTTCTACTTTAATTCTACTTCAATAACAATAACAACTTCTACTTCAGCTACACCTACAACTACAATCTCTACTTCAACTTCTAGTCCAGCTACAACTTCTACTTCCACTTCGACTCCAACTTCTAGGTCTACTTCTACTTCAACCTCGACTTCAACTTCAAACAACTCACATTCGCATAAACAAGAACTCATATTCGCATAACTTCAACTTCTAATTCTAATTCTACGTCTACTTCAACTACAACTACAACTTCTACCTTCTACTTCTACTTCGATTCAATCTAGCTTCTAGTTTTCTGGTTTTAATTTCAACTACAACTATAACTACGACTTCTACTTCTACTTCTAATTCTACTTCAATAACAATTACAACTTCTACGTCTACTTCGACTACAACTTCTACCTCTACTTCAATTCTATAACTTCTACTTCTACTCCAACTCGAAACAACTCACATTCGCATAAGCAAGGAAAAACATTTGTTCGGAGGTGAAATTCTGGAAACCAGGAAGCGCCGGCTCGTCTTCAGTCGCCAAGCTTTGTATGCCTGAAAAGAGTACGGTAGATTTGGGTGCAGCATAGAAAAACCGACATTGAACGCGGTTTTCACTCCCCCATTGCCCGCGATGTTCTCGCTGAGACTCAGCCGGCCGTTCAATCGGATCTTCGCCTCTTTGATCTGGATTTTCTTTTAGATTTCAGCGCTTGAGCTTAGGCTTAGGCCAGTTGAGGCTTAGGGCGCTTCGTAAGTCTAAGCCTTAGGCCTAGCCAAAGCTTCAGTCAAAGCCTAAGCCTAAGCGTGAAGCCTAAAACCTCAGCCTTAGCCAAAGCCTCAGCCAAAGCCTCAGCCAAAGCCTAAGCCTAAGGCCTAAGCCAAAGCCCAGCCAAAGCCTAAGCCTCAGCCTAAACCTAAGCCTAAGCCTGAGTCAAAGCCAAAGCCTCAACCTAAGCCTCAGCCTTCCTCCAAAAAGCCCAACCTCAACAGATCCGTACTGTTCCACGAAGCACTGGGTTTTGTCGGCGAATTTCTGCGCCGTTTCCGCGTCCCACCAATCGTTCAAGTTTCCCCACTCATCATAGCGACCGCCTGATGAAATAAAGGATTGAGTGAAGGAGAAAGTGCGCGTTTAGACACGCATCAAAGGTCACCTTGATCATCAAACGCATGTGAGACTTCGTGTCCAATCACGGCGCCGACCATTCCATACGTGATATAGTTGGGGACACCGATTGTCAAGAATGGGAATTGCGTGATACCGGCCGGAAAGACTAAAATTAGATTTGCTCTGATTTTTCGACAACAACAACAACAAGAACATGCTCTAAAAGAACGACATTTTTTAGATGTGTTAAAAAATAGAGTGACAAGCTCGAATTGAACGACAAGCTTCAATTCAGCGACCTTCTGGATGTCACAGTGTACATTGGAATCCAATTTACGGTGCACTGACTATTCCGTAAAGAACACCAAAATTTTAAGAGTGTTGGGTCATCTGGACGTCACAGCGTACGCTGGAGTCCAATGTACGCTACCCTGACGCAATTTTTTAACCCCACACTAGCCAGGCTTTGCTATGGAGGGCCGTAAATTGTAGTCTACCGTGAAAAGTGCCAAAATTTTGGAAGTATTGGCCCATCTGGATGTCACAACATGCGTTGAACCGTCGCTCAATTGAACGACAAGCTCCCATTAAACGACGTGCTCTTATTGAGCGACAATTTTCGAAATAGAGCCACATCTTTTCTCTAACAGGAGAATCATGGTAACCAAATGATAGTAAATCTCAAAATGTGACGAAGCAGCTCGTGAAATCCAACTCACTCATCTCGTTGTTGTTCGGCGCGTAATAGGCGTCAACCTGTGCCGGACTTTGATACCATGTGCTTCTGTCCAACGGCTCATCCAAACGCTCCAATTCTTCTGAAATTTGCAAAAATTCCCGTATTCCGCAAATCCCAGCCACTCACCTTTGTAACGCTCCAATTTCAGACGGATTGTCAAATGGAGGAGTGGCTCGTTGTGCTCGATCACCTAGAATTGTGAGATTGACTCGATTTCCAGCATCTAGTTAACTCTTCGAATTTAGGGGGAATTAAAGGGGGAAAGGTACTATTGGAGTTATGATCATTGTAAGTATTACTGTGTTGTGCTTAGACTTGATGTAGAAGTTAAACTTTTAAAGGATTTTTTAGCTCACTGCTTACTATTGAAATATGTCTATTTTATGCCCGCCAATGACCGTTTAATGTTGATTTGCATAATCTTTGCGTCAACTCGATTTTATGGGAAATTTTATTCTCAAAAAACTTTCAAAAGCTGGCCAAACTATTTTGCTGTAATTCGTTGCTTGAATACTTTTTTCCGAGAAGAGATACCGTTGCTGATATTCGTGCGAGAAAGATTAAAGCATCAAAGAGGGAGTTCAGGAATTTCGCGACTCCTGAAAGGACGATGACGAGGGTCACTTTTCAAGGGGATGAGGTGATTGAAATAACTGTACTGGTTATTCAATAAAGAACTGGAAGAAGTTAAAAATTGATATTTATTGATTTTTGTCCAGGATATCCGAATTGAGGACTCGATTCGATCAGAGCCGACTCGACCAGCTCGTCTACTTGCTGAAGTTGATGTGAGAAATGGGATACCCGTTTTTGAAGGTTTGACATAAAAGATATTCAATGTACGTAATTGAATACGATCTAATACTTGTTATCATCCATTTTTCGTTTGCTTTGGCTTGGCTCTTGGCTTTTGAGGCTTTTGATCGCTTTGTTTTCAATGTTCTTTACCTTCTCACCTTAAATTTACATATTAAAGTTAGCATCTTGCTAAAATTTATTTATAAAACAAATTTCACAATCATAAAGGTAACGTAATCGTCATTTATTTACTTGTCTAACTTGGGATTCGATGGGTTTCTTGAAGAAGATTTTCGCGAAAAAGGAGAAACAAAGCGATAAAGTGATTGGTTAGTTTATTTATTACACTTTTTACTTACCGTAAATACTGTAATAGTACTCCACCCCCATAATGACAGTGCGGAGTGTTGCGTAGTCTAGCCTTGAACGAGTTTTTCTCGACACTGGTTTATGCTACAATGCGCGCTTAGGTATCAAAAAATAGCTGAAATTCAGGGCTATTTTTTGATACCAAAGACGCACTTTTTGAAAGTACGGGCGCTTTGAAAAAAATGAAATACTAAAAACTTTTGCGACTACGCGACTGTACGAGGGGGTGCGGTACTATTACAGTATTTACGGTAAGATTTTTTGAAAAACTATTTATCATTTCAATTTGGGCTTACATTTCAAATCTTGACACTCTATGTTTATCTTGAATTTTTTGAGGCCTTCTAGATTTTTTTTCCTTCTCTTTCCTGCTAGAACGGATGTCAAGAGCACACAACTTCTGCAACAAAAAAGAAGCAAATTTTCCACACTTGATGCTTTGCGTTAATTGGCACTTATGGGTTATACTCTCAACCATTTGGTTGAGAATGGGGGGGGGTAGTATTGATTCACCACGGGCTGTATAACCCACAAGCACCCGTTGATTGTAAATACGCTTGTTTTTTTCGTTGAGATAATTCGATTTCGTGCTAAGATTCTAGCAATTTCTAGCAATTTAGAATCTTAGCACGAAATCGAATTATCTCAACGAAAAAAACAAGCGTATTTACAATCAACGGGTGCTTGTGGGTTATACAGCCCGTGGTGAATCAATACTACCCCTCCCCCCCCGCAAAACTGAATTTTACAAAAATTGGAACAAATGGAGAGAGAGTTTCTATCCGTTTTCAATTTAACCTTCTTGTTAGTGATTTATTTTATTGTAACTTCAATGTTGGAAAACGCTGGCACTAATTACGTATTGACCACAAGGAGACATCGACAATACCAAAATACGGTCAATGTGCCCTGAAACAATAAAAGCTACTTTGCATAAACCCATATAAACCAGCAATATTGGCGACCTCAGCATAAGAAGGATGTTTGAAGATTTTGATGCAGTTCGAAGTTCGCCCAAGTCCGACAATCATCTCGTTATAGTCTTTATTGAATCGAATGGCTGTGACCTAAAAACACTAGCTCACTCTTGAATGAAACACTTGAATTACCTGTGATCCAACTTTCAAGGTTTTTGTCAGCGCGCCTGTTTGGGTATCCCATAAGCACACATGAGGATCATCCTGTCCACCGCCGGTTGCCAGTAAACCTCTCTCGAAGTCTGAGAATCGGACGGCCTTTACAGAAGCCGTGTGGTCATTCAAAGAAAAAGCGGGTGACTAAACAATTGGTTTATTTTTTCGTGAAAAAATCAAACCTGATTACGTGTGTTGACAAGTTGGGCATCCCAAATGTTGACGAGATTGGCCCCTCCACCTGTGGCCAATTGAGATCCATCGATTGACCAATGAATGCCACAAACTAGCTGTGAATCCCCATCAAGCACACTAAAATATCATACTTTAATTCCTGCCGTTTTCCGCTCCATAATATAGCACCCTCTACCCTTATTAGTATGAAGCTAGGGGTGGGCTAGTAGAGATTAGTTTGTAGAAGCCAGTATGGCATCATTAGAGGATTAGAGAACCCGAGGCTCAAAATAACTTACCCAACAACCGAATTTCTTATTCGGACGGCGTGAGGAATGACTTGACCACTTTTGTATCCAATCCACAAAATATGATCTTTCCAGACCATGCAGGTGGCTCTACTAACACACTCGGCATCGAGTTTTCGCAATTTCTTATTTTTAGTAGGATCGTAGAGCTAAACAATAAACATCAATCTAAACTTAGAAGGTACTTTTACTTTAACCCTTTCAGTATCGCCACCAACGGCAAAACAACTTCCATCGACTGCCCATTTTATCGCAGTTATAAGATCCGTATCCTCGTTTGCTTCAGCAAGAAGCTAAAGATGAGGTGAATATACCGAATACAACTTGAATTAACCCCAACTTCTCCAGTGTCGGGATTCCATAGATAGACTTCGTATCTAGAACAACTATAATAAGCAGACTAGCATTAACCTTTCAGCAGAAGATGAAATTTGTCTCGACGCTTTCTTTACAGTCGATGATGGTTGAACACAAGTCGTGTAGAGCACCTTTGCATTCATGTGACCGACAGGAGGCAAGGGAGCATCGTTCTTTCGAAAAGCAAGAATTCGATCTTCTTCTTCTGCATCAGACATTTCAGTAGAAGATTTTGCTAAAATACAATTTAACATTTTAAAAATAATAAACAGCTCACTTCGCATCATCTTCATAAATTTTATCCTGTCGAGTTCTTCCTTTGACGGACTGCAAGGAGCACTTTTGACGTGTTCAGAGTTTGATTCTGAAAAGAGCCATTTGTCAACAATGCCTAAACCCGAATACAAACAAGATGGATAAAGATTTTCTGTGAAGGGGTTGAATACCAAAAATATAGTTTTTGAGACTAAATATTTGAATTTCTTTGCGACGCGCTCCTTTCCGCATTAACGCAAAGGGTATTTCTCTCTGTGCTTTCAAATAGTCAATTTCAGTCAAATTCTTTACTTAAGAGTTGACGATGCTTTTTTGTGTTTTTATTTGCTTTATTTGATTCCGTAATTTTGCTATTTTCAGCCAATCGATCAATGGCTAATGAAGGAAATGAGTGCATTCGAGGCAAAAGCATTGTCAAGCCGATAGTCTATGGAAATACTGCAGAAGCTTTTGGTTATAAGAGGTAAATTTTGAGGTCATTAAAAAGAACATTTGCGTAATTTTATCGAAATTTTTCTGAATTTTATTTTTAGGGAAAGTGACGGCGATACGCACAAAAGGGCAGTGTTTGTTCGTCCCTACTTGAATGAGGATGGCTCTCGGTAGACACGTAAAGTTCAATTCAAACTCCACGAAAGCTATGCCAATTCTACGCGAGGTCTGCTTCTTTTTTCTATCAATGAAAGTTAATTTGAGAATTTAGTAGTGGAGCAACCACCATTTGAAGTCACGGAGACGGGCTGGGTGAATTTGAAGTACAATGCGAATTTATTTTGCCGACCAAAACAAAAACCAGTCGGTGTCCAAGTCTTTTTCACAAACTGAGTTTCAAATTTAGGTAACCGCTTTTCATTACCTTCGATTATTTCAACCAGTGTTCAATGTCAGTGGAGGTACCGTCGTCGCTGCCGAATTTTACGATGAAATTGTAATGTGTTATTTTTTGCATTTTTCAATATTTTTAGGTTTTTCAAGACCCTACCACAATGATGTACAAAATATTGACGACGGGCGACGCAAAAAAACACGATCCACGGATGTTTTATCACGACTGTAAGTACTTGAAAAATTTTTATCCATTTGATTTTCTTTAGTAATAGCGAGACGAAAAAAGAGGGTTGATGCCGTGACGATGGCTAAACAAGAAATTGCAAAAGAAATCGAGGAATCAAAAGAAAACTATAATTTAGGCTGAGAGTGGGGAAAGCGGTCTGGCAACACCAAATGTATCATTTTCAGTTGGCTAAACATTAATGATTGCTTTTAAACTCACGGGTATTTTTTCTATTGTTGAAGTTTCTCACTTTTGTACTGAATAAAATTAATCAGTTATGCCGACAACCTTAAACTTTGAAATACGTCTAGTACAGCTTATCAATCAGCATAAGTTCAAAATTTGCAAATAGACTTTTAAAAGGACACTTTCGAATGCACTCAACACTAATCTGTTGAGTAAGATTTGGACTGTCTGACAGAGTTTTGCTAATATCACGAATTTCTTTGGAAAAGCTAAATTAAAGTATATTCTGCTTTTTAGGGAGGCAAAAAAGTTCAGAAGCAAAGTAGCTTCAAGTGCCTCATTGACCACATTGCGAAACAATCATTGTTCTTTTTGTTGTCATTTTTTCACTATAAATGCTCATTTTCCCCTCTAGGTTTCGACATTTCTTATTGCTTATTCATAATGAGACTCATATTAAGTAAGTGCAACAAACACGATCTATTTCGTTATTGTGCTTAGTAGTATACAGGCACCATTTCCAGGATAGCCCATTGCCCTAATTTCCACATCTCGTCGTTTAAATCCTTTTTCATTAAAAAACCACTATGATTCGATGGAATTTTTCAATGCAGGGATTAGGAAAAATCAAACCAAAACTTTATTCAATAGAAAAATTACATGGAATGGTAGCACAAATGGCTTTAAGAACATCCTTCTGAGCAGTGGTATAACCCTGACCTGAGATCTCAAGTCCATTGCTCGAGGCAGGTGATTGTACATTGGCGGCAGCATTCTGGAGAATCTCGTCCACTATCTTTGCAACTCGCTGAGCAGTCGATCGCGGAAAGTATGAGCGAACTTCCTTGGAGAACTTGCTATCATTATCGAAGATCCATTTCCATCGGTCGTGTCGAGCACCGTCTTTCACGTCAAGCGGCATTTTCCGTATAGCGTCATTTCGCTTTTCTCTAAAATTTAAAAAATTGCAAATCATATAGAATTTAAATCTATCTGCTAAAGCCTTAAAAGTTAAACTATAACAACTCCAATGGCAAATTTCTCATAGCTTCTAGAAAGAAGCATGAGTTTAGTAGGACTTAGACTATGGTATTCGAAACAGTAATCGGAAAAATGCACAAACTCTTCAAGCCACTTGATAACACCTCTGGCACTCATCATTGATTGGAATCGAAGGACTTTATCGTTAACATGTTTCTAGAATATCGAGATTTTACGGAAATTCATGCTATTAGAGAACATACCAATTCTCTTTCTAGCTTTTCATTCTTCGCAGCTGCTTCTGTCAGCTCCAAGCGCTTCGTTTCCATCTCTTCCTGCGACTCCTTCAGTTCGTTTTCCGTCTTCTGACACAGTTTTTCCACATTCAGATACTTCTTCTGCCAATCGACTTCATCACTAAAAAACGATAACATACAATAGATTATATTATTTAAATACCTTTCTTCGTCCGAACTATCGTTTTTCTTCCTCTTGGACGACATGGTGAGGTTACCTGAAACGATTAGCAATAAGAAAGGAAGCGAATACTAGAGTTAAAGTTACTATATATAAATGAACCAAGTTGTAGAAATAAAAAATATCAGATTCGGAGCCGTTAAGTCTAAGCTCTATAGAATTCATCATAAAAATGGGAATTTATTTAATAAAAATCATGACGCCAAAGCAAAAAGTGCGGTTGGGAAAAATTATGAGGCTTTGAGAAAAAATGATTTTTCCGAAAAAATATTGACTAGCGACCGTACTGGTGGGTATACTTTTAAAGTAAAAGAACAAGTATAGACATTAATCAGGGCAATTGAATGAAAACGAGTGCAGCCAAATCTGTCAAATGAGCGGCGAGAAAAACGCAAAAAAACCTAATTTGCCTCTGGCAATTGGGACACTTGTGGGCGGTACTTTAAAAGTATACTGGTGGGTATGGTGCAAAACTGTCTTTTTTGATTTTTGGCATAAAATTAACATTGAGATTTGAGTGCACCAGATGCGGTGTGTTTACGGATTTTTGCGTACAAAGTACATGGAAAAGAGATTAATTTGAAAAAAGCAAAAGTGAATCATTGTTGAAAAAATTGTTTATATCTCATCCAAACGAGGTCAATCATCAGCTATTTTATCGTTTAAATTCGACTCCATTAAGAACTTTTCACTCCAATGAATTGTGACTGATTAGGATAGGGAAATACCACTATTGAGCAATGTTTAGCTAATTAGTAGTAGTTAATAAGGAGTCAAGCCAACTTTTTGGCCCGACCTTGCTGTACAATTTCAAAAACCAATGACTATTTTAGGTAATTTACAAAAGTACAAGAGTACAAAAGGCTGTACCAAAGTTTACAAGCCTAAAACTATTACCTAACTTTAAAAAAATCGGATTAACGATAAGAAAACAAGAAAACAGGCGACAAAACCCGTCGATTACCCAAGGTCTTTTATAGACTTTGAATTTTTATCAGACTGCCTGGTTCCACTTGGCTGACTCCACCCCTATCCAAAAATCTGGAATTTCTTCCATAATTTTATACAGTAACATCGACTATAAAGAATTTTTATTTTTCTTCCAATCTCTCAAAACCCATATAAAATTGCCGAGATCACAAAAAACAAAGAATCAAATTGCCCAACAAAATAACAGGAAACAAAAGAAAATCAACCGATAGAAGAACTCATTTTTAAAAAATAAACTAGAATCATAATTCTTCTTATTTCACTTTTTTCAATGTTCAATTCTTGCTGGTGTTCTCACCTGTATCCTCATCATTGCATTCGCTTCACTTTTCCAAGTTTATCGACGCTCTGAATCACCGAATTCGACGATGAAATCGACAGAGCAATTCTAAAAAAAGCTTTAATGAAAATTTCAGGTAAATAAATGAGTCAAGTTTTTTAAGTTACGATAAAATCGAATACAGCTTTGATTTTTTACAGTTCATATCAAACAGGAACCCACTTGGTTAAATTGAAGCAAGAAATTCGCCTTGAAATAATCCTCTTCTTTGAGATTGACCGTTTGCGATTGCTCGTAATCGTTCTAAAAGTCGATTTTAATTTCAAGACGGTTTATTTCATTGACATTATAGATCTAAACGCATTAAAGAAGAATATAAAAATCAAACCCCAGCTGACGCAGCAAACTGCACAATGATTGTGACGATCACCGTCTGAATTGGAACGATCGGTCCCTTTGTCAAGATCAAACCGTTAAAAAATAGAATCGATAAGCTATTGTCAAGCCCAAGTCATAATAATATCAGTTTCAATCCGTACAAACAAACCTTAAATGGAATTGGAGTGTTCGGCGAAGCGTGATACTCTCCAGAAGTCCCAGGCGTCACGGATAACTAAATTTGTAAATTTAGATTGGCTTAAACTTAAATTTACCCACCTTAACCTCAAATTGACACTTCTGATAGAAAAGATATTTGGGCATTCCCAATCGATGCATACACAAAGACTTCGCGACGGTCATCAAATGATTGATTGACTAAAATGAAATGAAAATCGATGATGAAAAAGCAAACATACTTGCTCATTTACTCGATGTGTTTCGCTCGTTTGTACCCTTGTCAAAATTTCAAAAGTCGTTTTTGCCCATTCCAACAATTGCCGTTGTCGAAATCTCACCTAACACGGGATCCAATAAAGGGATCCTCACAGAACTAAAATGTTAAAATGAATTGATTTGAGGTAGTTACCTACCTCAAAGTTATTAACCACTAGTTTATAAACATTTGACTCACGCAGGTTCTTCATTTGATATTATCGCTTGAAGACCATAGTTGAGTAATGAAGCCGTAGAACCAAGCATATGAAAGGCATCTAATGATCTAAAGAAAAAGATAGAAAAGAGCATTACAAAACTTCCAAAGCTTATGATCATGTAAAATTTCGTTTCCCACCTAGTATTCGCAGCAAAACACATTTTCGAGAGCGATCCCCACATTTCGACAGCAGAACGGGCACGCCTCTGAGCAACTTTCAACTAAAGTCAACATTTTTGCTTTGTAGATTTGCTTCATAAACAAACCACTTGTAGCGCTTTCTCACACGCTTCTTGGTTCGTCAACAATTCGGTGCCAACAAGAAAATGCCCAAGTCCTCTAAGCTTTATTGCCTATAATGGATTTTCAAATTCAACAAACCCCAACAATCTTCCATAAATCATTTGTGTCGAAAGAAACGACAAATCATCACCAACAAAGCCACTCGATAAGCAATCCAATCACTTTTCGTCCATTCATCTGCAAGCCGTGTGGTCTCTTGATCTTTTGAGAAACCAAGGAACGCCAGTGTTTCTGTCGATAAGTGTGCCTCCTAAACAAATTTTGCTTTCCCTGCAATTTTCACTCAAAAATCAACCCCTTTCTGTATCATTTTATCAGCCCATTCAGCAATCGATGTAACCACTTCAGTCATTGTGTCGGAGAGTTGAGCGAATAATTCGAGGAAAACACCGAGTGATCGATGATTTGATGGGAGAGAATAGATTAAACCGAGAATTCCCACAAATTTGACTGTTCGATTCCACAATCGCGAATGAGATAGATGCCCGCGCGACATAACTAAAAATTGAAAATATCTCTATTTCAAGTGGAAGAGTCGCGAGAAAAGCGTTAACAGCAACTTCATATGTTGTGAATTGACTGGTCCAATTGCAAGAAATGTTGTCGATAAGCTCATAAACGAGATGCGGACAGCCAAATGTAGAAGCCCATAGTATGAAGAAAGATCGATTACAGAGTCTGAGTAACAAACAAAACGGAAACAAAATACAAACTTCACTTTTTAGATGATCGATGTGATTGGGTAGGGCATTTTTTGCTAACACTTCGAATACGCGAAGATATTCAAGAACGAGAAGAGGAGGAGTTGATGGGAGAACAGATTGGCGGTGACACAGCTTCTAAATGTTAAGTATTAGAAAATTGAGAGATACTGGTATAATGTAGAAACTCGTGATTTTATCATTCACGAGCTCATCAAGAAGAAATCTAAAGCAAAATACGAGATGACTCTTTGAAAGTCATTACTTGATCAGGTATCGTAAAACGAGTGGCTATCGCTAGATCGGTCATCGAATCCATGAGCATTTCTGAGTGCTGAACTTCAATTGAGAAGAACAATAGTAACGCGATTTACCTCCGGTACGAGCACCTCGTCTTTAATGAGTCGAATACATACGGCAAGCATCGATTGAGTGGTTTGCAGAGAGGATCTGGAAACTGATAACATTAGCAGCACTACTCTACTTTTAAAACCTCGTTGATCTAATGACGGAAATAAGTTGCTTCTTGCGTTCTTCGGGTGTCAGCTGTGATAATAACATCATACCTCATTCGATCAACAACCATATCACAAATGCGACTAAAATCATATGAAAGTGATTTAATTGATTGAATATTGCTTTTATAAGGAAACCAACAAAACTTACGTGCTTAATTTCACATATTATTTGAGAGCGATGATCGCTGAGGAAAACTTTTCAATATGGGAAGATAATAAAGACTCATAAAGACCAAATGATGGACCTGAATTAAAAATAATTTATTTTCAAAAGATTTCCTACTTTTTGCTATCTTCGGGCCTCAATGTTCGTACTGTGTGCGACAACCAAAACATCGTCGATGATCGCCTAAAAATAAAGTTATCGATAGGGACAATCACCCATTCGTAAAAAGGGTGGGACAAGACAGGCGCATAGGATTTCGACCACAATGGCCGTTTCCATGAGTTGTGGAGATGAGCAAACGCCGGACGTTCGTTCGCTCAAAAAGTGACCGCTGAGACCTAAAAAGGTTGTCGAGTTTTACAAATGCCATCAAACAAACAAACCTCTCGTAAAATTCTGGAATATCAACTCCGACGAGGATTGACTTTCGATAGCTGGCATCTATTTAAAAAATGAAATTCATAAACTTTTCCCCCTAGGAGTTGTTAAAAAGAAACCAAGAGTTCATCATAAACTTTAAACAGATAAAGGTGTAAGTACAAAATTTATTTTTTTCAAAAGCCGAAACCACAAAACAAGAGTGAATGCCAGTATAATAAACATAAAATTGCCTCAAGAACGATAAAAGTAGAAAAAGCATAAACAAATGAGTGAAAACAATCAACGAGGGAAACCGAATCGAGTAAGAGGATTGAGTAAAGGAATCACTCTATAATTCTATATAATTATATCCTAACGTATCACAAATGGCCTTGAACAAGCACAGCTCTTCAAGCTCAAAAAAAATTCTACAGATCAAAACCTCGGTCGTATTTGTCCCATCCAAATATCCTTCAAATCTATGAATTTTGTCGGAAAGTTTTTTATAAAGGTCTTTCATCAAGATTGGGTATTGGGATTGAGCCACTCCATGAGGGGGGGGGGGGGGATTCAACAAAAAGTGATTTTGGGCATTGGTTATAAAAGTGTTGTGGTCCGGGTGCGACTTCCAGTGGGGGCAAAACCAGCTCAAACGGCAACTGCAAGAAAAACCAT